GGGGATGGGTGGGCGTGCCAGAGACGACAAGATCAGCGAGGGTGCGCAGCCGAGGGATGAGGAGCGACAACGGGTCATGGTGGCGTGGTGCATTCATGTGTGTCGCGGTGCAAAGTTCGCCGCTCTGCAGGCGCCGGCGGCCGATAAAACTGGTGAGATGGTCAGTCTGTGTGCCCCTTAACATCCTCGACGCCTGAAATCAAGATGCCATCGCGCCATACTCGCAGACGACGCTGCGGCGGTGCCGCCCTATCAGACCTCGGTTGCATCTATCCCAACACCTCAAGCATCTCCGCCACGGTACGGAACTTTTCCCGTTCCTCCCGCCCCGTCTTCTTGCCCCGCTCCCTCTCCGCCGCATCGATCTTCAGCCAGCGGGGGATATCCACCACCGTGCCGTCCTTGAGCCCGCGCTCAATCGCGTCCGGCACGCCCGCCTGCGGCGTGACGGGGATCGGAGAGTCCGCAGGCCGGTCAGCCCACCCCTCCCCATAGTCCTCAAGAAGCCTGTCGACGAGGAGATACGCGTCCTGCATCGTGGTCGCGATGACGCCGACGGGGCCGCGCGCAACCCACCCGGCGGCATACGCGCCGTTCACGTGCCCCGTGTCGTCGAGCACGCGGCCGGCGTCGTTGCGCAGCCGCCCGCGCGCCGTGTCGAACGGCGCGATCGTACTTGCCCCATCAATCGGCTCGGAGCGGTACCCTACGCTCTCGACGACCATCTGCGCGACGCTCATTTCGCGCGCGTCCGTCGCGCGCGCGACCACTCCCCGTTCGCCTTCGACGAGCTCGTTGATCGCCCACTCGACGCCGGCGACCCGCCCCGCCGCGTCGGGAAGGAACGCGGTGGGCGAGCGCAAGAACGCGAGCTCGAACGTCTTGCTCCCGCCCACGACCGGCTTCTCCATCAGCCCGAGCATGCGCGTGCGTGCGCGGTCGCCCTGCGCCATCGCCTTCGCTTGTGCCATAAGGCCCGCGTCCACGCCAGGGAAGTTCACGCCGAGCTTGACCATCTCGCGCAGCTCTTTCGTCGTGAATGCGACCTGTGCCGGACCGCGGCGGCCGACGGCGCGCACACGCTCCACCGTGCTTTTGGCCAGTGTGTCAAGGACGTTCTGCGGCAAGTCAGACTTCTCGAGGGCAGAGAGCGGGGAGAGGAGGATGCGGGCGACGTCGAGCGCGACGTTGCCTTGCCCCACCACGTCGACGTCACGGATCGCCGAGAGGTCGGGGTTCAAGTCCGCGAACGCGGGATGGCCGTTGTACCACCCCACAAAGGCGAGTGCGGGGTACACGTTCGCCAAGGGGGTGTCGGAGGAGCTGGAGCCGGATACGGAGGCCAGGGGGTTCGAGAGCGAGGCGCCGTAGCTGAAGATCAGGGCGTTGTAGTGCGCTGCCACGTCCGAGAGCGGCAGATGCAGCGCGTGCGGGTAGCTGTACGACGAGAGGCGGTCGCGCGACTCGCTCGGAGGCGGCGTGCCGACCGACACGTTGCCGAAGAAGTTGAAGCGCGCATCCGAGGCCAGCTCGTCAAACTTGTGCTGGCAGTTCTGGGGTCAGTGGTCAGCCTGAGTGCGCAGCTTGGCAGTTGCCGCGTTGCAACGCAACGACTTGACGTGCGACATGAGTCTCCTGTGCACCTCCAAAACAAGGGCGGGCAGAGCTTTGACTCACCTTCACCTCGGGATGGTCAGGAGCCACCCCATAGCGCACTAGCCCATACGGCGTCGGCAGGCGCTCGTACATGTCCACCTGGACGCGCGAGCCCGGGTCACTCGATGCCGGGAGGAGCTGGAGAATGCGGCTCGCTGCGTAGAACCCAGACGGGCCAGCTCCAATAACAGCCACCTTGAGTGGCGCGCTGGGAGCTGTCGAATATGCTCGCAGCGTGCGGCTCAAGCGCAGGCTTCGCCGAAGACGGAGCATGGTGATGTGATGGGGACTGAAAGTGGAGGGACGTCCGAAATCTCATTTCAGCCACTCCGCCCATCGGCGATCTTTAGAGGCCGAAATGTTGTGACTCAGCCAATCCTCGGACTTGATCGGCCTGTGCTGTGACCGGCCCCACAGCAGAAAGTCCGTCTCTTGCACAACGTTATGATTCATACACATATACAACACATTGCTACAGCTATAAAGCACTAGGCCTTGCGGCCCGTACGGCTGGGATTGCGACGGGGCTTGGGTACGGGTGCGGACAAAGTGTCCAGCAGCTTGTGCAGCTCCGCCGCCGCCGCATCAAAGGTCAGGCCACCCTTGGTTGCTCCCGAGAAGTTGGCAGACTCATCCGCCGTTGGCTTGCCGTCGTCTTTCGCCTGCCACTCATCAAGCTGTGCACGGATCGCATTCGCTTTCAGGCGGAAGTGCTGCTTGATCTCGTCCTCGACTTTGGTCAGCTTAAACATGAAAGGCCGTCGATTGAACCACTCACAAGGCGCAGGCGGATTCTTGATGTTGTTTGCCATGGCGTCGATGATGGTCATGCGCCGAACGTTGGCTGAGTACTTCCGACTCGCTGTCGAACCCTCCTGCCCAGCCCAAGCGGGCTCGTTGCAGTACGGCTCCTCGCAGAGGATGAGACTCTGGATTGAGATCAGGACTTGCAGCAGAGTCGACTTTCCCGGGATCCAGCCCGGCCCAGACCATGTGCCTAGGAGCGACAAGCAAACCTTGCCATCCGCGTAAAGGTTCGGGTTGTATCGGAAGCGCCCGCCGTTGGTGGTCATCGATTTGACGTGTGGACTGGACAGATTGTAGCTGTGAGGGAGAAAAATGTCAAAGATAAAGCAGCCATTCTCGTATGGCGTGTCCTTGGGGCCAATGATTAGGGCTTTAATTAGATCCACACGCTCATCATCTACTCGGAGAAAGATGGATGTATCCCACGCCGTGGGCAAGTTTGTGGTGAGGATTGCCAATTCCTTCGCGATGGCAAGCGAGCGGCGAGGGATGTCCATACCCACGAGCTTCTGAGCACTGTCATTATACGCGTGCAAGAAGCTGGTCTCGTCGCAGGGATTGCGCAAACTGCAGTAATTGAAGCGCGCCTTGGACGCCCACTCCTCGTCTGCGGTGAGCTCACATTCTCGAAACGGGACTCACAAACTGCCTTCACGTCGTTGCTGGGCGCCACTGTCGCCGCTCCGTTGGAAGTACCGATATGAGGCAAGGATTCAAGCATGCGGTCTACGAATTCCTGGCCCTTGGTCGAAACCAGGAGGCGGTCAATGTTGTCACGCGCCTTCAACAAGCGCTTGCTGGAAAGTTAGCGGGATAGAGCTGTCTCGACTGACCAAAAGTCATAGAGGGCACGGTTCTGAGCCCATTCCTTCGGGTCTGCATCTTCGGGCTTATTGACGTTCGCAGAGAGACTTTTAAGCGCCGCAGTTGCCTGAATGGCGACGCTTTCCAACAGCTCGCGAGGGCTGGGACTGCCCTCGTAGAGGATGCTCACCGACTGCGCATCGGGACCGGGGCGAATCGCGGCAGGACGCATAGACGGCATGGCCAGCATAGTTGCGAGGGCCTCATGGCTGGAGACGATCTCCAGCCAGTCCATGAGAGCTGCGTAGATGGTAGCGCGGTTAGACATGTCCATTAGCGAATCGTTGCGGAGGAGGTCGTTCACGAAACCGCTGCGACGGCGAAGATGGGCGAGGGAGGTGGGATGAACAAGGAGATCTGAAGTGCGTGGCCCACTTTCGCGCTTCAAAGTAGGCAGGTACACAGCAACCTGATTCAGCAGCGTCGCAGTTCGGCGGTCCTTGTCCTTTTGAGCCTTCTCAGCCGCCACCTGTCCTGAAGTCTGGCGTCAAACCTGCACTCCGAGGCGACCTACATCTTCACACGCGCTTCCACTGTAACCTGTCCCCTTCTTTTTCGCAGCGCGAAAGTCACCTTCGTCACCTGAAGAGGATGACTCTGCGCCTTCTCCGATCAACAACTCTGCCAGGGACACAACCTTCCGTTTCTTTGGCGCTGGAGAAGCTGCTCCAACTTGAGTTGCCTCAAGAGTGGTTCCGAAGGCCTGCTCAATCATGTGCAATGCAACGCCGAGAGTAACTCCCTTCGACCGTGAGCAGAGGTCCAGCCTCATCAACCAACCTGAATGTTTGAACAGTGGAAGAGCGCTTCCAGCTCGCCAGTGAAAGATATCTTGGCCTTTTGTGTGTTGACAGATTCCCCACAGGCGAGGCATGTCACATGCGAGCACCGGGGACAAGTTTGCTCGAGGATGCTGCAAAGATACCGGGTGTAGTTGGTAAAGTCGGCCTGGGATCAGCAAGAAAGAGCGTTGAGCTTACAAAGAGGGGGAAGAAGTGCTGGGGCATGCGCGGAACGGTGTAACCGCAGCGATTCGCGCATGCCATTGAGCCCTCCGAGAGAAAGTTGTATAGTTGGAAAAGGAAGCTCTGCTCCCCTGCTTCCGGGCACCCGCTCATCCACTCGCCGCGGCTGAGGATGCGCACAGTAAGCTGAGAGATGGCGCTCCCCGATGCATCCCTTGCTCCTCGAGGCATTCTGACGGTAGCGTAAACATTCTCCACCACAGGCTCGAGGATTCGCTCAGTGCGATCTTTGGAAAAGAAGGTGCCTGCGTAGGGATCCTCGCCCTGTGGCCCCTCAGCGAAGTCTGCCGTCAATGCCACCCCCTCCTGCCATCTTACCCCCGAGCTCAATTAATTCGTCATCATAGTCATCGATGCAGAAGTTGTCGTCGTCAAAGTCGCTGCCTTCCCCATCGGGGCCATCAGCAACGCTGCGCATGGCTGACGCCTGCCGCGTGGCTGCACGAGAGACTGGCGTCTGGAGCCGATCAGCCTGCCTGATTGTCTACACCCTCACCTGTAGCCCAGTACTTTCCTCGTTGCCGCTTTCTTCGGCATCTGATGCAATCTCGTCAAATTCGCCACCGAAGACGCGTTCCTCGCAAAGTTAACGTGCAATCAGAGACGATCATGGAGACTCACAGCAGCAGCCATAACATCTCCCTTAGAGCGCTGGAGAGCAGCACGAGCGCGTGGGCGGGGAATACCCTGTGGGTTAGTTTCAGCGTGATCTCAGCGGTTGCCGGCAACGCGAAGGAAGGCGGTGGCGGAGGCGATTCATGACAAGTTCTGAGGAGATCTTTGAGTCCTCGTACAGAGAGCTTTGGGGCACAGCTTGCACGCGTGATGCATTGAAATACACGTCGTGCAAGCTCGGTCCTGTGCTTGATAGCCAAGACGTCTCGCGAGAAGGTTATCGCCCCCCTCTTTACTCACCATGTCCGTCAGCTGGGCGATCGATGCCGCCAACGACATTGTGGGAGGATGCTCGCGGCAGAGAAGGCGGGAGGTGTGATCGTTGTTCTCGTAACGATAAAGAATGATGCAGCGTTTGATTGAGTCAAAGGCGGACTTGGCCCTCTCTCCTCTGTGTATGTCGTCGACTGGGAGGGCGACGAAGCAGCTATGTTGAAAGCTTGATAGACCGATCCAAAGCGAGATGTAATGCAAAGCGAGATGAGTGGTAGATGTTTGTGTAGAGGCAGTAGAGGGTCGTCAAAAGGTTGAGAGAACGAGAGATGATGAGAGATGATCGAGATGTGTTCGAGTGCGCGACTGAAGCGCGCAACGCTGTGCGAGGCATGCTGTAGGTGACCTCATCCGTTGATCCCGCACGCACCTCCTCCACCCAGCAGCATTCCCACGGTATGCCGAGCGGAATCAGGTTTCCCCGCATGCCCCACATTCTCCACATCCACGCGACACCCCGCCTCCACCTGCACGCGTGGCACGGAAGGCATGGATGAGCCGCGTGACTGTCCAGTGCCACTGGGTCAACATGCGCATACATACGCCAAGTCGATCATACAATCGGGGCCTCATCGGAACACATCAACGTGACACCATATACCTACGGCTCTGGAGATTCGAGGCTCGCAGAACATGACGCCCGTACACTGTGCTGGGCGACGTCGATGTGCCTAATGTCGACCGCGGTTAGTTGGGTGCCAGAAGTCAAAGACCAAAACGATCAACTACGGAACAAAGACGGGGGCATCTTGTTGCAGCCTTGACGGAAGAATGAAGGACCATGGGGGATCATGTGACGCGCGACACTGGCGACGCGGCGCCGTGCGTCGACGTCGACGGTCATGTTCCGCACGTCCGCGGGCGTAAAGGCCGTGAGTTCCGGGCAGTTGCGAGCACCTGCCATGGTTAGAGGTGGAGGAATGTTCAGCCTAAGTACTCGCGTGCAATTACCGGTTCGGAGCTTAACCGGTATTGGGCAGGCAGGACCCAAAAGTCGGCTCGGGGCAGCCCATGGTCGAGCTCGGCACTCGCTCCCTGCCCATTACTCCCTTAGCACATTGCATTTGGCGAACTTGGCTCCTCCTCCACGTCCATCATCATCCTCCCTCCAATCCTCGACTCTTCTCTCTTCCATCCTCATCTCATCAAAGCTTCTCGGCAGCCCCTCGCTCATCATCTACACACACTCGTTGCCCAAAAGCACTCCAAACCCAGCCCCGCACGTCTGCTTGCTCTCTCCGAAAGAAGGCCCGAAAAGACGCGTAACAGCCGAGCTCCCTTGTGCCCAGTCTAAACCCGGTCCAGGAGACAGCCGAACGCCATGCCCATTCGTCCCTTCCGCCCACAACTTGTCAAAAGCTCGACCATCGCGCGCATCGCCGCCAAATCGTCGTCTACTCCTCGTACTACCCCCCTTGTGCATACCAGGATGTTCTCGCACACCGGCCCAAAGAGCAAGGACCCCACCTTCGCCAACCAGGACAAGCTTCCCCGCCTCCCCATCCCCAAGCTTGAGGATGCCCTTGAGGTCTACCTCAAGTCTCTTCAGCCCCTCCTCGAGCAGAAGGTGGGTGTGCCACTTAAAGAGATAACAACCTCTAACATTGCCAGTACAGCGCCTCGGAGCTGCCCAAGGAGATCGAGAAGCGCCGCCTCTTCATCAAGGACTTTGCAACCAAGGGCGGCATCGGCCACGCCCTCCATGAGCGTCTGACTGGTACGTGCAGCGGTCTTGGCGCCCGCACCGGCTAAACATGCCCCCGCACCCCCGGCGCTGCCGGCGCCCATGTGCTGACACGCTGACGTGAAGACCTCGACGAGATTTCGCCCAACAACTGGCTCGATGACACGCTCTGGCTCGCGCTCGCCTACCACACGTGGCGCGCGCCCATGCTTGTCAACTCGAACTGGTTCCTCACCTTCCAGCCCGACCCCAAGGACCCCGCTCCCCCCACCGCCCCCGGCGCGTCCAACAACACCCCCCTCCCCCTCAAGGCCCTCCCCCTTTCCTCTGTCTCCGCTGGCTCGCAGGGCGGCGGTGAGGAGTGGATCAAGGCCAACCCCGACAAGTCGGCCTACTACCCGCCGGTCTCGTACGAGGAGGTCACGAAGCAGGAGTGGAACACTCCCTGGCAGCTTCGTCGCGCCTCGTGGATCGTCTCTCGCTTCGCCCAGTACCGTGCCATGGTTGACCGCCAGCAGATCGGCCCCGACGTTACCAAGGCCGGACCTCTGGACATGAACCAGTACAAGCTGCTGTTCAACATCTCGCGTATCCCTCTCCCCGGCACTGACGCCTTCTCGCGCCAGGATACCAAGGCTCGTCACGTCACTGTCCTCATCAACGACTTTGTCTACTCGGTGGACATCTTCGGGCAGCCCGGCGCCGATGGCATTGCCGACGCCCTCCCGCCCGCCGAGATCGAGCGTCTTCTCCAGGAGGTTTCGGAAAACGCACGCAAGCGTTCCGAAGGCGGCGAGGAGGCGTCCATGGTCGGCGTTCTCACTGCCGACCACCGTGACACTTGGGCCGTCAACCGCGAGCGCATCCTTCTCACCGACCCCAAGAACCGCGAGTCGTTTGACTGGATCAACCGCTCTCTGATCGCCCTTACCCTTGACCGCTACACCCTCCCCACTCTCCCCACCGAGGACCCTCTCCGCATGGCGCCCATCGACGCGCAGATCCGCAACGCGTTCACCGGCATCAACGGCGGCCGCAACCGTTGGTACGACAAGTGCCTGACGGTCGTTGTGGAGAACAACGGTCGTGCCGCTGTCATGGGCGAGCACTCGCCCATCGACGCGCTCATTCCCTCGTTTGTCGTCGACTACGCTCTCGAGGAGCCCGTTGACGAGTCCAAGTACGCTGCCCCGCTCAACGACTCGTCCAACAAGTGGATGCGCAATGACTTTGTCGTTGACGACGCCATGAAGGACGAGATTGTGGCGTGCGCCGAGCGCAACCAAAAGCTCATCTCCGACTCGGATGTCAGCACCCTCTGGTGGGCCGAGTACGGCACTGAGTGGATCAAGAAGCAGGCCAAGATGGCGCCTGACGCCTTCATCCAGCAGGTGCTCCAGCTCGCATGGTACCGCGACCAGGGCTACGCTACGGCCACGTACGAGACTGCCTCCACCCGTGCCTTCAAGCACGGACGCACGGACGTCATCCGCTCGCTCACTCCCGAGTCGCGCGACTTTGTCAAGGCGATGCAGGACCCCAACGCCTCGGACGAGGCCAAGCACGCCGCGCTCCTGAAGGCCACCGTCGCCCACAACACCTTTACGAAGGAGTCGTCGGCCGGCCGCGGCATCGACCGCTACTTCATGGGCCTCAAGGTCCAGCTCCGCCCCGGGGAGACGCACCCGCTCTTCGAGGACGAGATGTACTCCAAGTCGCAGGAGTGGAAGCTGTCCACTTCCGGCCTGTCGTCGGGTATCCGCTTCATGGCGACCGGCTTCGGCTCGGCCTGGCCTGATGGGTACGGCCTCAACTACATGGCCGGCCCCTTCCTCATCAAGTTCGGCATCGAGTCCAAGGTGTCGTGCGACGTGACCTCGACCGCGCGCTTCAAGCACCGCATCGCGCAGGCGTTCCGCGACATGCGCGAGCTCTGCGAGAAGGTCGGCGGCGCGCAGAAGGAGGGCGACAAGGCCAAGCTCTAAACACGGACACGGCGGGCGTGCGGAGCAAAAGCGACCGATACAGCGACGCTGCGAAGTGTTCGGCAGCGGCGGCATAGACTGTAGGCTTCAGAAGGAGAGCATGGATTACATTTACATTTACATTTACATGGCTTCGAATCGGTAGGACTAGTGCTCGAGCTGCTCCGCGGACCCGTGCTCACACCCGCGCATATTACACTGCCCGCAGAAGATGGTCTGGGAGATGCTGGTCTTGGGGTAGTGCGGTGCGGGAGCCATGCTGAGCCTGAGGTTGGAGGGAGAAGTGAGATGGTGCGTAGCACCTTCGTGCGGGTTGAGCGGAAGCGGCATGAGAGGCTGGGAGTGCGGGGAAGGATGGAGGGGATGGCGGGACATGGCGAGTGGCGAAAAGCAAAATGGGAACCACGACCGACGGGCCATTTAAATCGCAGGGCGAGCGCTTGGACAAGAAGGTGGCGCGCTTCACATTGTGTCTTTGCACCATGGCAGTGCCATCTGTGTTCTGAGCCGTCTGAGGCGTGCACCGGTTCACATCCCTCCGCCATTACCAACGTTCTCGTCGGTGTGGCTACCACCAGCAGGTGGGTGTAGACCGCATGACAGACGGCGTCGAAATGCTTCTTGCATCTAGGAGTTGGGGTGCGTTGACCCCTGCTGCAAGCTAGACAGAAGTCGGTCTGACAGTTGACATGCATGCCCCCAGTACCGGTCCAAATATCACCTGAGGGTAGCCGCATGCCTGCATATTGGCGCATTGATAAGCTCGCACTCTGCACGAGTGGGACCGCTGGATCGGCTCGCGGCCGGAAGGTTGTCACCACCCTAATCTTCCGATTAAACCTCCCGACACCCAATCCGTGTCAACATCAGTCTTCACGTCGCCGCATCCTCGCTCGGGACACCATGTCCCCCGAGCGCGAGAAGAAGAGTGCGAGCGCAAGCTGTGACCGCTGCCGGAGCCGGAAGGGTGTGTGCTCATACCGTCCAGCAGTGCTTGGGCGATTACCACGTTCTCGGGTGCTGACCGCAGTAAAGTGCCACCCGCTCAGCGACGAGGAACTCGAAACAGCTCGCGCGCGCGGCGTCGGCGATCGATGCCGGGGATGCTTTGTTGCGGATAAGGAGTGTACGCACCACTATGTGCACAAGAAGCCGGGCCGGCCTCTGGGGTGAGTTGGGCTCCGCGTTCCGCATCTCGCGCGGCGGTACGCATCACAACCTCCCGATGGCAGCTGACGAGAAGGAGCAGCCGGCGGCGCACTCCAGTTCCCGCGCCAACCAACTCGGCGGGCGTGCCCCTCAGCCTAGACCTCGGCGCCGGCCCTGTATCGGGCAGCATCTTTGGCAGCGCAAGGACGGCGCTGTACCCCTTTCCAATGGATGTTCCGCTGGAGGTCGACCTGTCCGATCGTGCATCTGGTGGTGGCGAACTCTTCTCCGTCCCGGGCCCCAGCTGCTTGATGCATACACCGGCCCTCGCCTCCTCGATCAATCGCCCGACCAGTGTTGCCAATGCCCCAGAGCTCGCTACCCCACGCCACTCCACGCACACTACCCCTGTCCCTCTCGACGGAGCACATGCCGACGCCGACCTGGACGGACGTAGCCTCGACGCAGTGCTCCCATGGGCTGATGCGACCCACTTCCTCCATCTCTTTCTCCGGGATCAACACTGCCTTGTTCCAGTCGTCCACGCGCCAACCTTCGGGCTTGATCTGCTCAAACGCCGAGATCGGAAAGACGAGGCGTTCCGCGGTCTACTCTGCTCTATGATATCATTCACGATCTGTCAATGCCCCATCTCCGTCATGACGGACGCGTACGAGCGTGCACGGCTGGTGGACATCCTATACCGGTGTATTAGGGCGGCCGACGCGATCCGGCACCGGCAGCGCCTGCTGCCGTCCCTCGAGCTACTGGCGTCGACTTTGCTGGATGGGATCACGGCCCAAGCTGTGGGGAGACCGGTGACGGACATGCTCGTAGCTGAGGTCACACGGCTCGCACATTCTCTCAACCTTAATGAATCGCAGAAGCTCGAGGCCGGCCCCATCGAAACGCAGATACGGAGACGGCTCTACTGGATCATGTACTGTAAGGACAAGACAGAAGCACTCTCCGGCCGGCCCGTCATGCTACACGACTTTGAAGGAGTCGCTCCCCACCCCTTGCTGGTCGACGATGAGTATATCACCCCCGCTGGCCATCTCCCACAACCAGAGGTGAGGCCCAGTGTGATGGTAGGCTTCGTTGTCATCCTCCGCATCTTTCAGGTTATCTCTGGCTGTGTCGCCCGCCACCGCGCCTTCGCGAATCGACCGCGCGGAGAGCCCAGTGACCCAAGTTCACTGGAGGAGGAGTTTGACGAGCCTGCTGCCATCCGGTGGATAGAGGGCGCACAAGCCCGTCTCCGCGCTATCCTCTCCGCCCTCCCGCCCGCACTTTGCATGGATCTCCACATCAGCTGCGCTGCAGAACGAGCAGATCCCTGCAACTCCTCCCTCTACCGCATCCAGCAGGCCAACATCAGCATCACGGCGCTCTGCGCCGAGTTCGCACTGCTCGACTTCCGCGCATGCCTGCGCCCGGACGAAGATACGCGCGCTGAGAGGGAGGAGCAGGCGCGCAAGGCGTACGCCACACTGTCTGGCTTGCCGCTCGAGTATCTCGCGTCGAACGGAGAGAGCATGGTGAGTGTCACCTAGCAGAACGAACTAACGCCAGCGCGGCAAAGTGCTCCGCATCATCCTCGCGCTGTTGCACACCGCGGCCGAACCGGTCAACTTCAGCCAGAATATGTGGGACTGGTGGAACATATACTCGCGGGTACAGTTCCTCCAGGTGGTGCCAGACGAGGGGATGATGCTGGTCGATGGCCAGGTGGGGGTGTAGACCGCTGTAGTTATTGTACGAGCAGGACATGGACTTCTGTACTGAATTTCATCCTCTGCGTCCACGCCGAGAATCGAACCCACGTCTGGCTCACCAGGCCAGAATTCCGAGGGATGTCATTGGCCCCAGCGTCCTCTCCCTCCATCGCCGCCGAGCATCTCTTGGAGCAGCATGCATGCGTTCGGCGTATCGAGCGCACCCACATGCATCTGCATCGAGCTTGATGCATACTCCCAACCCCTCCGGCAGCGTACAAGCCATCCGGTGACATCCCCCACTAACACCCGCGCGCGGATTGGCTGTCGATCCGCCACACTCGGAACGCCCCCATTCGCCGGCCCCCGTCTGAGCCCACTCAATCCATCATCACCACTCATCGTCTCCTAGTCGTCGCCCAGCCAGCCCGGACCGAACATGTCCCCACCACTCGCGCGCCTCGGCCTGCGCACGCGGCCTCTCGCCGTCGCCGCACGCGTCGGCGTCCGCGCTTTCTCCGCCTCCCCAGCCCGCGCGTACGCCAACCCCACCCCTACCGACAAGTACGGCCGCCCCGACTACTCCAAGGGGCCGAGCGCGCTCGACAAGGCGAGCCAGCTCTTCTTCTTCACGGAGATCTTCCGAGGTGCGTGTGCCGCAGGTAGGAGGGGGCGAAGGGGTGTGGGCGGTGGTGGTGGAGGTGTGTTATGGGCGCGCCGAAGTGTCTCGGGAGGCCGAAAGCGGTGATGAGCCGCGGGTGAGGCTCCACGAGCTCGTCGCGCTCCGCGAGTAGCCTAAGCACTCGCGGATTGTTGAGGACCAGTGGCCATGCGCGCGCGTTGCCGTGGCCTTGCCCTCGGACGCCCATCGCACCACCCAAATAACCATCGGCGACAACTCCGTCATCCGCCGCATCCTCACCTTCCTTCCTGTCGCCGCTGAAGCCGCCGTGATCACGCTAACCCCAGGCATGTGGATCGTCCTCGAGCAGTTCTTCCGCCCCCCATACACCATCATGTACCCCTTCGAGAAGGGACCTCTCTCCCCCCGCTTCCGTGGCGAGCACGCCCTGCGGCGGTACCCCAACGGCGAGGAGCGCTGCATTGGTGAGTGTCGAGCCGCTAAGTAGCTGGAGGCTGCGAGCATGACGGACATGGCGCCGCGATGGCACGCGGTCGGAGTGGCGAATGGACAGCCAATGGCTCCGGGGGCATCACCTCGGCGCTTTCCCAGTTCCGGCCTCAGCGCCGGCGCAGACCTGGCGCCGAGTTCTCCCTCGCGCTCCGGCGTCAGCATCATCTCGCGCGTGGTGTCGCCCTCGCCTGGAAATTGCTAACCTCAGCTTGCAAGCTCTGCGAAGCTATCTGCCCCGCCCAGGCCATCACTATCGAGTCCGAGGCGCGCCTGGACGGCTCGCGCCGCACGACCCGCTACGACCTTGACATGACCAAGTGCATCTACTGCGGTTTCTGCCAGGAGGCGTGCCCTGTCGACGCGATTGTCGAGAGTGAGTGTTTGGGGGAGCCATGCGCTGTTTTCTTGTTGCACCACACTAACCCGCAGCCCAGAACTACGAGTACGCGACCGAGACGCGCGAGGAGCTTCTGTACAACAAGGAGAAGTTGCTCCAGAACGGCGACAAGGCCGAGGCCGAGATCGCCGCCAACCTCCAGTCTGACCACGTAAGCCTGCAGCGCAAGAGACACGCGAGGGACATAGCTGACGATCACAGTTCTACCGCTAAAAGGAGAAAGAAGGGGGTCGTAATCCAATGCATTGGCAGTTTAGAAGCAGCGGCCAGGAGCCTTAGATGGTGCACTCGTGCAGCGATGCATGGGGGTATATATACTATATGCGTCTAGAAATCCTTCCACTCCTCGTCCCAGTCGTCCTTCTTGGCCGCCTTGGACGCGGGCGGCTTGGGCGTGGTCGACGGCCCAGCGAGCGGGGCTTTGGTCGTTGTCTTGCTCTCGGGCTCGTCCCACGAGTCGAAGAAGTCCTCTTCGTCCTTTTGCGAGTGGGACGGCACCTGGCCGTAACCCTGATCGCGGGCGCTGCCCTTGCCGAGCCCCATGCGCCCGAGTCTCTCGTTGATGTCGACGCCGGCGTTGGTCTTTGCTACGTCGTTGATCTGGTCCCAGCCCTCGGCGGCGCGCGTGCCCGCCCAGCTCGCGGCGGTCCGCGCCTGCGTGCTCGCCTGGTTGAAGTAGCGCTTCACGTCTTCGCTCGCGCCCTGCTCGTACATCTCCGTTGCGCGGCTCACGCTGGGCTTGACGACAGTCTCGTTGATCTCGCGCGACGCCGTCGCCACAGCCGACGAGAACAGGCCCCAGCCCTTGGTCAACGCGCCCATGGGGTTGCGCTGGAACTCGTCGAGCGTCGGCGCGGCGCGCGAGCTGAGCCCGTACGACGGGTGCTGCGCGGCCGCGTCCGGCTCGGGCGTGTTCCCGAACCCGCCGTACTTGCCGCCCTGCGACGGCGGGAGGTGGTCGGGCCGCGACGCGTTCGCGGCCCCCATCCGCTCAAAGTACGCCTCGTTCCCGCTCGGCACGTCCGAGTACGGCGACGCCGTGCGCGACGGCACGCCGCTGCCCGCTGCGCTCCCGTATCCGCTGCCGTAACCCGAGGCGCCGGCGCGCGCCTTGCGAGTCGCTTGCGCCGATGCGGGCCGCGACGCCGGCGCGGGCGCCGGAGACGGCTTCCATTCGCGCCCCTCGCACGCGGCGGCAAGCTTGTCCCGGTACTGCGTGGCCGCCCACGAGTTGTACTTTTCGCTCATGCCCATGCCCTTGGTGTATCCGCCGTCGGGGCCGTACGAGTCCATGAACTCCTTGAAGGCTGCGTTGCCGCCGTTCTGGGGTCAGATGCGTCAGGGGCGCAGCGCACCGTCATTTTCTTGAGCTGCTCGTCGGACCACTTGTCCATTGTGATTGAGCGGACGAAGGAGATGTGCACGCCGAAGCCTGGTGTCAGGTGGAGCCAAGAGGCGGCAGGTGCCGTGTTGGAGACGCCGACGTACCGCGGTGAACGCCCGAGCACTCGAGGCAGATGAAGGTGCCGTAGGATACCGAGGCCCACTGCGGCGATGGCGAGTTGCAGTCGACACAGACTGGTGTCAGCGCTCGTCGCGGCGGCTAGGTAATGGAAGGCAAGTAAGTGCTCCTTCCTCCGCCTCGATTGCAATTTCCATCGCGTCGCGATAAGGAGCGGCTGCGCCAACACTCGTTCGTTCTCGAGTCGGGCACCGCACACACTCACGCTTGTTAGCGCCCGTGCTCATGAGCTGGAGCAGCTCCTTTTTTTGATAGTTTTCCGCCATGGCTGATGTTGAGAGGCGGGGGAAGAGGATGTATCTGGATATGAATGCTCGCCAGGATCGCTGGATCGATGCCGTGACGCGAGCTGCGAAACGTGGTGCGCGTGGTGACGCCCTCGGATCGGGTCCGGAATCGACGGGAGTAAAGATGTCGCGTGGCATGGTCAAGCATCGGTCAGGGTGAAAAGAGGGTTTGGGAGCGTGGCGTGGCGTGGCGCCGCCCCCGATGCGAAGAGAGGGTAGAGGGAGCGAGGGGGGATTAACATTACACATACACACAGGGACACAGGAAGAGAGTAGTGAGGGTTATTCCCCAGTGAAGTGAAGGGGCTGAGGCCTGGGGCTGCTTCAGGGATATTGTGCCTTTTGTTTTCCGGTATGTAATCAGACTGCTCGTCTCCTCTTGTGCTTATGCCATCCTCATTCATTCACCGACGTTTCGCTGCTCCTTGCTCTGTCCCAACCACGGTAGTCTGTAGTCGGTGAGCCGTGAGCTGTACGGACTCAGTTGTTGGACTCACGATCTCGCAGGTCGCATCTTGGATGCAAGTGACAACTGACAGACCGCTCTGGATCCGACTAGTAGCTGGCCAGATCATTCTCTTTGTTCGGCAGTGACATGCATGATCAACTGGGATTCTTTGGATCCTCGCTTCGGGGGGAGGTGTATTCATGTATTATTACTCGTGTTATTACCTTTATTACCTTGGAGTACCCGAATCATCACCACTCAAGTAAGTACCCATATACCCATATACCCAGCCTCCTCACGCCTCCTCGCGCCTCTTGCGCAGCTCCCCGACGATCCGGCATCCGACGTCGACCCCTTGGCTACTTTTGCCTAATTGCCTGCGCCTGGATGCTAGCAGCATGCTCACTCTCTCTCACAGAACATCCTCTAGGTATTTACATTCATCATTCGTTGAGGCGTTCCGGGCGCGCCAAGCTCTTAATTACAAGTTGTACACGAGTCATGAATCTCCTCTCTTGGCTCTCTTGGCTTGATCTTTTGCTGACCAAACCTACAATCGTACAGCGCGTGCAGTCGTCTCTCATTGAGGATCGTGGAATTTCCTCCATCCTCTCTCTCTCTCTCAACTCTGTCCCTCTCCACTCGGCATCGGCCACTCAACTCTGGATCCACCCTGCACCCGGCAGGCAAGTCCACGGGCGTATGGGAGGCAACCGCTAATCATACTTCTTCACTTTGCACTCTTCTCATCACTTTGTCACAAACACACACTCTCTCCCATCATTTGATCCACTTCCACTCCCCATTCTCCGTCGTTCTCCATCACCCTCCAATCCCCCACTCCCCACTCCCCACTCCCCACTCCCCACTCCCCACTGTCCCACCATCCACTATCCACTCCCCACTCTCCACTATTCGCTACCCACCACGCCATGCCGCGCGACATGGGTTACGGCTACGACCAGAAGCCCGACATTCCACAACCCGGCCCCCCCTATCCATACAATCCAGCCCTGTCCGTCGGCCCATCCGCACCTTACTACTACCCCAGAACTGATTTCGACTATCGCTCATACAATCTAGACGAAGGCGTCGACGCCGCCACTGATCGCCCGCCTCCCCTCAAGCGTGGCGATGCGTGCTTGTACTGCCGCAAGCGTCGTATCCGCTGCAGCGCGACAAAACCATCATGTCATCACTGCACAAAGCTCAACCGCGAGTGCATCTATGACATCGGAAAGCCCATCAGTCGCGTCCGCAAGCTCGAGAACCGCATCCAAGAGCTCGAACATCATCTCGCCGCCGCAAATGCTGCCCTCGTCGATGCCAACGGGCGCGCCGCCCACGCTCACGCTCATGCCCACGCTCAAGCGCAGGCCCAGTCCCACGCTGCCCGACCACCTGTCCCCATCGGCGCCGTCGACATGAGCAATGGCATACATATGCCTTACAGCGCGCCTCCACATCCCCAAGGCCCACCTGGTCCAACTGGTCCTCCGGGTCCTCCTGGTGGTGTTCCGGCAGTCCAACCTGATGGACCTTCCCCACCTCCAATACAGTCCTCAACAGCCTACTCCTTCCCTCCTGGCTCCATCGAGCAGTCCACCGTCGACATCACTATGCTCGACAACTTCCAGCCCGCACCTGGCATGCGTACAATGGCCCCTCGCGTTGGGCAAAACGTTCCCACTTTTGCTCCGATACAGCCAGTCCACGTCCCACCCATTCCGGGACCGCAGCCGAGTCACCCAATGCCCGCCCGGCCGCCACCCCACCAGCCACAACAGCCACAGCCATCGCAGCCACAAATGGCGTCACAGCCTCGCCCAAACGATTTCGACTGGGACACGCTCGATCCAGAGTTTATGAGCATGGTCAATCAAATGGGCGAAACCAGTACATCTGCACCGCCGCAATCCGTGCAGCAATCACAGCGGTTCCCGCAAACTCCATTTTCACAGTTTGGGTACTCACAGTCGGCGGCGGTCGGAGCACATTCGGGGTCTCAAACCGAGACCACTACTGATCGGTCCTCGCCGCCGCAATCGGAGCAGCCTACATCGTCTTACCAGCAGTACCACCACGGGGCAGTGTTGCACCCAGGATCGGCTGCTGCCAGTTACGCACAGATGCCAGTTGCGGCGCAGGACATTACAGGCCGTGTGTCCGGTGCCTTCATCGAGGATGCCGAGGACGAGGAGATGCCCGGCAACTCATCGCTGCCACCAGAGTGGACCGACTTCGACCTCGTGGGGGGTTGGTACGACCCTAACGACCTGCCGAAGCAGGCGCGTGCAGAGCTTCTTGGACACTTCTTTTCGAACAAGAAGACCCGCCTCAGCCGGGGATACCATGTGCCACGGTTCATGGCATCGCTTGACATGGCACCAAGCAAGCGTCCACACCCTTGTCTTGTCTACGCAATGTATGCACTTGTGGCTCGATTCTCGCCGGCCCCAAAGCTCAAGCGTCTCGAGGACCATTTCTATCAAATCGCCAATGCGCAGCTCACAAATGCCGTCAAGGCTGTCGACCGCCCGTTCGATGCCACACGCGCTGCCACCATCCTCACTGTCTACAACTTCAGTCAGGCGCACTACCAGGCAGCGACTATGATGCTAGGACAGGCCGCGAGGTGCGTCACATCATACCCCCATCGGTAGGCCAGTATGCTGACTACAGGCTCGCCTTCTCTTGCGGGTTGCACCAGATTCCGAGCTCGGTGTTCCAGCCCAGCCGCATCCCCACGGACCCCAATCGTGGGCGGCTGCTCGGTGTGATGCGCTCGCGTGCGTGGCTCCTCTTCCCGCCCAAGGATGCTATCGAACTCGGCGAGCGTATATGGGCATTGTGAGTGATACCCGATGGTCGGAAACTAACAGCAGCTGGAACATATACATTGTTGATAGGACAGGCGCGATCGGATCCCAGCAGCCGCCCTCTATTCCGGACTATGAGGTCCGCACACCTTTCCCGAAGCCTCTGTACGAGTACGAGCTCGGTCTCACCACGCACAAGGATGATTTCACGCTCAACTCGGTGGACGACGACGTGAATCCGCCACCAGAGATGCCCACTGACACGGACGCCTACTCCACGATTCTCTACATCCGCGCTCTAGCGTTACTAGAGCGCGCAAGCAAGCTCATGTACCTGCCAGTGGAGCGCGACTCGCCAGTGTACGATAACCTTACACCTTCTTCCATGACGTCTGACATGTCCGGGGCCGGCAACGCTCATGACCAGCCGCGCAACCACACAATGCCTGAGGTGGCTTCCGTCTCGCCCTCCTCGGACATTGACGACTACTTGAGATACCAGAACTATGCGGCGGACAATATGACCATGCGGCAGATGGCTGCGGCTGCGACGGCCAAGAGCAGCATGCGGTGTGCGCGCCTTCGCACGCCAAAGGCGTACGAAAAGGTGCGCAGAGCGTTGCTGCGCCTTGAGGCCGACCTTCCCCTAGAGCACCGTACGCAATGGGACCAATGGGACGGGCATGTTGCAATGTGGCTGTACGACAACCCTTCCAAGGAATGGGTCACCGTTGTAAGTCCTAACTAGTCAGCCTTGGAGTTGAGTCTGACAGTAGACTTTCTTGCGCGGGTGTGCGTGGATGTTCCTCTTTGATGTGTATTCGTACCAGGCGGAGAACACGGAGGCTGTGGCAGTGGCGAGGCGCCTTGCGCATACCATCAAGGCCCTATTCCCACAGGTATGTGCGCAGTCGGGGACTGTGAGCTGACCAGTAGGGACTAGCGGCCGACTTTGACGTGTTCATTTCTATCGTGTGAGTACATGTTCTCCATGCCAGCCCCAACTGACGGCAAGGTGGTTCTTTATCAGCAACATTCTTATCCGCGAAGCGAAGCGCCTACAGGCCCTTGGAGACTCTGTGGGCGCAGCCGAGATTGAGGCCGACTTCAACATCGTCGTGGAGGCGCTCAAGGTATACGGGAAGAGGCACGACATTGCCAAGATTCAAGTTAGTCGCGCTGAGAGCATGCGCGAGGCGACGCTCGACGACATGGAGTTTATGAAGGGTGACGGGTATGACAACGACCACCGCGGCAGAGTTGTTGTCGATGGTAAGACGGTCGACTAGAAGTCTCTTTGGTGTCACGATGCCGCCATGCCTGATATAAGGGGCATGCGTTGCATGTGGATTGTGGGCGCACGCGACGTTGGGTCGCGAGCTATGACCGGGAGATGCATACAAGTATAATGTGTCGCGAACAGCGGGGGCAGGTGCAGGGATCTCGTCCGGAAAAGCGGAGGCACTATGGCGGCTTCTTGGCTACGTGGCTTGGTGAGACATGCTCGATCGCCCGATTCTTGCGGCAGATATATGACCAGATGGCTTATAGCTGTGGCAGATGGATCAGAGATCAGAGAAAGATCGTAATGACGACAGACCAATTGGACGAGATTTGATTCCGATTAGCTTCACGTGATCTTTGAATTGATTGAGCACGCGCCCTCCTCCGCCTCCACCTTCCCTCCCACCTCCCTCCTTTGGCCGACGAACACGCACCCCCGCCCAGCGTACCAGCGTCGAGACACCTTTTGTCCTCGACTCTTTCTCTTATTGCGCATGCTCCGTACTCTCTCTTCCACAGGACGCTTCTCCACAAGGACTCTGGTCCTCAGCTCTGTCCGTCAACCCCGTCCACGCTTCATCTCCTCGGCGACGCGCGTTCTCCCCGGCGGCATCTCTGCCGTCCTCCACCCCTTGTCCTCGCCCCCATCGCCCTCTCGCGTCGCTCGTGTGATCGCCACCGCTCCCCCCTCCTTCCTTTCACGCCGCGCAACAAGCACCGTTGCCGCATCTCCCACTGGGTACGTACTCGCATCCGCTTACAGTCGTTTGCTCACCGCTGACACCCCCATCTCCACTGTCTGGCCTTTGTCCGACTTGACGCCCGTGCCATATTTGTCCCGCATTCATCACATCTATCGTTGTCGTGGTAATAACTCGATCTCTCACTCGGTAAATCTCGCCTCCCACTTCAAACAATACATCACATACGCCGGTGTGCATCCACTCGACACGACTGATCACCCCCAACCTTTCAATCTCTGCGTTCGTTCGGATCACCTCAATCATGGCCGTGCCTACGCGCGCACTGCTTCTTGCCGCTGCCTTGGCCCTTCTCGCTTGGCTCTACAGGACGCACGACTTTCCTCCGCCTTCTGTTCCCCTCTGGCGCAGCGCCAACCAGACGCCTGCCATGACCGTCCCCATTCCCGCCATCGACTTCCCTCCCCCTCCGCCTATCCCCACCGCCACTGGCAAGGTTGACCTCAAGCTCCCGCCTACCGAAGACCGCGAGCACCGCTACTTTACCCTCCCCAATGGTCTCGAGGTCATCATCGTGTCCGACCCCAAGTCGGACAAGGCTGCAGCCTCCATGGATGTCGGCGTCGGGCACCTCTCAGATCCCGTAGACCTTCCTGGCTGTGCTCACTTCTGGTACGCGCTCCTCTCTACCAACGATGGTTTCTGACACTGCAGCGAGCACCTCATGTTCATGGGAACCAAGACAGTGCGCCCTCGCCCTCCTCCGGCTGACTCCAGTTCCCGGCCGAAAACGAGTACTCGTCGTTCCTGTCCGCCCACAACGGCCAGAGCAACGCGTGGACAGCCATGTGCAACACTAACTACTACTTTGACGTTTCACCCGACGCGCTCGAGGGTGCGCTCGATCGCTTCTCAGGCTTCTTCAGCGAGCCATTGTTCTCTGAAGACTGCACAGAACGCGAGATCAAGGCCGTCAACTCGGAGCACCAGAAGAACCTTCAGCACGACCGCTGGCGCTCGTTCCAGCTCGAGAAGTCGCTGTCCAAGCCGGGACACGTCTACGGCAAGTTCGGCACTGGTGACTTCAAGACCTTGTGGGAGCAGCCCCGCGCAGCCGGTCGCGACCCGCGTCAGCAGCTCATAGAGTGGTGGGAGAAGGAGTACTGCGCCCGCCGCATGAAGCTCGCCGTCGCTGGTCGCGAGGACCTCGATACACTGGAAAAAATGGTGCGCGAGCGCTTCAACCGTGTTCCCGTTCGCACTGAGGGAGCGCCACCGACCGGACCCAACGGCGTGCGCGTGACCTTTGAGGACCACCCGTACGGGCCTGAGCAGCGTGGTGTAAGTGTTTGCACTTTGTTGGATTGGGGTTGGAGCGAACCCCAAGCCCGTTGCCCTACAGTCGTGCTCACACTCAGGTTGTGACCTTCGCCAAGGCGGTGCGCGATGTCCGTATGCTTGAGATTGTAGTTCCTGTACCCGACCTCAGCCATCTCGCGGGCCTCAAGCCTCTCAACTTTATCGGCCACTTTGTTGGCCATGAGGGTCGAGGATCGCTGCTGTCGTACCTCAAGAAGCAGGGCTGGTGCAATCAGCTTTCTGCCGGTTCCTCGCACGACGGCAACGGCTTCAGCTTCTTCAAGGTCATGATGCAGCTGACTCCGCAGGGCCTGGGTGAGTTTGCTCCAACAGTGGTGGTGCTGATGCCCAGAGTCGTGGCGTGACGTCGTTCTCGCGGTCTACAAGTACTTCGAGCTCCTGCGCTCATCACCTCCTTCGGAGACCGCATTCAAGGAGATTAGCCAGCTTGCTGAGATCTCCTACAAGTACGCTGACCGCGGAGAGACCAGGGACTACGTCACCACGCTCTCGGGTTGGATGCAGCACCCCGTTAAGCGTGAGGACATTGTCAGCTCGAACTGGCTTCTCGGCGAGTGGAACGAGGAATTGATGGTCAAGACATTCCAGCTCCTGGATCCACGCCAGTGCACTGTAGGCGTACTCAGCCAGCAGCTGCCGAAAGACGTTACTGCTACCTACGACTCAAAGGAGGTCGTTTACGGCACGGAATACCACAGCGAGCGTTTCACAGAAGAATTCCTCGCTGAGGCCACTACTGGCAAGCCCAACCCAGCCCTTCACCTTCCCGGGCCCAATGCCTTTATCCCCGAGAACCTACACGTAGAGAAACGGGGGGATGTGAAGCAGCCTGCTCTCCGCCCTGAGCTGCTGCGCGACAACGAGACCTCCCGCCTCTGGTACAAGCGGGACGACCGTTTCTGGCTGCCAAAGACCAACGTGCACATGGAGCTCCACAACCCGCTGATGGAGGCCACTCCTCGCACGGCTGTTCTTACGCGCTTGCTCTGCGACGCGTTCACGGACTCAATCACAGAGGACATTTACGACCCCATGTTGGCTGAGCTCTCGTTCCACCTTTGGTACTCTGGCGACACGATCAGCCTCCTCGTCGGCGGCTTCAGCGACAAACTCCCTCTCCTCACCGAGACCATGATGACGAAGCTCAGGAACTTCAAGGTCGACCCAGACCGCTTTGACAAGATTGTCTACCAGGCCAAGATGCAGTGGTCCAACTTCCCTCTAGCCGAGCCGTATCAGGTCGCTCACTACTGGTCGAGCTACGTGACCATGGAACGCACTTGGTCCCCCGACGAGAAGCTGAAGGAGCTTGACCACATCACGCCCGAGGACGTTCAGGCGTTCAGCCGCGAGCTTTTCCAGAAAATGTACATGGAGACTCTTGTCCACGGCAATCTCGGCGTCGAGGACGCCAAGCGCCTGCAGGACACACTTGAACACATTATTTCTGCTCGTGCCCTCTCGCCGGGCGAGCACACTAGTCGCCGCACGCTTCTCCTCCCGGAGAGCTCCAAGAGCGTCTGGGAGCTGCCCGTCAAGAACCCCGCAGAGCCTAACAGCTGTGTTGTCTACTGGATGTACACGGGCGAGGTCACGGACCCCGCGGCGCGCGCGCGCCTCGCTTTGCTCGGCCAGATAGTCCATGAGCCGGCCTTCAACCAGCTCCGTACAAAGGAGCAGCTTGGTTATGTCGCCATGGCGCAGGCGACTCGATCTGGTCTTCGGGTCCTTGTCCAGTCAGAGCGCGACCCTGTCTACGTGGAGACACGAATTGAGTCGTTCCTCACTGGTCTCAAGGACATCATCGAAAAGATGAGCGACGAGGAGTTTGACCGCCAGCGCCAGGCGCTCATCGACAAGAAGGAAGAGCAGCCCAAGAACCTGGCCGAGGAGAGCCGCAGGTTCTGGTCGCGCATTAGCGACAAGTACTACGAGTTCGGGAAACGCGCGACCGACATTGCTTTCCTGCGCAAGACGACGAAGCAGGAGGTTCTCGACCTGTACCTGTCTGCAATCGACCCCGCCTCGTCTGCGCGCCGAAAACTTTCCGTCCACCTCCGCAGCCAGGTCAAGCCTGGCTCGAAGGCCAGCCTCAACCCTGACGCCGTGCTTGTTCTCCTCAACGCGTTCCAAAATCACGGCGTGCCGGTCGACCAGGCTGCGGTGGGCGCGCTCATGGAGTCCAAGCCTGCGCCCGAGCAGCTACAGGCCCTGGCGACGAAGGCCGTCGCCGCGGCTTCGGTCTCGGAGGAAGCCAAGGCCGAGCTTGACGGTCTGATCGCCGCCCTCACCGCCAAGCCCAGCGGCGACAACAGCGCGAACGGGGCCGAGGAGCCTGAGCCTCAGCTTGCACCTGGAAACATCTACATCGATGATATCCACAGGTTCAGGGCGCAGCTCATCCCCAGCAAGGCTGCCGTGCCCCTGGAGCCGCTTATTGTGTCCAAGCTCTAGCAGCATAGAGAGCCGCAGGGACAGTTTGTAGTAGTATGTGTGATGACCATTCATCTGGCAGTACATGAAGCAGAAGTGCGAAGTTGTCTCTGTCTACATCTGCCCGTCCAATCGTCTAGCGGCTACCCTTCCACGGCTACCCTTCGATATGCACTGATGCACCTCCTAGCATGTTCACTCTTCAGCGCCACGCACCTCGTCCCCACGCACAGCGTCGGGCCCAAACTCGTGCCAACGCGGGTTGTACCGCACGTCGAGGTTGACGCCGCCGTACGCGTACCCGTTGAATCTCGCAATGGCCTCGGTGGCACTGGCAGCGCTTTCAAACTGCACGATGCCCTCGCCGCGGCTCACGCCGCCCTCCATTAAGATCTCGGCGAGCACCACAGGCGCGACCGTGACGAACAGCTCGACGAGGTCCATGTGTGCCGTTTCGCGGATAAGCTGGAGTCAGCGCCCCTCTCGTGGGCAGACTCACGTTACCGACCCAGATCTGCGGGCTCGGCTCGGATGTCGGCTCGCCCATCGTCTCGTCGACTGGCGCAGCATATGCCCCGTTGGCGCCGTCTGCGTCCGCACCCACGCCCGCGGCAGGCACACCATAGCCCTGCTGCACGTGCGCCGGCTGCTGGTAGCCTGCGCCCGCGCCATAGCCCGGCGCAAAGCCGCCCCCGAACCCTCCGCCGTCTCCCCTCCCAAAGCCCCCGAAGCCGCCGCGCCCAAACCCGCCGCGCGGCATCCCCCTCACCGCGCCACGCATGGGTGGGGCGCGCACGGCGCGCCCAGGCGCCGCAGCGAAGCGGTCCTCGCGCACCTCGAGCACACTCCCGTTCCAGTCGTACCCGTTGTACTTGCCTGCCGTCAGCCCGCCTCGCATGTGGTACGCACGGATGGCGGAAGCGGCGCCCTGCGCGTCCACGAACACGACGGTGCCGTTGCCCTTGGGCCGCCCGTCGGGCGTCATGCCCACGTCGGCGCGGATCACCTCGCCCGCCTGCCGCATCAAATCTTTCAGGTCCTGCCACGAGGCGCCGAAGGGGAGGTTGTTCACAAAGACGTTGCGGTTCGCCGGCTGGCCGCCAAAGGTCGCCGCCTCGCCGAGCGCCATGCCGATGCGCCCCGGGATCGGCTGAGCGCCGAAACGCGCGTTCTGCTCCCGGTCCTCGCTGTCAGCTGGGCACAGCGCATGACTCACCGGACGCAGGAAGACTGCGCGGCCCATGAACATCTTCTCGCTGAGCTCGTTGATGGCCGTGCGCGCTTGGTCGTGCGTCGCGAACTCGACGACACTCGCCTTCAGCTCGTTCCTTGCGTCCCACTCACCCGCAGCCTTTCGAGTTGCCCTGTGGCGTGACGAGAATCTCAGAGAACACGACGTCACCGCCAGCTGAGAGCGTTAATGGTGCTGATCATTCATGTGTATGAAGGATAGTAGTGGCCTCGGTCATATCGCTGCCAAGCACGGGTGCTCCTGCTCCTTTGACGCAATCAAGATGCCATCCAAGCCAACTGCCAGTCCCAGCCCTTCCAGTCCTTCTGCGATCCGAGTCCCTCGCTCTTTCCCTGTCCGTCCTCTCCTTCTCCCAGTCCCAGACCTTAGACCCCCTTCTCCCATCTCGATACCGCCGCCTGATCCAGCACATGCCTCCCGCTCGCCTCCAGCCCGGTGGCCATGTTCCATGATCTCGATTCGGCGGGTATCGACGCTCGGACTCGGACTCGCACTCAGACCTGAAAGCTCGCTGGGACTTGGGCGAGCCGGCAGTTTGACGCATAGCTTGCGCACTCTCCAGCTGACTTGACCGCAGCCCGTCTCCTTCTCGCAATCTGCACGTCCACATGACATGACCAGGGACGTACCTTGACGCATAAAGCGCTCGAGATCCTTGTATGTGACTTCGTACTTGAGGTTGCCGACGTACAGGCGGTTCTCGCGGCGGCTGACGCGGGCATGTGCCTCAGCCTCGGCTGGTGGCGCGTTCATGGGCCCGCCTTCGCTGTGGAACACGGGCTGCGAGCTGGACATTGACCCCCACCGCCGGCGAGGCGGGCGGTCACGGTCATGGTCACGGTTACGATCACGGTCGCGGTCGCGTCGGTCCCGGTCATCTCGTCGCCTCTCGCGGTCCTGGTCGCGGTCACGGTCGCGGTCCCGAGAGCGCGATTCTGAACGTGCCGAGGCTGGACGGTAGAGGTCGTCCTCTCGGTGCGAGTGCGAATGAGAGGGGCGTCGCCCGCGATCGCGGTCGCGCTTACGGTCATGGTCGCGGTCCTGGTCACGGTCGCGGTCACGATCGCGGGAGCGCGAACGTGTGCGGCGGTGAGGCGAGCGAGATCGTGAACGGGAACGGTGCTGGTGTGAGACCGAGCAGCCAGTGAGGAGGGTACGGGGCAGTAGAGACCAGCCGCGTGAAGGTGGGGAGAAGGACCCCGACGCGCGGATGGTCACAGAAGAAATGAGTCGCAATGGCTGCATGGAACGCAGTTCATCGCCAGAGGTCCTACGACGCAAGCGCCCTGTTGAGAGTGTCGAGTGCGAGGAGGGAGTGATTGGACTGGGCACTAGGATGCAACCAAACGGAAATAGCACTCACGCGTTCACGGTCGTCGTCCCTGTCGCGCTCACGACGGCTGTTGCGGCGCTCACGCTCGCGCTCACGGCTCCGGCTGCGGTCCCGGTCGCGCCGCCCGTGCTCCCTGTCGTCATGGTCGCCCCGGCGGTCGTAATCGTCGCGACTGTCTCGACGATCGCGGGTGTCTGCTGTCAGCTGGACTCGGCGCTCGGCGCTCGTCAATCCAGCATACCGTAGTCTCGGCTTTCGTCCATTGCGGACATGATGGTTAGTAGACAGCGACGGAGAGTGTGTTTATTAGACGGTAGCTGCCGCCGCGTGGGGATGGGGACGAGTCTTGTGGATGTGTCAACATGACGCAAGGCTGGCTCCGCACCCGGACCTATCGGAATTCGCCGAGTGTGGCGCTCCCAGATCGCGCATGATAGACATGGTTTCGCGACAACGCAAGCTATACATGACAAGATACCTATGCTCTACATCGCCTCCCCCTGATCGTTCGTGCGTCGTGACTAGTGGTGGTGCTGCTTATTCTGGTGGCGTTTCAATGCATCCTGCCTGTGGAATGTCAGTTTATCCTTCTGAATATCTTGGGAATCCAAGTTACTCACCTTGTAAAGTACTCTAAGCACACCTTGCAGCGAATTCGTGGCTTATCCCGGATCGTCTTCCAGAGCATAGCCTTCTCCTCTGGCAACTTGCCCTCCTGTACGAGATCGCCTTCTCTGCGCGCGTGGCGTGCCATGTGTCGTGGAATGTCGTATTTGCGGGTAAAGACGTCTGGACACCTCTGGTAGGGCGGAAGCGGGTTGACATACTCGCACTGCACGCCGCCAGCGGGAATTGGCGGCTTGCCGTCAGACGTCGTGCTGGGCCTTCTAACTTTGGGCGGCTTTTTTGTCGCGGGTGCAGGTGAATCCTTGCTTGAGGACGGGGATACCGGCGCAGCTAGCATGGGTAGCGTTGGGCGCACACGAGAGCCCTTGTCCTTGGAGTATCTGCGGATTCGTTTTTTGCCTGCGTTATACTCGCTCTCAGATGCGCTGTGGGGGGACTCAAGGTCAGAATCCTCGCTAGGGTCACTCGGCGGGATCCGGAGACTCGAGTCAGGAGTCTCCTGATCCTTCTTGTATCGAGGCCGCTTCGTCGGAGGCTCGGCTGTCCTAACTTGATGAGCCTGGCCGTCAGGAGGCGTGCCCTCGAACCGAGGCGAGTTGTCGTAGGTAGGTGGGATGGCCTTTTGGCGCCATTGCGCCACAGCCTCGCGCTTAAGATGCGAGTTGTATGACCTGTTTCTCTGGCCTTGGCTCTCGTGTCGATCGACGGCGGCAACGGCCAAGAGCTCCAGACCACTCGCAGACGACGACGAAGGAGATACTCCGCGAGGACCTACAGTGTGGTCATCTTCATCATTGTCACCCGTACCATCCGCGGACGCCTCGCGCTGCCCGGGGTTCGGCGTCAGGGGTCCACTCGTCGTGACGCTGCTGGAATTACCTCCCCCAGGCGACGGAGGCTTCCGAGTGCTAATAATCGACGGCGGGGGCATGGTCGTATTGGACGAGCTGCTCGGCTTCCCGGTGTAGTAGAACGGGTAGTTGAAGGTGGTGGCGGTAGGTCGCTGCGAAACAGAATCGACCCATTGCACGCCAGGAAGGAAGTCGGACTCCTCAGACGAGGTCGACGAGCCGGAGGAGACAAATGATCCGCCCGTTCTGAGCTCTCCACGGTCACGCATATCGCCGCCAGGACGGCGTTGGACGTACGCTGCTGCAGCTCGAGGTAGTTCGTACTGATTCGAGGAAGGGGCAGAAGGCATCATATTACCAAAGTTGCGCTGGACAACGCTGGCTGTGCCATTGATTTGGCGCACGGCCTCGTCTGTCTGCGCAAGTTGCTTAGCAATCGCCTCATCGTCCGCGGCGATGCGCACGTCGCCGTCCTCGTCCTCCGACGAGACCGGGTAATTAGGGAAGCCTTCTTGGTTATACTGCGAGCCTAGGGTGGCTGGTATGCCCATGCTCGACACGAACGACTCTGTCGAGGTCGACCGCGCCTTGGTCCAGCGCGAGGGTCGAGGAGGGTGGTGCGAGCCGTTGGATGCAGGTGCGGCCGGTGTGGCAAACGTCGACGACGGAGTCTCCACTGATTTAGGCTCCTCCGTCAGCTTCTGCGAACCAAGGATAGCGGTGCGGTTCTCGGTTGAGGGCGTGCCGGCACCGTCCGACCCTCCAGAAGGCTCTTTGCTAGGCGGTGCGGATTTGGCGGACATGGCTGACGGCGGGTTGGAGGCGGGTACAGGCGGAGGCGGCGCCAAGGGAAGCTGCTGATGCCCCGCTATGGCGGTTCTCTGGACTGGTTCGTCTTCGCTACTCATCGTAGGGGTCGGTGATGGTGGCCGAGCGAGTCGACCTGGGACGAGGAGATAGGGGACAGGAACAGCGTCGGGGGAAAGTAGACGGGGACAAACCGTCTGCCAGCCAGTGTAAAACGAGTTTGGCCAGTGATCTGAGAACATTGGGTAAGCGTGAGGAATGGGAGATGTAGTGACAAGGTTGAAGCACCGTTGAGACCTTGATACTTGCCTTTGAGCCTTTGAGGTAAAGATGTAGATGCGCCTGTGGACCTGTGGGGTGATGGCAGTGGACTGTGGGGCTGCGAGGGGGGTGGGATGGATCGGAAGCAAGAACGAGGCTTCTGGTCGGGGGCGTGACACGTGAGATGAGGGAGGTCACTTGGTGTCTGCGGGGGGGGGGTAGGATGAGGAGGGATGGGATACGGGAGAGAACTAAAGACGGAGAGGGAGCAGGGGAGAGGTCAGAGGGGAGAGGGGAGAGGGGAGGAGGGAAAGTAACAATGTGGAAGAAGAAGATGATGGAGGGTGCGAAGAGAGGCTGATGGATGACGGATGGAGTGAAGAGGAGGAGTGGAAAGACGATCACGACGGCGACGACGACGACGAGGATGAGGAGGGAGGACGAGGAAGACGGGGGGTGACGGTGGCCCTGGGGGGGTCGGAGCCTGCGCTCAGTTGGGCGGCGAAACGACAAAGGGGCGGGGCAGCGGGATCAAATTCATCTTACTGCTGGGTGGCAAATGGCACCTCGCCAGGGACTCGTCTTCAGAATGCCGATTTGCCACTGGCCAGTGGCAAATTCCCAGTTGAAAATTGGTTCCGCGATCGTGACTCTCATTCTCCGGGCGCATCAGCACTGCCTCAGAGAGGCGGTGTGGACACTCGGCAGCATGAAAGGTGACGCACAGGCGGCAGGCGGCAGCCAAAGGGCTAACGACAAAACTTAGGCTGTACAACATGCATATCATTACTATCAACAGTGTTCCTTTTACTCGCTCTCGGGACCTTGCTGTCGCACAGCGGTGCGGCACACATGTCCACATCCCGACGGGCAGACGTTCGTGATGATCACTGCTGCGCCCTCGCTCCCGCCCTCGCTCGTTCCGTCTGGGGTAACGAGCTCGACCTGCTTCATTCTGCCATGAAGGCCAGATGAATCGTAAGACGTAGCAGCCAGCCCACTCGCTGTCGAACTGTACGACGACGAGGGAATGCCCGCAGCGGGTTGCTGATACGAAGCGCGTCGGATTGCCGAGGCACCGGCTCCAGAGGTAGGTGACGGTGCTCGAGATATGTCGGGTGCTGGTATGATAGTAGCCTTGGCAGATTTCACTGAGGTCAGCCACGTCTACAGCCGTGTTGACGGCATGAGCACGCACTGTAATACGCCCGCATACACCGCTGGTGGCCCCCATGGCGGCACTTGTTGCACCCCATCCATAAACCCTTGACAGGCTCCCGGCTGGCGTGAGCTCCCGCAGCAAGCTTAACTCACCAAATCGTGCAAAGCTTGGCGGCACGGCGACATTTGAGACACCACCAGAACGTCTTGGTCTCATGCGAATCGTCAAGGGACCCTGTCGACTTGCCACACTTGGCGCAGTACTGCACGTGTGTGACACCATCCATGGCAGAGCGCGTTTGCGCCGAGAGCACATTAGAGAAACGGCGGTAGTACGCCAGAGGGATGGAGAGATGGTGCGCTTCAAGCATATCTGCTGTAAGCCACTTTCCACGTCCACAATCTCACCGAGATATGTGTCGAGCACGCGCTCCGCTTGCTTCTCGGGGAAGGAAATAACCTTGGACCCCACAATGTACAACGCCGTTGCTAGCTGCACCTCGCCCTATCGTCAGTGAAGGGTCATAAGCGTTAACTCACGTCGTCAATGTACGCCTCCCACCAGTCGAGGAACGACTGCGTGCGCGCCTCGCGGTACTCGTCCCACTGGACGGGCGGGAACGCTTCCTGCGCTGGCCGAGTGATGGTGACAGGCTGAACTCGGTCCATCGTACGGTCGGTTACGGAGGGACGCTTACTGCCGCGCGCTGACCCAGTCGCGCTGCGACGCCCCCCGTTCGACATGCCGCCCTTGTTTGGAGACGGGGCACGAGTGCTCTGTGGTGTGGAGCGAGAGGAGCGCGAGCGTGCAGCACCGATTTTGGAAGGCTGAGAGGCCGCAGCCTCAAGCGCGGCGGATATGCCATACGCATCTGGGTAGTCCATGTCTGCGGTCGGAGTAACCGATTCATCCTCGTCGGAAAGCGGAGTCTCGAAACCCAGCTTCTTTGTGTTGCGCATAATCCCACTCTGGGCAAGAAGAGAGGAGCCGGACGACGCCCAGTGGGCGATATTGGGGCGGTGTGCGTCGTTTGCGTTTGGAGGGACGAACGACTTGAAGCGGCTCCTTGGTGGCGTCTCGGGGCCATCGGATTCAGACGAGCCGGAGCCGCCATCCGAAGGCTCAATCTCGGGCGCAACCAAGTCCTCTCCTCGCAGCATCGGGACACCGGGAAAGGCACCCGCGTTAATCGTCTCGTCGCTTGGTCGTCTTGTCTCCAGACCATGTGGTGAAGGGGGACGAACCGGCATTATTGTTGCCGCCTGCGAGAAGACAGACTCATTGAACATGCCTTCGTTCGTCTTCCCAAACTCATCAAAGATGCCAATGAGGAAGTCCCAAGCGCGCGCGTCGTCTGTTCGACTGCACATGGATGCGACGTCGCGGTTCCACTGACAGAGCTGGATAGGTGTCATGCCCTCGAGACGATAGTGGTTCGCGATGTAAGCGAACTCGTCCTTGTCGACCCAGCCCAGCGGAAGCACGCCCATGGCCTGCACAGGCTCGTAAGCGTGGTCACCCGGCGCTTTGCGATGCCGGCCGCCAACCTGCCAGTGCGCAGAATATTCTGTCTTCCTGTCTGTCAACGACACAAGATATGAAAAACGTACACATCATCGAAGGGGATTTCGCCCAACTTGAAGCGATCGATGGCGTACGCAACTTCGCCCTTGGAGCTAAAGGCTACGACTTGTCGTGGAATAGTTTCAAGCGGAAGCGTTTTCGGCGCCACTCTGCTATGGAGGTCGATCTGCACCAGGCCGCCGTTCTGGTAGCAGGCGACGACAGTGTCCTCGTCGTCCCACGATGCAGCGATCGCCATGCTGTCATGCCCGGGCAGTGCGTACTTGGCGATGTAGTGGCGTCGCACATCCCACACCTCCAGGGACTGCTCCGACTCAAGAGGCAGCGGAGGTGGCGCCTCCGGGCGGTTGGAGTCAGGTGAAGCCGTTGCAGTGAGTTGGTCCCATGGCACGACAACCAGCTCGGTCGCATGTGACGGACGCCAGTCGACACGGCGAGTTGCATACGTCGTGTGAAGAACATGAGTAGCTGTCGCCCCTTTCTCCCAAGGCTGCGACATGTCCCAAATCTGCCGTGAGCGCCTCACTTCCTTATCAATTACCTGCACGGTCCTGTCACTGCCCGCACTCGCGAGCCAGCCCTGGCCCGGTAGGGTGAACTCTTCGCTCTCCTTCCACTTGAGGTCCATCACAGCCTTAGAGCCGTGCGCGCCCCACACTTTACCGATTGCCTTGCCTGGCACTCGAGAATCATAGCGATATAGGCCGCCAGTATCGGTACCTACGACGAACTGATGCGGGTCATCGAGGCAGAGCGAAAGAGCTGTAATGGAAGCGTTGTGCTTGTAGTGCTTTCTATTTGCAGGCTCGGCTGCACGAAGATCCTAGGCGTGAGCACTCTTCCATACTGGCGGTGCTCACCCATAATCTCACTTGCCCCTCTTGCCCGCCAGTCAACACCATGTGCGCGAAGCTAGGCATCTTGGAGGCGCGGATGACGTTCACCGAGCGCGTATGCCCCCCGCCTACCTCACGATCGAGCTTGCCGCGCTCCACATCAAAGATCATCCAGTGCACGCTGGGCGTTGCTGTCATAATCTTGTTCTCAAAGTCTGATCGTCAGCAAACCATCTCAACCTCGCTCACTCCCACACCCCCAGTCGACATCGTTGACGCCCTTATTTGGGCTCCACGACGGACGCCACAGATTTACGACCTCGGAGATGCCCACGCCACCCGGGCCGCGTCCGAAAGGGGAACGCGATTTCGGCGACGCTGTGCCCTCCGCCGCCGGGTTCGTCATCTCGAGCACGCGCAAGTCTAAGTCAGCACGGGGACCATCTGCTGGTGACTTACATTGACTGCCGCCGACGACGTATCGCCCTTTGGGCCCTTTGGCCATAGCATTGAGCCGGCCGGTGGCGGCGGGCCCCGCTGAGTTGCGATTGCGGCGCTGGGTCTGGACGCTGGCCGCCATGAGGTTGACGCGGAGTGAGCGATCAGGCCCGCGACGGATCACAGCGGCGGGTGTCGAGGCGCCGGTATGTTTACGGCTGTCAGGCCCAGAGGAAGTGGAATCAACATCGGTCGGGCGACGCTGGCGTTGAGTGCGTGCAGCTCCTGCGTCCACATCAGAGTGCGAGCGATCAAGGGTTGGCGGGGGCGAGGGGAAGCGGGTCGCGCGAGGATCGTCATAGATTGACCGTGCGCCTACATTGACACTCAACGACAAGTGTCGCTCGACAGGCGAAGCCGCCCCCGTCACCGAGTCCTGAGGGGTATGGTTCGCCGGCGACCCCTCGGACCCGGCGGACCCGGGCATCGAGCTGGCGTCAGAGGGGCGTACAAGGGTGGGCCTACGGGTAGAGGACGGTGGTGAGGCGGTTCATGCCGCGTGCCACAGTCTGGGCGAAGATGAGGGCGTCGGTGTTGGAGTGCCACTCTGATGTGCGCGTTTGCTGGAAGCTTGAGCGCGCGCGTTGTTGCCTTCCGCCGTCCTTGAGCGGCGATGACGCCCACCGAAACCGTGGTTGGCCCAAGCTCGGGGTGAATGGCAGGGCGGAGATCATTCCGTCTCCGTATTTCACTCTAATGTCGCTGCACGTGACCTCTTGGCGAGAAGAGGGCCGATGAAAGCGCGGGGTCGTCGCGGGCTTGGACTCTGGCATCCTCTCTGATCTCAACAAAGACATAAAAACAATGCCGCCTCCTCCGAGCACGACGCAGGGTGGTTCCAACTGGGACAAGAGTGAGTGCGAGTGGGTGTGAGAGCTGGTAGGGCCGGCGAGCGGGGGTGTTGGCTCTCACTTCTCCCCGCTTCATTCGCACCAGCTGGAGGCATTCTAGATGTACATCCGCTAACGTGCAGTGAAAATGGGCTTCGTCATGGGAGGCGGTGTCGGTCTCACCATTGGCTTCATCTTCGTGAGTACTTGGTTTCTGTTGGGGGGTCTTCACCGGCTCCCCTTCCTGGGAACTATCTGAAACCTCGCCCACAGTCGACAGATCGCTAACAGCAGGGATCGTTCTCCATTCTCCGGTGAGGCGCCCCCCCCCCCCCCGCAACAGGGTGTTAGACGTCCGCTGACATTAGTGCTGGCCCCGGCCCGCGCGGCGCCCTCGCGACCCTTGCCCAGTACATGGGCTCGTCCGCCGCGACGTTCGCATTCTTCATGTCTATCGGATCGGTAAGTGCGCCTCGATGTGCCGCAGAGTGTCGGCGCCTGGAAGTTTAACGCCTTCAAGGGTTATGACGGGTCACAGATGCGTCTCTGAGATTAGGAGGTAGTCGCTTGGTCTCGCCCGCCTCAAGTGCCAAGCAGCTCCCTCGACCACTGATGGCTGTCGGGCGGCTGTGGCAACCTCAATGAGGCTGCCTGCTCCACACCTCATATGTCTCCTTCTCCACACACACACTGACCCAAGGTTATCCGCACGGAAGAGAAGTACGCGCACGCGCTCAAGGACGCGGCGTCCGCACGCATCCACGCGCAGCCCTCCCCGTGGACGGCGGCGTACCGCAGCGCCATGGCGAAGAAGGAGCTCTAATCGGACGCGAGCATGCAGCATTGTCATTCCTGGGAGTGCTGATGAGTAGCCGGGCGGCGTCCTCTCGGCTATGACTTTGACTGATGGGTCTCGGTCACATCTAATCTGTCTTTGCCGAGTACTACAAATACAACCCCTAGGCTCCCTGGTTGAGCTAGACACACCAGTGCGAGACGGGGGCGTGAGCGTGGCCGCACTCTGACCGTCTTGGACGCGGGTCCTGTAATTTTCCAACAACACTCTACCCCATAAACTGACCACGTCCTAAAAGTCTAACATCGCTCGCCGTGGATCAGTAGGACGGGGCACGCGTACTCCGTGACCATCGATGATCACGAAGCGGTTACACAAAGGGTTGCCGTCTAACACAACACTTGTTCACGATTGCATTAGCGTTAAAGTGTCCACGAAAGCTAGTGTAGAAGTGTTCAATACGGCAGCATCAGAGCCAGAGAACGATGCCATTGCCGCAAGCCTGAGCTGACCGTGGTTGCGCCCATGCCGCTCACAAACACAGGCGATGTACTTGGCTTGCGGACGTATTGAGTATTGAAATATTTGACCGCCGCTCGCCGGCGAGAATGCAACAACAGAGCCCCGCTCCATACATGCACTGACGATGAGGTAGGACGTATCGAGCTTACCAGCCGAGCATCTTCTTGGCCTTGCATAGCGTGTCAGCGGTTATTTTGCTCGTCGTGAGCAGGCTTCACCCGCGTGAAGGCGGAAACGAGCTCACATCCATTCTCGACGTTCCTCTCGGGCGCAAGATTTGCAAGGCGCGATTTCGGGCGGACATGGCTTGGAGCCGTCGTGGAAATGGGAGTAACTTACGTGTCTAGCCAGAGACACCATTCGTGGCCCACCCTCGGCAATCACTGGGGAGGGACGGAGAGAGAGAACGGTGGAAGTGAGAACCCAACAAAGTCCCTCGAGACAAAGATTTCCTACAGTCATCAACTCGCCGGGTGCCCGGCCTCCAGCCAGTTGTGCAAAACATATGATGTGTGTCAGAGCTATGAGCGTGCGTGCAGCGTGAGTGGACGATTTGTGCTCCAGATGCGGCGACCAGTCCGATGTGTAAAGACTCGCTTCCACTGAGATTCGAACAGCGAGGCTTCGAGTTTTGGCCGCGGGCGGTCGAGCGCGTCACCGAGGCTTCTTGGTATAGTGGTAGCATGGCCGCTTCGGGCAATCCCGCTCCAATAGGAGCATACGATTGCGGTCGACCCGGGTTCGATTCCCGGAGAAGCCCCGCTTTTTAGCGCTGTCAGCTGCAGTTTCTGGGACCCAGCAAGATCACCCAATCTCAAGAACATGCGCGAGACAAACGATCAAAGTAATCAGTGCATATCCAACTATGCTACTCTGCGTTCTTCTTCTTCTTCCTCCGCCGCTTCTTGCCTTCGCCTGCGCCTTCCGCAAGCTCCACGATAGGTGACGCAGGAGCAGGCGCTTCTTCGACCTTGCGCCTCTTGACGCTCGGCTCCGCCTGCTGCGCCTGGGATGGCACATCGTGTGCCTCACCGGCTTCGGCAGCAGCAGCCTTGCGCTTCTGCCGCTCCTTCTTGCCCAGTCGCTTGCCCGGCCGTCCGGCGCCGTCCTCAGTCGACCTGCGTTCTCCGAGAGGCTGAGCGTTGGCGCCTGCCGGGCCCTGGCGCTCGATGTGGAAGCTCTTGCTCGGCCCTGCCTCCGCCCCGCGCTCGCCTTCCTCTCCCCATCGCCGCCGTGCAAGCTTGGCCTTAAGATCGCGCACCTTCCGACCCAGACCGACGCCGGCGCGTCCGAGTCCCCCGCGGCGATACGGCTGCATGTGCTTGATGCTCACGAGGGAGTTGAGCTCCGCGTCCGTTGCAAGCAGGATCTCGGCGGGCGTGAGCCCGAAGCTCTGCGGAGCAGTGCGTGTATACTTGAAGCGCGTGCGGAGGCCGCCGACCTCGTCCTCGTGGTCGAGGTCGCGGATCTCGTCAGCCGCAGCCTTCATGCGGGCGGCGCGCTCCTCCAGACTCAGCGGCTCGTCCGTGTCCTCGTCGGCGGCCCGACGCTTCTTTTTGTCCTTCTTGCTGTCCTTCTTTTTTGATGGCTCATCAAAGGAGATGAAATCCGCGTCCATGTTAATCGGACCGTCCCACTCCTCCTCGTCCCACTCCTCGCCGTCCCACGCTCCCTCGTTGGTGTACGCTGCGTCCTCGGGATCTGCCTGGTTGTCGCCGTCGCCTTCATCCTCCGCATCCATGTACTCGTCTCCAAGCCCATCGTCCCAAGTAGGCTTGTCGTCGTCGTCGGCATCCCGCTGGGCGAGAATACCGCCAACTACACGCTCCCATTCTGCCTCGTCCCATTCGCCCTCTAGCACTTTCTCAAGGCCCGCCAGGTCGACGCCGTCCCCGAGCTCCTTCTTGAGTGCAGAAAGCTGAGACTCCATCTCACGCCGTTTGGAGTCCTTCTTCTTCTGCACCTCTGCCTCGCGCGCAGCCTTCTCTGCCGCTTTGCGCTCCTCGCGTGCCTGCCGCTTGAGCTTGCGGGCGTCGTCGCCGCGGCGCACGGCGCTCTCGATTTGACGAGGGTGCGTCACAATCGTCGCGGCACCAGGCTCCTCAAAGCGGAAGTTGTACTCGGTCTCGAACTCCTCCGCCTTCTCGTCGAAGTCCTCCTCCTCGTCGATCTTGCCCCAAGGCGTGTCCTCGCCTTCGTCCGACTCGTCGTCGGCGCGCTCGCGCCCGACAATGTCCTCATACGTCGGCACGGCCTTCTTTTCCCTGTCGATCCAGCCGCGGTTCAGAATGTAGCTGGAGTCAGCGGGATCTTGAGGTTACTCACTCCATGAGGAAGTCCTCGTCCGCTTTCGCACGCTTGGCCTTGCGCTTGGCCTCCTTCTTGGCTCGCTTCTCCTCAGACATCTCCTTCTCCTCCTCCTTCTTCTTCTTCTTCGGCTTCTCGTCGTCCTCGAATTCGCGATAGTCGGTGACCGGCGCGTCGGCCATGCCCAGGGCAGCGCGCACCTCAGACTCGCCACCGCCCATCTCGAGCAGGAACTCGCGGTAGGCCGCGTCCTCGGCCTCATCTTCGCTATCGTCCTTTTCGCGCTTCGTGATCACTTCCCCGTCGTCGGAGTCGTCATCGCCGAAGGCAGCGAAGGCAGCACGCGCCTCGGCCGCAGCTCGGCGCGCCGCCTCGACGTTAGTCAGGGGCTCCTCGTCTTCGTGATCAGAGTCAACCCCGTCGAGAAGGTTCTGCCTGTGCAAGTCCTTGAGAAGGAAGGGCTTCTCCGCCTTCTGCGCCGAGCGCGCACCCAGACCACGCGCGCCAGCGGCCGCTTGCGCCGCGGCTAGCTCAGCCTCGAGAACCTTGTCGGTGCCGTACACGCCCTCCTTCCTGCGGATCTTGGCGAGTGTGCGAAGAATCGCAGCGTCCATCGCCGGTGTCAGCTCCTCACCGTCCTCATCCTCCACGGTGTCGTCCGAGGAGTCGCTGGAGTAGTCGGACTCTGATGGTGAAGGTGTCGGCTCTGGCGATGACTCGCGCTTGGACGTGGGCTTGTCGCCCTTGAGTGCAGACTTGTCTTACTGTCAGCACTAGTGTTAAAGAACCACCGAGCTCACTCTTTCCCATGATATGGCAGCCTGCAACTATGTGCGATGATGATCACCTCGCCCCCTTCAACCGAGATTCAACTTTTGGGTGGCGGGTGGAGGCGGCAGAAGCTGTTGATTTGAACACCAAGTACGTGTACTAAAAATTGTCTCAAACACCTGTAATGTCCGCACCTCCCCGTATCACTCTGCAATCTCTGCATCTCGGGGGCCGTCACCCAACCGCGGCGCCGACTTTTCTCCAGACACCCCGAGCATCGCACTCTTCCCACCCACATCACACTCCGCACAACTCGACAGGCCATGCTCTCCCGGGCTGCCAGATCCGCATGCCGGCGCACGCCCGCCGCATCCATGCTCTCTTTGCGGGCGGCGCACAGCTCGGCGCCCCGCCCCGCCTCCGCAGCAACCGCTACGTCCACATGGGCGGCGGCGACCGAGCACGCGCACTCGGTGCTCGCCAAGCCGCCGCCACCACGGCAAGCGGACGACCGCCTCGACCCGCTAGCGGTGATCAAGGGCGAGATCGGGGCGCTGAAGGGCTCGCTGTTCCACATGCTCGGCTCCAGCCATCCCGCACTCGACGCCGTGGCGAAGTACTACTTTAACGCCGAAGGGAAGCATCTCCGCCCGCTGCTGGTGCTGCTTATGAGCCAGGCCACGAACGGGCTCGCCGGCGGGTGGGGAAGCATGGCTGCCGAGGCGGAGGAGCAGCTGCGCTCCGGAACGGGCGGGATCGACGACGCGCTTACGAGTGAGGGCGGGGTGCTCAACGACTGGAACCCCGAGAGCATGGGCCCCGAGCCGAAGGGCGCCCAGACATTCACATCACCATTTAGGATACCGCCTGCGGGCGCCGTGGCGCCACCACCACCAGCCATCACGCCGAGCCCGTCGGCGTCGCTCCTCAGCACGGGGGGCGCGGCCGGGGGCCTCGCGGCCACGATCTTGCCGACGCAGCGGCGGTTGGCGAGCATCACGGAGATGATCCACGTCGCGTCGCTGCTGCACGACGACGTGATTGACAACGCGGATCTGCGGCGCGGGGAGAAGAGCGCGCCATCAGCATTCGGGAACAAGCTCTCGATCCTCTCGGGCGACTTCCTCCTCGGGCGTGCGTCCGTCGCGCTCGCGCGCCTCGGGAGCCGCGAGGTCGTCGAGCTCCTCGCGACTGTCATCGCCAACCTCGTTGAGGGCGAAGTCCTCCAGCTCCGCGCGACCGCCAACCCCGCGAAGGAGCCCACACCGCAAGGTTTCGAGGAGTACATGCGCAAGACGTATCTCAAGACGGCGAGCTTGATGGCGAAGAGCGCGCGCGCCGCCGTCATCCTCGGCGGGTGCAAGGGCTCGGAGGCGGCATGGCTCAAAGACGTCGCGTACGGCTACGGGCGCAACTTGGGCATTGCATTCCAGGTGAGTAGCTGGTGACGGGGTGGCGCGGCACCGGAATCCCAGTGCGGCCAAAGCTGCAGCTTGTGTCTGGCTGCAGCGACGGCCATCGGGGGGATGGGTGCTTCCCGGCCCACTGTTACGGCTTCTCGGCTCGGACCGCCGCTGACAGCAGCTCGTCGACGACATGCTCGACTACATGCCGTCGAGCGTGGACCTGGGCAAGCCGGGGTCTGGCGCGGACCTGCGCCTGGGCCTGGCGACGGCACCGGCGCTCTTCGCGTGGGAAGAGCACCCCGAGCTCGGGCCGCTGATCGCGCGCAAGTTTGAGGGCGAGGGCGACGCCGAGATCGCGCTCGACCTCGTCAACCGCAGCCGGGGGATGGAGCGGACGGCAGCGCTCGCGCGCGACTTTGCCGCCGAGGCGCGCCGCCTCGTCGAGCTCCTCCCGCCGAGCCCGGCGCGCGACGCCCTCGTCGGCCTGACGCTCAAGGTCGTCGACCGTGTCAAGTAGCCCTTTGCAGGCCATCACGCCGAGTAGCGGCGGCGATGGCGTATATCACACTTCACCGATGATTGAGACGGACAACGGACGACAAGGACGAACGTACAGGGCCATAGAGATTAAGGACCCGACTATCCGCCGTTTGGCACGCCACACCGCTATGCATTGCATCTGATATGTGGTCAGGGGAGTTCGCCCAGAGGGAGTGGGAGAAGTGGGATGCAAGCACAGGGCATTCTGATCACGAGGACAAGAACAAACGAAGAACAGAACAACGCCGTGTGGATCGTAGATCGTAGATGTAGCTGCTGATCAGGCCGAAACAAGAGGACAATCATTGATGTCATGCACACAAACAGCGCCACGGGTGATCGCCGTAACACACCGTGACACACGTGCCCGTGCATCTGCGATCTGCGCGCCAATCGACACGGCCGCGTTTCACGGCGCGCCCTACGGATTCTCAGCCGTGGCAGGATGCCGGGCCGCTGGACGCTGGGGAGGCCGTGGGGGTGCGCGAGTGCTTCATGCTTGACGCGAAAGGTTCTTTCCGAAGTGTGCCATGAGTGTGTCATGAGTGTGCCAAGATAGTGTTGAGGCCCCGGGCTTGCCCTTCGTCTTCCATGTGCCTTGGCTTACGCAACGCGCTCAGACCTATTCTTGTATCGCACGTCACGGCCTGCTACAGGAACGGGGTTGCTCCTACGTCTCGTTTGCGATCCAACCACGTCAGCCAGCTGCCGGCGCTACATGCATGCATCACAGTACGGAGCGCCTACGGGTGGGGAGGGAGAGAGTAGAGTAGAGTAGGAAACGGCAAACCTTTTACAAGAACCGGTGGTGCCAGCACCGCCCGGTTGCGGCGCACAGCGCCGTCCAAGATGAGGGGAGCGCACCGACCAGCGGCACGCTGGGGAGAGAGAGAGTTTATGACATGGACAGCGACCAGTCCTTGAACCAAGCCGTCTGGTCGCTGGGGGGGTCAAAGTCGGAGGAGCCACCGCCGAAGAAGGTCTGCGCCATGATGCCGTACAGCTTGGCCGCGGGGTTGGAGGTGATCATGACGTTGTTCAGTCTAATGACGCTCTGGCCATTGACAAAGAGCTCCTGCTCGCCGTTCTTCTGTCCGGGGTCGTTGAGCTTGAGGCGCTGCGACACCGTGTTCCACTGGCCAGCCTTGAACTGAAAGGCACCGCGGCCAATCGAATCGCCAAAGTTCTTGTTGCAGACCGACTTGGGCGGGAAGTTGCAGTAGTCGTTCTGGGCATCGGGCGGGAAGTAGTTGTACAGCTCGCCGTCACCGTTGGCGCGCCACATGAGGCGGGCCGAGAAGCAGTCGTCGCGGCCTTCCGAGCGGCCACCCGAGCACGACTTGGCCGACTCGAGCGATGTGCCGCCGTAGATGCCGGGAAGCTTTCCGCCCTTGGTCCAGGCAAAGCCTTCCTTGAAGAAGACAGAGTACGCAAAGGTGATCTCCTTTGCGCCCTCGACGTTGACACCGTTCTTCTGGCCGCCGCAGTAGAACGAGTAGCCCTCGCCGTGCTGGCCGCCGGGGTACACCTGCTCAAAGGCCAGCGAGCCGTCCGGCGCGCGGGCCACGTTGGGAAGCGAGCCAAACTGGAGCGGCAGGAGGGCCTCCTCGACTGTGATGGGTGAGCGTAGCCAGAAGTAATGTACTCACAGGACAGGCCGCCAGAGCTGGTAGTCCAGAAAGCGGTGCCGCGGCCATTGGGGAAGAGCATGTGGTCAAGCTCGCTGCTGCTCTGGCCACCCTGCGAGGCCTGTGGCGCCGCGCTGGAGGAAGTGGTGGACTGAGCCTCAGAACCAGAAGCGGACGCCGAAGGTGTCTGGCTGGTCCAGCTGTCAGATGGGCTAGACGAGGCGGACGGCGAAGGCGACCACGAAGGCGAACTTTCCCCGGCGGAAGTGGAAGGCGAGGAAGAGGACGATTGGGAGGGCGAGTACTCGCTGGAAGAGTGGGATGGCCTGCCAGTCTCGGCCGAGGTGGTAGTGGTCGCCGACGAGGACCAGTCGGACGAGCCGCCGTCAACGGGGGGGCCGTCCCACCAGCTCGATGGGGAACCACCTGAAGTCGAGTTGTTGTCGGGCTTGGACCAGGTCTGGCTCCATTCACCGCCGGTGGGCGCCGGAGTGGTGGTGCTGGACGACGAGGTACGAGGACGGCACTTGCGTGCACGCTTGGTCTTTGAGCGACGCACCTTGCGGAAGGCGGAGCCATGAGCGAGACCTGAGCCCGCGCGGCGGGCCTGGGCGTGCTCTGCGGCCAGTGCTATGTGCTCGTTGCGGGGTACGGGAGGGGCATGGGGAACATGGCGGCGATCAACGCCAGTGTCAATGCGGGTGGGTAGGGCTGAGGTCGCCGCAGCAAGCAGAAGTGGGACAAGAGAGAGGCGCATTATGTCAAGTTGATACGTCTAGTTGTGTCGGCGTGGGTGTCGAAGGTGTGGCGAGTTTAGTCGGAGGTCCGGAGTGGCCAGCACAAGGAACCTGTGAACGAATGTCGAGCTTGTCGGAGAGGGTCGAGGGAAGAGGAGGGGAGGGGAGGGGATGTGTGGACCGTCACAGACGGGTTGTCGAACGAGAGTGTAGTGTAGAGGAGGAGGAGGAGGAGGAGTAGGTGTCCAGCACGCGCAGAGATGAGGATTTATAAGAGACGGAGATGGAGAGGAGGAGAAGGAGGCGGAGGAGGGGAAGGGACTGTGCGGAGTGAGGAGAGAGAGGGAGAGAGAGTGGCGCCAGGCCAGGAGAAGGGGAGGGAGAAGAGAGAGAGGAGGGGAGAGGTGTGCGTTGAAGAGAAGGGAGAGAAGGAATCACATGTCAAAGGTAGCTTAAGGAGCTCAAAGGGCACATTACTCTTCTCTCTCTCTCTCTTTCTACTCGCACGCCCTCTACGCCCGAGTGATTTGTTCACATCGCATCGCAACCATCACCCCTCCCCCTCTTTCTTATCATTCCCTCTCTCTCTCCCTTCAACATCCCCTGCATCTACTTCTGACACCCGTTGTCTGGCACTCCCTTCATCAACCCTGTCTGTGCAATGATGGCTCGTGGACGTTTGATGGCACGCACCGAGTGATGCATCACTCTCTCGCGGGTCTCTTGCCTTGTTTTGCTCATTGCTCGGCCTCATCAGCCATCCTGGATATATCCTGGGCACTGGGCGGCAGCCCGGTACAGCCACAGATCCAGGATACCTGTGGCATGAGTGCCCGACCGACGCGACACTGCAGGGTTCAGGCTGCCCTTTCCCTGTGTGTGTGGCGCGTCCATTGAACCAATCCCCATTGCGTCTGCAGGGCTATGCAGGGCGAGTGCCACGGGTTTAGAGCGTACGTGTCGTCAGCAATGTGCAGTCGTCGTAGAGCACTGCCAGCATTCCAACCGCCAATTCCGCCCACCACCGGGCATTGAGCGTGCATACCAGAACGCACGGGTCTACCCTCTGTGCCATTCTTGGGTATGTATCCTTGCATAGTGAAACGGGGCTGTCCCGTGAGTAGAGTCAAACGCGTCCTTCTGTTCCTGACCCACTCCCTGTGTATCTCGTGTGTGTCTTGTCGCGTCCTCTGCTCTGCTGCCCCACATGGATCTCCTGACCCGTCAAGCCACACGGCCACACGGTTCGCCATTTGGCTCCATGCCCTGGTGTCCTGAAATATCATTGATACTCGCCTTGTTCTTAATATTCTCAATGCCACATATTATGAGAGGTTGACGCGGTCACAGTCATCCCGCCACGTGGGATGATGGATACGATGACGTAGCCAATGGGATTGCAGAGTGGTTATAGAAGAGCAAGGGGGTGGCGAAAAGAAGCAAATGAGGGGCACGCGTGGTGGGCGTGGCTGGCATGTACAGTGCACAGTGGGCCCAGTGGGCATGGGGCAAGTGGCTTTTTCCCTTCAACTGTCATCTCCGTTGAAGCGTCGCCCTCCCCTTTTGCACCAAACACCTCTCTGAATCGAACGCAACACTCGTCGTCCTCCATCCATCTCCTCTCTCCATCTCACACTTCTTATTCCTCCCTCCCCCCTCTCCTCTTCTTCAAGTCGAGACTCCCTCTGGCAGGGATCAACAACAACAATCAATTGTCTCGGCGTCACTCTTTACTTTTGTTTCACACCCTCGGTACTCGCTACTCTCGGTCTCGCTGGTCGACACCTCTCATCTCCTCGCACCATCGCCTCGCCTCTCCCTCACCCCCTCCTCACCCCCATCCTCACACATCTCTCGGCGCAAGTGAACGAATAGCACACGCTCATCCTTCCACCGCTGCCCCTCGTCCCACCTCTTTCACACGGCAACGTTGTTTGCGCCCATCCACCGCGAACATCGTATTGGCATAATCTGCGACTTCGTATCCTTTGTTCGCCCTCCTCGACCTCCCCCCCCCCCCCCTTTGACCCCCTTTCCACTCGGGCATCCTTCTTCCATCCTCCACTCCAACCCCATTCTCACTTCTCCCCCCTTCAGAACTCCTTTGTTGTCTTCACCCATCATCCCGTCACCTTCATCATGGACTCGTCACCCAACATGCCCCCTATCTCCATTGACCCCCCGTGCAGTGCAGCAGAACGTCGCCGTCGCGGCAGGGGCGTCGACACCATGTCAGCGTATGTCTCACACCCACAGTACGAAGACGGTGCTGACACTGCGCGCAGTATGCCAACCCCCGAACGGCCAAAGCAACACCTGCCAACACCTGTGGCACAGCGTCGTCGACCCGATGACATCGCACTGTCTGACCACACTGGCGTCCACCTTCCCACCCCGCAGACACTGCCGCGCAAGCGCGCATCCCCGCGCACTGATGATCCTTCATCGCCCAGCGGACGCACACAATTCTTCTTCGCACAGTCCGCCGAGCACGCCGAGCATGCCGAGCGAGTCACGGTGCCCCCACGGCGACGTCCCGGTCTCATGTTTGCTCAACAGATGGGGTTGACGCAGACCGGCGAGACATCCGAGATCAAGTTTGGCGCTAGACTCGGTGTCGGGGTGGGTATGGGAGGGACAATGCGCAACACGCATGGGCCTGTCGACAAGGTGACGCCCATCGAACCTCACGACGACAATCCCTTTCTGGTTCAGTCATCCTTTCGCACAAGCAATCCGCTCCCTGCGTCAACGTCTCGACCCATCCCGCCAGCACCTGGAACAGACACCTCATATGTGCCCCAGGCTGTACGTCCGAGCGCGGAGCGCTCCGTTTCCCCTCACCCTCGGAGACACCCTCGCCCCCTTGCTCCGAATGAGCTGACAACGGAGGCGCGGCGCCGCCGGGCGATGATGGACGAAGATAACCCGTTCATCGCCAAGCCAGGAGAGGTGGTACGCCCTCGCCCTACAAGAGAAGACAAGCCTCATGTCACTTATGTTTTGTGAGTCATCGTTCATTGTGCCAGAGAAGCAGAAGGAAGCTCAGCTGACCTTAGCCGCGGATCCAAGAAGGTGTTCGCCAACCCCTTCTTCGCCCCCGAAACAGCATACCCTCCATCGCAACTGGATCCGAAGGACCCGGACTTTGATCCACATCCCTGCCCAAAGCCGCGCCTGCTGTTCCCAACGCCCGCTTCGCCCGAGCCCTCCGCACCTGGGGCCGAGATGCGTCCACGGGGTAAACGCACCCTTGCGGACTATCAGTCGATGGACATGGACGCCGGGCCGAGCGACGACGACGACGATGAGGATGTTCCACGTGACTTTGTCGACTCTGAAAGCGATGAGGAACTGCCGCTGCGGCGCGGCATGCTCTTTGGTCCGGGAGGGATGAAGCGCGATGTGGAGACGCCTGAAGCCAAGGCACGTAAGCGTGCCCGTGCGTGAGGTGTGGTTTTTACAGAATAATCAGTACAGGGGATGTTTGTTGGGTTGTAGATAACCATGCGACAGGAGTGCTTTGTTCAGCGCCCAATGGCTGGGATGGGTTGCGGACCAGTTCCCTCTTCAGGCGAGGCGGCTCCAGGCGAGGCGGGCTTCCACGCGAGGCGGGCTTCCACGCGAGACGCGACGTCGTGGTGGGCATCATTGGGCGAGGTTTACCACAGTGTGGGAACAGGCGAAGGTGAAGCCTGTCCTCGTCGACGTAAGCGTGGCTCGACCAGATCGACGCGTCGCGACATGTCCGTGTCGAGCGCGTCGACCAATGTGCCAGGTGACCCATATGCCAGAAGTTGGGTGGCCATGTGCACCCGCGTAACCGCGTGCCCATCCACGTGTGAGGTGTCACCGCCGCATTCTCTTGCCCTACCGGTCAGTCACCATTGTAAACGGTACCTCGCGCCCTCGCCTCATCGCTGCATGCCCCGTGCCCCATGCGACAGCGCGTCAAATCGACCAAGCGACAAATCGACAAATCGACAAATCGACAAAGCGACAAAGCAAAGCGAGCGACGCTTAGATAGGACAAAGTCGGCATACCACGGCACGTTCTAGCGAACACTTCGCTTCATCGCTTCAACGCTTCATCCTCGTGCCGCGCGCACCATTCCACCATTCCCAACGGCCCCATTGTAGCTGCCGCGGACGAGCGCGGGGTGCCACTCCGCTCTCCCATGCCATGCCTTGCCATGCCTTGCCATGCCTTGCCATGCCATGCCGTGGGTGGCGTGGGTCGTCACCGGTGACATGGCGCGATTTTGCTGCTGACTTCTCACGATCCCACAATATGAGCAAGCCGTCCCACGACTCGAGCCGTTCCGAAGCTGCCCCATCAAATACTGTTTCACCTGCCTCTTGCCTCTTGCCTCTTGCCTCTTGCAGCGCTGCCCGCCTCGATGACATTTCGCCGTCATGTCATGCCGTGCCATCTATCGCGGCCAAATCACCTAATCGGCCCCTTCATGAAACGCGTCTCACAAGTGGGGGACCCGAGGCGATGGAAGCTAAAGAACGGCGCATTTCGCGAGCGGCGTAACCGGCGGCGCATTGCGGTCCCCCACTTGGCTTGATAGCGGTATCCAATATGTCGGGCCGAGGGTCCACGGCCCGCGTCTGTGGACTGTCGTCCGCACCCAAACTGCGTACGAGCACTGCAATCGACTCAAAACATGCATGCCCGCCCCCGCATCATACATCCGGCTCTCGGGTGCTCGGGATGTTGTGTCTCCGACCGATGCCGAGCCACCGTATATCCGCGGCCCATACCCGACCTCCCCACAGGCCCCCGGCCTCAGGCCCCAGGCATTTGCCCCACCTGGCCCCACATCAGCTGATCGTGGTGGTACGCTGATACAACACACCCGACCCGAGCCGAGGTGGCGGGTGGGCGGTGGGCGTGCTGACACCTGTGCTCCGTCGGTTCATGAATGCATGCAGGAAGAACAAGACAAGAATGGACGCCACCGGAAATGGAGGAGGCCAGGAGGCCAGGAGAAGGAGGATGGAAGAAACTGCAGGGGCGGCGATCAATGCAGGCAGCGGGACTAGCGGGCCGCGCCATGATCGCTGGAGCTTGGCTGTATTGAATAGATCGAATAGAGTGAATACAACGAGTCCGGCCGGATCGACGGATAAACGTAGTGTGGGGAGTGAAGAGGCAAGAGAAGTGGGGCATCGGATTGCGGATGACGGGCGCCGTTCGCCGCCCCGCGCCGCTCGCCGTTGGCGAGTCAATCTCGGGACGCCCGTGATAGAGATCTCATGGATGCAGGAGGGGAGGGAGAAGAAGACAGGGGCGGAGGGATTGCAGGGTACAGGGGTTTAGCGTGATCAGCGGCTCGGAGGCAAGCCTGCTTTTACGGACCCTGAGAGACTCTGGCGGTCTAGGGAACACACGCTGTCGACATGTCGACCCAAAGGCGCAAGACGCAAGACGCAAGACGCAGGGGGCGGGGCTCGAGTGGCCGAAGCACCCGATACCCGATGTGGCCTGAGCGCCTGAGCGCTGGGAGCCTGGGCCATCCGCGCTTCTTTCGGCGCAGCCATGTGGCCAGACTGCGGCCCTGGGTGTTCTTCCTTGATCCTTGAGCCCCACGCTCCGCAGCGAGCCAAGATGGGACATGAGATAGCGCGCACAAACTATTGCCGACCGGCCACCGGCCCTTCTGCCTGCGCTCTCCCGGCCCCTTTGGCCCTTTGCCAGCTCCCAGCCCCCAGCGATTACCGCCATCCCCTCCAGACCAAGGCAGACCACCACCGACCTCCGGCGACGGCCCGGTCCTCCACCCAGGCCCATCCATCCATCAAGCACTGCACGCCGCATCCATCTCTCCTTCTCTCTCTCTACTCTGTCCTCTTACTCCATCAGTCGTCTCGTCTGACATTGCATTTCGCAACTGCACAAACGCACCGGCAACGGTAGCGCGCGCGCCACAACCTCGACTCTAGTCAACGCTTTACGCGACTCGAAAACCCCCCCACCCCCCTCCCACCAAAGCGTCCTCGCGCGACAACTTTACCACTCAGCACAACTTGCCTTCCTCTGCCCTCCCAACTCCCGCCCTCTTCACCCTGCAGCTCAATCACCACCTTGTATCCCCTCTTCTCTTCTCCTCGATAACGACCTCGCGCCCACCGACGTTATCGCGCTTGTCGTTTACCTCGCCCGAAAAGCCCATCTCGACTCGACCCAAGCGTCCGGCCGGGGTTTTACTTTCCCCCGCCTTTGCCTCCACCCTCCACCTCCACCCAACCGGCCAACCGGGTATTGTCGGAGCGGTATCGACCGCCCGCTGTCACTTGCTTCACCCGCGTACGCTGTGCTCGCGCACACCTCTGCACGCAACAAGAATCATCACAGCGTGCTTCGCCGACGACTATCTCGTCGACGCAAAACTGCGAAAAGCGGTTAATCACGGCCGCGCGCGGCGGTGTAACCTCGGGATATCGCGGTCATTTGAAGGATTGCGAGTGGACGAAAGGCCCCAAGACGCGTAGGCAGCAAATACAGTGCTGCCGAGCTGCTGCGGGCGAAACGAGGCGATCCGGTCCAGGCCCGGGCCCATCCCCGAACGGCATTCTTCCCTCTTCCCTCGGGGACGTCCTCTTGCACGAGGCGCATTCCCTGCAGTCCTTTTTCCTCTGTCCTCTGTCCACTGTCCGCTGTCCGCTGTCCTTTGCAACAAACACAGGGACACAAAGCACGCCAGTACGGCCAGCCTCCTCTCCCCGCATAATACGCGTGGCTTGTGACTTTGGCGCACAAGGGTGAGTCTTGCTCCCTTCCCTCCTCCTCCTCCTCCTCCCCCCACGCCCCACACATTGCTTTTCATCATCATCATCATCATCCATCTCGCATCTCGCATCTCGCAGCCTCGCTTCTTCATCTCTTTCATCCCCAATGCTCTCCATCACTCCTCCTCATTAATCATTCCTCCTCCTCCTCATCACCACCACCATCCCAACTACTTCTACACCATGACTCTGCTTCTCCTACCCCAGTCACCACCATTCTAATCGCCCCAGCCTTTTTCACCATCCTCTGAATAATCAATCAACACCGCGTCAAACCCTGAACCATCCCATTCAACCGCGCCTTCCCGCTCTTTCCCACCCAGCGCGCGTTCACCCCCTCCCACCCACCACCACCACTGTCGACAATCGTTCACCATCACCATGGACGAGTCTTTCCAGAACTACTGCATCGTCTGCGACTGTCTTATCGCTCCCCCACTACCAGGACCAGAGGAGAAGAAGCCTCTTTCGGCCACTGGTGGCAAAAAGCGGGCAGCCGGAGCCATTAGGGTGAGTCGTCAATTTGTCAATTCGCTTGACTGCGAAACCGGGCGGCGCGTGGCTGGGCCAAAGTCGCTCCTGGACTGTCCATCCCACAACCCCACACCCGCATCACCGCGTTACATGACTGACGCAATCACAGATCAAGAACCCCGATGGCACCACCACAACCCGCACAGCAAACGGCGTAAAGACGACGACGACGACTACTACTACCCGGCCCTTTCCTCGGCCCGCTCCTCGTCTCGCAGCGAATGCCGCTGCCCTCGGCCCAAACCCCGCAAAGGTTGTCCCGAAGGCACCAGCACCCGCACCACCATCCGCCACCCAGCCTCCAGCACTCACCACCTCCCTCTCCTCCTCCGGTAGCGGTGGCGACAATGTTCCTTCCCCTTCCCCAAAGACCAACACTGTCAAGACGGTTACTCCACCGCGTCCAGAACCGTTTGTGTCGAGCATTTACTGCTCGCGTGCATGCGCAGACAAGGATGCAGGGTCGTCATCCGCCAACGCTCCAGATCTCTGCCGCGCTCTCGGGTATGGCATCACCTTGTCAGATGCCCTAGTTGCCGCCGGGCTGCGTGTTTCGCCCCACATGGCCCCAGCATCTCCGCTTCTCGGATCGGACACCGATTCGTCAACCGGACTTCGCGGAGGCCCCAGAACCCCCGACGCTCCTGGCGCGAGCTCGGTGCCCAGGACGCTCGAATTCTTCCGACTGGCCCGTGACTCGCCCGATGACGCATGGCGCGAGAGCCGCACTGCGCGCCCTCAGCTCGACGCAGCCATTGTTCAACAGCAGATGATGCGCCAGCGTTCCTCTGGGCCCCACTCGGCTTCGGGCACGTCGAGCGACTCTCTTGCTTCGCTTTGGACCGGTGACCAGGACAGCAACCCCAGGCGTTCTTCCTCCAACGTTGGCTCGCTTTGTGCGATGACGCCGTTGCACGCCCCCACCCCAGACAGCACTGGCAGCAGCGCCCGGCGGTCCATGTCGTCGTCGTCGGATGGCTCGGGTATCCAGCGCCCGGCTCTGACTCGGTCTACGCTTAGCCACACGTCGCTTGGCGGCCTCAGCTCACCTGCCATTAATGCCGCATATCAAGAGGTTGGCTCGGCCCCCTCGCACACTGCCTGCCTCATGCAGTCGTACGCTTCGGCATTCCCTGCGCGTGACGGCGGTGCCATGTCGCCACCCCTCATTTCGGGCTCTGCTACTCCCGACAGCCGCAGTGCGAGCGTCGCGATCGCCCCGGTCCCGCAGCGCTCCACATCTGGCACGATCCGCGCCATGCGGGCTCGCCAGGGATCGACCGGTGCTACTTGGGACAGCTTTGGTCGCGCCGAGATTCGCGAGCGTGCGCGTCGCAACACTGGATCGTCCGAGTCGGGCTTTGTCGTCGGCTCTCTCCCGCAGTCGCCCGACCCAGAGCGTCGTGGTCGCCTCAACTCGTACACTGAGGTGACACCCAAGCAGTCGTTTGAGATTGAGCACGGCGGTTGGCAGATTCGGTACATGAAGCCCGATCAGCAGCCGCAGACTCCGCGCAGCTCGAGAAGCCGCAGCCGCTCGCGCGACCCTGTCTCCCGCCACCCTCTGGCCGCATCGCCGGTGCCAGCTGTTTCGACTGCTCTCCCTCTGCCGATTCCTGTCCGCGCTCGTCCCGGTCCGAGTACGCTTGCGTCCTCCAGCTCGACGGCCCGCAGCCGCACGCCCCAGGTTAATGGTACGCCGCTTGCATCCCGTGGACCCAGCTCCGCCGGGTTCTCACCCGCTGGCTCGCGCTACGGTTCGTCGGCTGCGCTTCCCGAGATCGCTGCGCTTCACATCAGCGCGGCCCCTAGTTCGCTCAGCCTTGCGGCCACCGCCCTCTCGGCTACGGTTGCGACCGCCGCGGCAACCTCGACCTCGACTCCCTACTCGGCGTCTCCTCGCCTGTCTGGCTCGATCCCGCGCCCCGGCTTTGACTGGGAGAAGCGTACCGAGCACCGCACGTACGAGCTGCCCAAGGGCGTCGTGCAGAACCCGAACAAGGGTTTGTTCTACTTCAACGTCTAAGCAATCGATTAATACCGCCACCTATGGCGCCACGGACTCAATTCTTCTGTCGGCGCAGCATATACACGCTGCCTTCATTCCCAGCATACCAGCACACTTCATCATTGCATTCAACGGACATGAGACCCATAGCATTGTATCCCGCCCCGGCGGTAGTTGTACGTGACATGAACTGAAGCATATTATGATACGGAGTGGAAGAGGGCGTTTCCCCGCTGCAGAGAGCCAGCAGCCAGGTGCTTTGATTTGGCATTGGTACATACAAGCGACATCAACTGCATCTACTGCGGCATTGTCCCGCCCGCCTTCCATGCGTGAAGAAGGGAGGTCTAGAACATGACACCCCAGAAAAGAAGATCGGCAGCAGTGTGACAACAGGCACGATGGGGAGTACCCGCGTACCTCGTGGCTGGCCGTGGCTGGTGGCCGGTGGCCCATGTGCCGCCAAGACCCGGGGATAAAGCGCTGGCGAGTGATGAGCATATGGCGTGCTTGCTCTCCGTCCTCCGTCCACGTCGTCGTCTCAGAATCCGGCTGCGGCAGCTCGGCTGTCGGCGTGGCGGTGTCACCTCGGCAGTCGGCGTGGCGGTGTCCACAGGCGTGGCACGAGTTCACGCCAGCACCGCCAGCACCAGCACCGCCCGCGACGTCATGGCCAAGCGAGACTGCGGGTGTCTGGAGCTGCCGAGGCTGCGGAAACCAAGCGACGTCATTGTTCGAGCGAGAATGCTGTGAGGCCGTGGTCCGGGGATCGAGGCTACCGCGGTGTCCAAGACGCGGGGTCCATGGGGTGCCGACGGCGGTGGGCACGGCGAGCCACTACTGCTTCGCCAGGCGGTTGACGCGAAGTGGCGCTGCTTTTCCAGCGGTATATGAGCAGCAGTAGTATGAGACCGTGTCTGCGTCCACAGTAGGCGGGACACGTTCTTGATTTCTTGATGCCTGTGTTTGGTCGATTTGTGTTCCGAGTCCTCACACGTCCCGCGACAAGCGGAGACGCATGGTTGTGTTCAGACTTTCGTGCATCTGCAGACCATCGGACTCCGGCGTACACCCTACCTTGCAATTTATACTTCCGACGGCCTTGGCCAGAGCAAGTCTCGAAAAAGCGTGGGTATCCGCTTGCGCGGGTATGTCTCGTCGCGCTGTACGAGATCTGTAGATAGTGGGATCAGACACGGGGCGCAGCCAAGGATAGTGTTTCTTGCCGGCGACACTCCTAATTGGCACAGGCTATGCAATGGCGTCGCCTTCCAGTTCGGATCGGACTCGGGTTGAGAGTGCACGCATGCTCATTTTGGCCACTGTTATCTGATGCGCCGACTGGCTCAACGGAAGTGGTGCAGGTGGCTCAACGGAAGTGGTGCAGGCCGACGTGCTCGCCACAACCCCCAGACATGTCAACTCCCACCTGCAGACCCGCTATCGATTATCGCCAGTCCGAGGCCGGGATTAGGTTCGATCCGGTCCCTCGAGCATATGCCCCCCTCGTCGGCACCGAGGATCAGTGCGCACCCGCCTTGCGCAGAGCCCCAGCCCGTCTCTCACGCGCTGTCCTCACTCAGATGCTAGTACTTATAGCATGTTGGAAGACAGCCCGAGGGTGACGCCGATCGCGAGCGGGCGCCCGCCACCGCGACGTGGGCCTCAGCGGCGGGTTAACATGCGCTCGGCGGGGCTACCGCTCGAAGTACGTTACGGAGGGTGTGAGTTGATACGTCGCCTGTCATCTATTCTCGTCCCACTCCATCATTGTCCCCTTGGTCTGCGTACGTGCAACTCTGCTGCCCTTGCAGCCAAACGTCGTCCACACACGCTTCGCCCTTGCATGCTCGTAATGGTCACCATCGCGTCCTCGCCCCGACTCTGCATTTCTGTTGACTGCCCCGTACGCGTTTCGAGGCCCCCCTCTCGAGGTGTCGGTCACGAGTCGCGTGCGTCCTGAGGGTGCGTGGAGCGCGAGTCGGCGGCTCCGTCTCGCCGGCGGACGCTGCGCCCGGCTTCTTTCCTCGCCTTATGCCCTCGCCTGTGCAAGCCCGCGCGTCGCATCGTCATCCGCCGTGAACATCTCTGCCACAGTCCCTGGGTCACCTGGTCTCCATCCTGGCCTATACCGTCTCGGTGCAGGCTTCGCACCCGCGACGGTCGACCGGCGTCGGATCACTTCCCGACAAGAAACTTGTCCGCGACTCCGCGACGCCAGCCTCATCGTGGCAGGAGCCGTAGCCTCATCGTGGCAGGAGCCGTGAGAGCCGTGCTTGGGCGGACTTCATCATTGGCTGACCACCACCAACCTCGGCGCATGAGGACCGCTTCAACCATGCTAAGCCAGCGATCGCTCGCCGGTGCCGTCCACGACGTTCGTCACGCATTCGCAACATGAGGGTCAATGCCCTCACATCGCTGCCCGCGTGAGGTACTACGCTTCAGGCATCGCGGGGGGACTTGCTCCTTGCTCGCCCGTCTGGCTTTACGCGAGGCCCATGCCTGCGGAGCAGGAGAACGGGCGTAAGGCTTGCGCCTCGCGGTGCCGGGATCTCCGTGGCCGGTACACGGTCTCTTGTTCGCGCTCGGTAAGGCCTGCCTGACGTCCACTCGTGCGGAAGAGCTCAAGCGAGCCGGCGGAAAGGAGCGCGGGCAAGTAGGTGGGTAATATGTCAGTGTGAGATCAGTGGACGATGACAAAGTGCAGCGAGGATGGCATCCGCAGCCGCCCTTCATCTCCGGGCGGGAGACAAGACCGGGAGGAAGTGCGCGTGATGCGAGGGGAAGGAGACGCATAGGGTGAGTAGGACGAGAACAGCATACAGTGTGTCGGGTTTGGTCGTCGTTGTGGATGATTGGGTGACTCGGGATCATCGATTCCAGCTCGATACTCCTCGCCCCCCGTCCGCTGTAGCGCCTGCCACGAGGGCGTCATACAGAGGTCTCTAGCTTCCAAGACGCTGTATGCTGGATCCAGCGCGGAGTGATCATAGCCCCATGATGCCAACAGATCAGTGAGAAGGAAAGTGCAACGCAAACGCGGCGACTGTCCCATCTCCCCTCCCCCCAACATTACACAACCCTACAACACAACAACACTGCCCACATGCCAAGACCTGGAGTCTCCGCTCCGCCATGCATGGGGGGCCATCGATCTCACAACCCCGACATCAGTCTCTGGGCCACATACCTTCGCAAACTTTGTCTTGCCCACCAATTCGTCATAACGCACCTGGATCTGGCACATCAAAGTTAGTCACGAGCGTTACTCCCGCTGTGTCGTTGGCTGCGGTCCTGTGTTCGAGAGGCTCCACTGCATAATCGCGCGGAACGTCAGACTGGTGCAGCGATCAGTAAGAATGTGACGGTAACGCTGGGCGGCGACGCATGAACGGCGTGGGCAGCGGATGGCGCGGCAGATCAGTTGGAGTGGAGCATGTTAATGATCGGAATGACGCACTGCCATGTGATCAAGGATCAGAGCCGGATCCTCCATTCCAGCGTGCAATTAGCCTGTGGCCAACGACGGGTCGCAACATATCCCGGCCGACATCATCGCACCAAGCCGCCCACTACAGTATTGCTCACTCCCAACTCGCTGCTCGTGTCGGTGATCACAGGGACTGTGATATGCGGCCGACGGAACCGATGTCCTCGCCGCCAAGCCTTCGCGGCCGAAATCGCAGCGCGCCTGGGCGAACAAGTCTGAATGCGATAACCTTGTTCGCGTAGGCATAGCCGAATCTTGGGGCATTCAGTCATTAGCAGATGTCGTTCCATGTTTCCGCGCTCGTCGTCAGTGTCCGTGTGTGGGTGGTACTGGAAGGAAGGTACGTTGTATTGTCGTCACGGCATTCCCCTTGGGCATGTGACGACGAGAGAGTCACGAGCCCGAGGCCCGAGGTCAAGCTCGGCGAGGGAGAGGCACGAGGAATCAGAGGCGGAAGAACGGATGAGAGAGGCCGATGCGGATGCAGGATGCAGGATGCACGAGTATGACTATAATCAAGCAGGGAGAGAGAGGTGCAGAGGAGGCGGCTGAGGTGACGTGTGATACAGTAGGCGTGAGTATCGATCAAGCCTAATGGGGGATGGGGGGAGAGAGTAATCGAGGAATGAGGCGGAATCAAAAAGATTTGATTGTTTGATAAGTTGAGGCTCGGCGCCCGATGCATGGTGGTTCGGGCGGCGGGGGGCGGGGGGCGGGGGGGCGGAAAGCGGGCACTCGGGCTGCGTGGGGGGCGTGGGGTAAGGGGGATTAGGGGAGAGCGTGCGTCGCCAATGGGTGAATACGATCAATACGGTGTGACGCGCGCTTTGGCCCTCGGCCTGAGTAATCGCTACCCTTTGGTTTCCCCTTTTGCCCCCCTTTGGTCGATACAGCGCTTTGCGCCACCCATCCAAGAGATGCCACCGTAGCTGTCCACTCTGCCAAAGTTAGCCTCGCCTCCATCTCACTCTTCGCTCTCTCCGCCCTCATCCGCCCTCTCCGCCCTCTCCGCTCATCGCTCATCTTTTCTCCTCCTCCTCGCCAATCACTCTCCTCCTCCTCGGCACCCCCTCGGCCACCGTCTCCTCCTCCTACCCACCCCATCTCGTCCAGTAACTCGCTCGGCTCGCCCCCCACCCCCGGCGCCCGTGTCCGCGCCGTCCGACCGACCGACCTACTCCCTCTATTTTCAAACCGAACCACGCAGGCCGCCCACAACCATCAGCACACTCGATATCCCTCCCATCTCCTCCATCATGCCTCAGAGGTCGTAAGTCTCAGCTCCCACACCGCCCCCTATTCCTTCCAAGAGCCAAGCTATACCTCGGCCGACGGCCTCGTAATCCGTCACCCACCCCATACACCTCCGATCCTCCCTCCTCCTCCTCCTCCTCATCATCACTCCGGACTCGTTGCAAGTCATCTCCTTCTCCATCTCCTCTTCATTCATTGCGTCTTCATTGATCGCTCCTCTCAACGCCACCCCTCATATCTTCTTCACACCCCACGCGTTGCATAGACCACGTTGGTGTGCGCCACAGGAGCCAAAGAACGCCCCTGTCTGAGCCACCATCCAACGACCAGCGGATCCGCGCGCAACCTCGTCAAGACCTTCCGCTTCCGTTCTCGCTACCTCCCCATCCCATCTTACTCTGCCTGCACCGCCATTTCACTCCCTTTCACTACCAAGCTACCACTTTTAATCTCACTCCTCCTCCCTCTCAATCACGCTTGCAAATCTCTTCGACAATCAACGCTGACACCTCTCTCCCCCAATCCCCCACTTCATGTCGACATAACCTCACAACCGCCCCGTCACTAACTCCCACTCCCTCTTCCCGTCCTCATTGCCCTCTTTCCTTGCCCTCTTCCCCTCTTCCCACGCCGTCACCTCCAACGCCAACGCCAACAGCTCTACCGCACCCCAGCCGCCAAGGTTAAGATCGCGCACAGCGACCGTCTCATTCGGCCAGATGTCGCGCGACAACGCAGGGGGCGTCATGGTCGAGACGCCCTCAGAGTTTGGAATCATGGGTCCATTGACTTCGGCACCCCTCTCCATAGGCGGATCCAGCAGCCTCGGCGTCCGAACAGGGAGACGTACGTCCAAGTCGGTATCAGGAGCGCGCCCGCCACTGTCTACTAGCGCATCGTCCCACAGGACCCTGGGTTACGCCAACCCATATGCGCCAGAGGCCGGTCCATCAACAAGTGGTCCGAGCGGCGGTTCCCCAAACCTCGGTCCCACACGCGTGCGCAACGGCCTCAAGCGCCGAATCTCCACTCCCAACCTCGTCAAGGGTCGCTCGCTCGTGCCCGAGGAGGACGCCGGAAGCGAGCCCGACCACGGGCACGGTGCCACTACTCCCATCACCGCCGGATTGCAGGCCACGTCCAAGAACAGCAAGGTCGTTGAGACCCGCGCGCGCTCAACTTCCACCTCCATCGTCGTCCCACAGACCTTGACCACGGAGCCCGAATCAACCACTTTTGCAGAAGATCCTACAATCGTCACCCTTCCTTCCCAGTCATCCTCCGCTCTGCCTACGCCCCCATGGAGTGGGATGTACGTCACGCCGCCGTCCCCGCCATCTACAGCGGGTCCGCGCGAGTACGAGCCTGATCCGATTGGCGAAGATGTCGCAACTGGCCTCCTCTCGTCCGCCTACGACATGGGTGAGACTGTCTTCACCCGCGTAATTTCATGGGTCCGGCCTAAACGACGGCGGTCACGCAGGCGGTCTCATGCCTCGGACGACGATTCTGAGAAGGGTTTCAATGGGTCAGAGGATGAGGAAGAGTTTGATGAGAAGGATGAGGGGGAGAACCGACCGCGGTCAAGTCGCGTGTGGAACCTGCTCCCTGGATCACGTACACCAGACTCTCCCAGCTACTTCACCCTGCCTCCCACCCCACCAGACGACCGCCAGTACGATAACCTCGGCTTCCCCGCTTCCCTGCCCACACCCGCCATTTCGTCCCAGTCGCTCTCGCACGGCGGATCTGTCAGGCGCCAGCGCCGTGCGTCTCGCGCGGCCGCACTCAAGGAAGCGCAGGCTGATGGTTGGTGGGTCAAGGTGTATCGCACTGTGTCAGTATCCGGCAGCGGCAAGACTGCTCAGGTGCTCCGCGAGCTCGGCTGGACCGTTGGATTGCTCGCGCTTCTCTTTGTTGTGTCCTTCCTGCTTGTGCTTTACGCCGTGATGAGCATGCCTATGTGAGTCAAAGCAAACGTACCACATGACTGACGCCAGCACACAACTCAAGTCGATGCCTACCTCGACTACCGACCTGCAGCTTCTGTCGGCTGACATTCGCGCGTATATGAGGAGTTCGAACTCGGGATGGTGGCACACTGTCGGTGTGCTCACCTACGTCGGGTGCTGGAAGCACGCCTGGAGTGTGCCGGGTGCCGTTGTGCTAAACATTCTTGTCGGCTCGCTCTTTGACACTGTCCCCGCCCTCGGCCTTCTCACCCTGATCACCGCTTCCGGATCTCTGGGGGCATACATGCTGTCCCGTCCCCTGGCGCCTCTCATTGGTGTGCTCTTCCCAAAGCCGCTCGCGCTTGTGCGCGCGGCTCTGGCGCCCGACTCGGTCCCCAAGCCTCTCAACACAGCGCGTGTTCGTGGCGAGACGATCACTCCCATTCGTGTGTCTGACGATCCGCGTGAGCCGGCCCTCGGAGCGCCTGAGGACCGCCCCAACGTTTGGAGCCGTTTGCTTCTCATGCGCGCCATGGGCTTCGTTCCTTGGTCTGGCATGAACGTTGCCTGCGGTGTGGTCGGCGTCGATTGGCGCATCTTTTGGCTGACGACGGCCGGTGGTTCGGCTTCGTGGTCGTACGTCACCGCATCCGTCGGCAACATTCTCGGCAGCCTGGCTCTTCCGACCCAGGGTGAGGACGGCGCCGAGATCAAGGGAGAGTCTCTGACGAGTCTGCTCCGGGACCCGTGGCTCATCTCGAAGCTCGTCGGTCTCACTGTTCTCACGATGCTGCCTGTGCTCCTTAAGCGCCGCATCCGCCGCTCCCCTGGCGAGGACACCGACAGCGACGATGACTCAATGAGTGACCCGCCCACGCCGACGTCTCCCCAGGCCCACTCTGTCCTTGGTCTCGAGACAGGCATCCCCAGCCTCAGCATCAACACGACCAATCTCGACGCGGGTGAAGAGTACCCGTCCGAGCCGGCATCTCCCCTCGCCATCTCCCTTGCGAGCTTCACTCCGACGCCGCACATGTTCGATCTCCTCTCTTTTGGCCGCACTGCAATGCGCCAGGGTGTGCGCGTTGTCGTCGGCAGTGCGCGCACAGCCGCTACGTCCGCACAGCGTCTCCTCGGCCGCCGCTGATTTGTTTTGTAGATGCACTGCCCCTCTCATGATCTCACAGAGATCCCTAATGCCTGGTAGCAATATAGTGTATTTGTACTCCTGGTCTTAATGTCATGTGAATATTACCAGTGCTGGAGGGTTGAGCGCACCGGCGGGCGGGGCGGGGCGGTTCGGGCGACAGGGGCACAGGGGTGGCGCACGGCGAAGATAAGAAAGCGTGTGCTGCAGGAGCAGATTAGGAAGCTGACGTGGGAAGCGTGCTTCGAATGGGCGCATACCACAGACCCCGATGCGGATTGTCAGCGATCCCCGCGATGCTTTGCTCACTGGTATGGATGGGGCTGGCCGACGGTCAGCCAACTGGCAATCTGGCGCTGGCGATCTGACTCATATGGCCAGCCACAAGGTCTATGCTCTGCATCACAGCAGATCAACCGTACCCGTGCGCGAGGCCATGCTTGCATGCTTGCATCTCCCAAAACGCGGGACGGCTCCTCGTACGAAGCCAATGTGATGCTGTGACGGGTGATCACGGGTCGTCGATGCAATCAACCGGAATGCCGTGTGTTCGGCAGCGATAGCGTCGTCAGCTCAGCACCACGCCTACGATAGGACCGGACCCGACAGATCGCATGCCGTATGCTAGATCTAGATGCATGCGATGCCTCGTCTCGGGCGATGTGTGGCATGGGAATGGAGGCAGCGTATGCCAGACGCGCCAACAGCATCGTCATGCAATTCCGTGATTGTGTTGGTGCCCACTACAAAAACGCATCCGTTTCGCGAGTTGGACGAATGTAGGAGAAAAGACGGAAATTGACACTCATTAATTCCCGCCGACGGCTGACCACCACCATCACGCCCGATTCGTCAACTTAGCCACGAGCATCACCGAACGTGAGTACGCCGGCGCCAACGCCGGCAGCGGCGGCGGCGCGGGGCAACATGGCGCCAAGACCGACATGTTGCCGGCGTATCGAGACGCGGGCGCTGGCGCGACGGCGAGGAATGTCTGCCTTCCTCCTTCCTCCGAGACGATGTCGGCGACCACGGCGACCCGGCAACGGCGTCGACCGCCCGTCTGGAGGCGGGCCGGGGTCGTTTGCCTGCGCTGCTGTCTACGCCCCACCCAAGACCATTGCCGCTGACAGCAGATGTCGCACCCGAACGCCAACCCTAACGGCTTCCACGGCTTCCGGCAGTGCGTATTCTAAGCGCGAGAGCGAGGCGCGGCGCGAGGCCGCGAGTTGCGAGGCCGCGAGTGCCACAGACGGACGGGCAGGAGGAGAGAGCAGAGGGCAGAGGGACGGCGCGCACGTTACTTTCCTCGCGATTCCCTCTCCTAGCGGTCTTCTACTGGATACCGCAGGGGCTCCGGCTCCGCGCTTCGCGCTCTGCGCTCTACCCCTCGCCAACGAACCTCGCTGACAACAGGGACATGCCGCCGCCCGGCGGGTACGAGAACGTCAAGTTCAAGCGCAACCTGCCCATCCGTGGTGTTGGCGGCATTGCCATGTTCGGCGGGTGCATCGCCATTTGCGCCTTCGGCTTCTGGCGCTACGGCGCGGGTGTCAACGAGAAGCGGTGAGTGTGGCTTGGAGAGAAGCGAGTGGCGGCGTAGAGTGGCGGCGTCGAGAGGCGGCGTCGAGAGCGGGAGGAGGGACGTTGAGCAGTGGGCCATGGCGATCGCACAGGCGGCTGCGGACGTCGCCTTCCTTCCTCGCCCTCACCACAACTCCCCCTCGCAGCGTCGACTTCCCGCCTGATGCCCCGACCACCTAGTACTAACCCCAGTGAACTCGCCCGCGAGAACGCATGGTCGCGCATCTACCTCGTCCCGGCGATGCTTGCCGAGCAGGACCGCGACGAGTATCGCCGGTCACAGGCGGCTTTGGCGCGCGAGAAGGAGATTATGAAGGACGTCGAGGGCTGGGAGGTGAGTACGGGCATGTGCCGCTGGCTACACAACCGCCGGGGTGTTGTGTGTTCTTGCGAGCTACAATCACGTGTGAGGGCGCAGCTGACGGCAGGCTGGCAAGTCGGTTTACAACGGGAAGCGGTATACTCCCAGCACCATTGCCGTGCTCTAAGCGGCAGAATGTATACATGGCAACGGCAGGGGTGTGGTGGAAGTGGAAGTGGCGGCGGAGGTGGTGGAGGTTGACGGTGGTGGGTTTGGTGGTGAGCTGATGTGGAGATGGTTGAAGGGTGGAGGCGTCGTTGGGCTTGTTCGGCTCGAGGGCGTCACAAAAGCATCGTCGATCAAGCTCCATTGCTTCATGACCTGTGAGCCAGAGGCCATGAGCTGCGACCCAAGACAACAAATTGCGACGTGAGCTTTGGTCTCATATGATTCCGTTGCCCCAGTCGTGCGTCTCTGAGCGCCCTCATTCTGGTCCCCCCCTCGCAACTCTGTCCCGCGTTTGCACATGTAGCGCAACTCTTGACAACGGGCACCGTGGCATGGCAGCTATGGGAGAGAGAGAGTAGCCCGAGGCCCAAGGTCGATCGGGCGAGAAGCCGAGGGTCTGAACGGAGACAGTGGCGGTCCATGTCATCGGTTTCTGGGGGACGCGGGGAAGGTACAACCTCTTCCTCTGCCAGCGGTTATTGGTAATTTCGTCGGGCGATGGCCTGCCCTGGGAGCTGGGAGCTGGGAGCTGGGAGCCTCTTCTCGTGCAGCGCACCGGAAGGCGAGGCGCAGATGTAGAGCGGTGTGCGGGATGGCCGGCGGAGGCAGGCAGATTGCCAACGCTCCACGGTCCGCAACGACACGACTTTTCGCAGTCTACGGTATACCCTGCGCCTTTTGAACGCGCACCGTTTCTTCCCCCGCGACGCAACCACCGCCGCTCGCCACCCATATCCTCTCCGTCGCTGCCATCCGACATGCCCTTTCCACCCTTCAATCCACTCTTCCCTTCAATCATCACACCAGAAAAACACTACCACCCCAGCACCGCAGCATATAGTATAACAGGTACTTCGAAATGCATCATCGCCGCAAAGAGCGACGGCAAAGAGACGAGCGAAAACGAAAACTCCTCCTCCCCGCGACCTAGTGTCGCACTTAGGCGCCGAAACCGTAAAGGGTGCGGCCCTGGCGCTTGAGCGCGTAGACGACGTCGAGCGAGGTGACGGTCTTGCGCTTGGCGTGCTCGGTGTAGGTGACGGAGTCGCGGATGACGTTCTCAAGGAAGATCTTCAGGACACCACGGGTCTCCTCGTAGATGAGGCCGGAAATACGCTTGACACCGCCACGGCGAGCGAGACGGCGGATAGCGGGCTTGGTGATACCCCTGGGTGTCAGTGGAGTTCTGAGACGGACGAGCAGCGAGCAGCAGGCGTTGTGCGCACAGTGCTGGACACCGAGTGTCGACTTACTGGATGTTGTCACGAAGGACCTTGCGGTGACGCTTGGCGCCGCCCTTGCCGAGGCCCTTGCCACCCTTTCCGCGACCGGACATTGTAGTAGTTGTTGTTGAGGGGGTTGGTGGAAGTGAGGAGAGTGGGGTGCTCGAGAGCGGTGGTAGTGGTGGTTGTGAAGTGGTTGATGACAAAAGAGATTCGGTCACAGATGGGTTATATATCCCCAGGTCGGTCAGGTCGGTCAGTTGCCTTGCGCGCTTGGTGATGGTGTTTGTGCGTGCCTGTGAGTGATCTCGGTAGATCAAGGTCACGTGATGTAGCCAGAGTTGATTGTGATCTGCCACGGTCTTGTGATCCATCCGACTCTAGCCAATCACAGGGGAGCCGTCACGTCGCAGCTTGCTGGACAGATCAACACCTCCGCCTGTCAGGCTGAAGAGCCGCAGCGTATGCATGCAATCGGCGAGCGCGACGGCGTCAATGCTCCATGCTTCATGCTTTGAGCCGTGCGATCAGTCGAGCGACAGCGAACTTGAATTCCTCAATCGCCCATACCACCATGCACAGTCGCCGCCCAGACCACCCATTGCACGGCGATGAAGTGACACACGCTACGCGTCGCCGCGTCTTCGCGTGACACACTCCACTAATCCCAGCTCATCAACACACACACCACCAATCCGCGCCATGCCGCGCCCGAGGCGGCGCGATCTGCCGCTCGCGCAACAGCTGTTGACACCAGCATCCGGCTCGGTCCATAGCTCGCGCGCGACATCCCCACTGGTCGCAAAAGGTGTTGAGCCAGAAGTGATAATCCTGCCCGATCTATTCCCTCACACCCCTTCCTCCGTCGCTCCCACCGCCGCCGCCGCCGCCGCCGCCACATCTACCGACACTCCCTCTCTCGCCAGCCAAGAGGCCACACTCGCCGATCTCCACGCGCGCATCTATCACCTCATCGCACTGGCGCTCCGCGCCTACATCCAGGCATGGTATGGTAGACTGAGCCGCGACACGACCATCCTCCCAGCCATCAATAGGGACATCGTGGCGCCCATCGTGCGCCATCTCACTTTCGACCGGGAACGAGTGCATGTCCTTCTTCTCACGCATCTCCCAACGCTGCTCGCGACGCATTTGCGCACCCTCTCCGCTGCCCACGAGTCCGACGCAGCCGGCATCGCGCATATCCCCCAGGCGTACCATGCCCGTTTGCCGCTCCGCTCCGTCACCCTCGCTCCGGCGCCTAGCTCGTCCCACGCAGAGGAAGAGTACGCCCTCAATCCGATATACCTCACCGCCTTAGCCGATGCTCTGCTCGCCCACGCCCTTCCGCCCCCGGAGTACCGGTCAGACGCTGAGCGGCTCATTGTGCGTGAGGTGATCGCGCGCGCTGTCCTCGCCAATGTCGGGAAGCGGCTCGCTGCTCCCTGGTTCTGGGCCGAGCTCCTCCTCAAGCATCTCGACAAACCCGCTCCGACCCTAACTCCGCCGCCACCACCTCTCAAGGGCGTTCCAGGCAGACTCGGGGCGCACGCGGCACACGCTCTCGATGCGCTAGTCGGCCTATGGACACGCCTCCTGGCCGTGGTCACACTGCTGTGGAACGGGGCGATCTTCCTCACCGCGGCATGGAGTGGCGCCCCGGCCCCGACCAGGAATCATGTCCTCGACCCATGGCGCGTCCTTGTCAGAGAGAGTGTGCTCTTCCTCTCCCCAGTTTCCCCTCTCGGGTTGCGCTTGGCACTCGGAGCAATCGACGTCATCGCCATCCTTCTTGGACCAGCGGCGGATCGTCTCGCACCATACCTCCTCGACCTCGTGCTCACCCCCGCGGCCGGCGTCAAAATCGTGACACTGCTGGAGCGCGTGCTCTTCCCGGACGGATGGCCCGGCCCACCGCCTATCGAGCCAACGGCGCTTGAAGCCGACGCCATGGCCGAGCGCCTGCGCGAAATGCTGCGGCGACCAAGCCGGTTTGGTCTTGACCTTGGACGCGCGACAGACATCTTCGGCGATGCGGGATGTAACGCCCATCTCATCGCAATGGTGCTCGACGCCGGAGTGCTGACACTCGTTCCGGACCTTGCCGCTGAGTCAGAACCAGAGCAACAGAACGAGAAAGCCTCAGACAAGCCGACATTAGAACATAGAATCACACCTGAGATTACCGTCCAGGCCCCATAATCATGACTACTACAGTACACCTCACTCGCGACCATGTTACACTAGCAACTTGACTTCACTCACAACTTCACGTCACTCTCAATAGGCAACAAACATGTAATGCATCTATAACCCCTACTCGCTGTCCGCCTCGATGAGCTTGGCGTAGTCCTCGTAGCTCGCAAACGCCGGCATCTCCTTGCGCTTCTTGCGCCGTTCCTTGCGCTCCTCGCGGCGCTTGCGCTTAGCGCCTGCTGCCGGGTCCTCCTCCTCTTCGTCGTCGCTGTCGGCATTGAGCACCTCGTTCGGCATCTCGTCGAACGGCAGGAGATCGTCCTCGTCGTCGTCGAAGGACGGGAAGTCGTCCTCGTCCGACACCTCGTCGCGGTCGCCCGCGTCGTCGCCCGAGTCCATCTCCTCGTCCTCATCCTCATCCTCGTCCTCGTCCTCCCCGCTCCCTTCCCCTTCTTCCACTTCTCCACCCTCCGCCTCGCCCTCGTCATCTGAGTAGTCGACGTCGTCGTCCGAGTCGTCCGAGATGCCCATGTCGTCGCCAGCATCCGGCATCGAGTTCTGCATGGCCTTCCAGATCTCGGCCTCGTCCGGGTCGCTGTCCTCGCCCTCGTCCCGCTCGTCCCCTGCCTCGTCGTCCGACCCGCCGAGGCTCTCCGGGAACTCGTTCTCGCTCATGTCCTCATCTTCGTCGTCCTCCTCGTCCGCACCACGCTTCTTCTTGCTCGCCTCCTTGCGCGCGAGCTTGGCCGAGAAGAACTTGTGGAAGAACAGCTGGTCGACAGGCACGTCTTCGACCTTCTTGCGCCAGAAGGCCTCCGAGTTGACGGCGTCGCCGCCGGCGCGCGCACCGCGCATGCGGATGACGGTGCCCGTGTGGTCCGACACGGCGGCGGGCTGCATGATGCTCGCGCCCTTGGCCGCGGCCGCCTTCTTCGGGTTGCGGTAGACGAACTTGTCGAGGAACGAGATGAGCGTGTTGAGCGAAATGTCGGGCGAGCCCGTCAGCTGCTCGCCCATGAGCAGTTGGTTGGCCTGCAGCGCCACCGAAGGGTGGAAGTGCGTGGTGAAGGGCATGAGCTCCCAGAGGCAGCTCGTGTCCGCGTGCGCGTACTGCGGCTCGCGCTTCTTGCCGTCGTACACTGGCCCGGAGGATGGCTTGGTCTCCGTGTTGGCCTTCTTGCCGCTGTCGGCGTCGACGAAGTGCTCCTCCCCGTCGTCCTCGGGCTCGATGAGCATGCGCCGCAACCCCGGCGTGCTGTTGAACAGCTCGCCGAGGAGGTACAGCGCGCCGCAGATGAACGGGGGCTGGTGGAGCGTGAGCATCTGCAAGAGACGCTTGACGAAGGCCATGACGCGCGGAAGCGACGTGTCCGCCTTGAGCGCCTTGAACAGGAGGTTGAGGTACATGGCCTGCTTGGAGGACATGAGGAGGCGGGCGTCGAACAGCGACTCGTACAGAGTGCGGTAGAAGCGGTCGCTGATCGTCTGGCGCGACCGCGACACCTGGAAGATGAGCTGGAGCGCCTGGATCGATGTGTTGAATGTGCCGGCGTGGCAGATCTTGAACAACGTCTCCATGTATCCCGAGAAGAGCGCCTCGTCGAGCTTGGCGAACGGCAGCGCGCGATTAATACCCGTAAGCACGGCGGCGATGAGCTTCGCCGCACCAGACTCGACGAGCTCCTCCTCCTCCTTGCGCCCCTTGGACTTGCCCTTGGCGCCCTTCCGGCGGCCCTGCCACTTGCCGACCTTGCCCGTGACCTTTTCGCGCGCCTCGTCCTCGTCGACTGTCTCGCCCCGCTTCTCCTCGTCGCCGAGGATTTCGCGGAACACCTCAAAATACACCTCGACCAGACGGCCCGCAACGTCGTTGTCCTTGCTCGTAAGCGTCATCTGGTTGAGCGTAATGAGGCCGTAGTAGCGCCCGTGCTCGTTGGCGTCCTTCTTCTCCTCCTTCTTGGGCTCGTCATCGTCGAAGCGCATGTGCGCGCCCGAGGCAGCCGCTCCCGCTGGGCCAGTCAACGACGTCTTGAGGACGAGAGCAGACACCTCGCGCGCCACAACCGCCTTCATCGCCGGGTGCACCTGCAGGAGCTGCAGGAGGTGGTAGCTCGCCTTGGACGCGACGGCGCGGTCGCTGTCGCCGAGCTTGTTGACGCCGAGGCGCAGCAAGTTCTGCTCCTGCTCCGCGTTTCCGGAGAGTAGTTGGAAGACAACGTCGAGCGCCTTCATCCGCACGTATGGCAGCTGGTCGTGTGTGAGGGCCTCGAGGATCTGGAGCAGGTTGAAGTACCACTTCTTTAGGAAGTCCTCAAATGTGTACACCAGCAGGTGGCGATCCGTGACGTCGGGGTGCGCGAGCAGCGGCTGGTCGGCGAAGTATCTGGTGTCAGCTAGTCTCTAAATTCGACTCACTTGAGCTTGCCGGAAGCCTTGCCGCCTCCGGTGACCCACCAGTCCGCGAGCGCGCGCACCGACGCAAGGCGAAGGTCACGCGCGCCGCCGCCCGGCGCGCCGTCACGCCACCCCGCCATGCTGCGAAGGCGTTCGAGCTCCGACACCGCGTGCATGGGACTCTCGCGCACAATCAGCACCAGCGCGGACAGCTTGTCCTGGTGGGTACCGCTCGACAAGATCTGCGAGATGAATGCCGCGTCGCTGCTGCTGCCCGCGCGCTGCGGCTTGGGCAGCTCCGAGAGCAGCCGCTCACCGCGCTGCCGGTAGTTGTTCAGCTTCTCGGGCGCAACACGGCCTAGCGGCTTCTTGGGCGTCGCGAGCTCCGGCACCACGTCCGCCCAGTTCGGCTCGGCTGGCACGTTCTGCCGTCAGTTGAGCTAAGCATATTGACTTGCCCTTCCGCTGGTTGGCTCTGGGTCGACTCGGTGAAATACAGCCTTAGGCTTTGGTTCTGGTGCAGCTTTGGCCTCCGGCTTAGGCGCCTCCTTGGCCTCCTCCTCGTCCTCGTCGCTGTCCTCCTCCTCCTCATCGTCTTCACTGTGCTCCTCACTGTCCGCGCCTTCGGACTCCTCCTCCCCAGACTCTTCCTCTCCCTCCCCTGCCTCCTCTTCCTCGTCCGTTTCCTCGTCCTCGCTTTCCTCCTCCGCCTCTTCATCGCTTTCCTTCTCCGCCTCCTCCTCGGCAGCCTTGGGCGCACCGGCGCTCCCGAAGTCGAGCCCCTTCATAAAGTCGCCCAGCGCTTTCCGAAGATCACCCTACAATCAGCTTTGATAACAATCAAGCTCACCTCGTCCATAGCTTGCCCCTTGGCCGCGATCACCTCGTCGCCGTCGTCAATGTCCACTCCGGCAATAAGCTGGAGGTCCTCATCGTCGCCCCCGAGGTCCGCCACCGCCTGCCGCAGCTCGTCGCTGATGCCCGACCGCGCCGGCTTGGCACTGCCATCAGAGGTCTTGCGTGGCGCGCTTTTGGGAGCACTCTTGCCCTTGTTCTTGGCCATAGTAGTGAGTGTGGTGGAGGTCAACAACCGATCTTCAGAAATTATGCAGTGGAGGGCGTGAGACGCGAAAATAATGCGTGGAGTTTTGCCACGTGGCTGATACCACCCGCCGCCGAGCGTCACTCGTGACGACCTCGAGGTTGCGAAATGCGACGCTGGTCATTGAGATCGCAACACTATCCACGAGCAATCATGGTCCTCAACATCAGGCCGGTCGTCTCCCCCGCTATGGGTGAGGTATTCCGCGTGGATTGAGCTAAAGTTCAGCGGGCTGCTGCACCGTCCTCTCATTCTTCGGCGTCATCATCCTCTCAGGTGTGTCTCTCACACCGCACCGACCCTCACGCACCACATGAGGCTCCGACTGACGCCCAGTGTTCGGCTACTTCTTTGCGCATCGCGCAGAGGGGCTCACAGGCTCCAAGGAGGACCCGGAGGACCCCGATTTCGTCGCTAAGATCTGCTACACGTCTGCGATCGTGTACGCCGTATTCGTCGTGTTCTGTGGCTTGCAGGTAAGTGTTTTGCGTCCGATGCCGCAGGATGTCTACTCAGATGGCTGTGTGCCTCTACGTCTGTCCTTGAAGAGCACAAGCGGGTGAAGGCGGTTCCCGCTTTGGCTGTTGAAATGAGAATGGACGCAGCAGCTTCCTTGTCCCCTTTGCCGCCATTGCGATCGCTCACCCCAGCTCGGCGTGCATTCCCGTTACCCCAGAGGCGTGCAGCTGTAGATATAGACAGACGAGAAGGACTCCATGTATTGTATTCGAAACTGCCGCTCTGCAACCATCACCTTAAGTGCTGTCGGTCCCAGTGTCCATCTACGTCAGATGGCATTTGCTTCCGCTCCCACAATGTTGACATTCGCCGCTCGACCTTCGCGATACTCTCTTGACTTTCTCACATCAAACCCCACCATGCCCGTCAAGCGGACTGGAGGCGATACGGCAGCCGCCCCCAAGCGCACACGCTTTGCCGAGCCAGCGTCCGCGGCCGGGCCGTCGAAACGCGCGCTCTCCCCGGGCTCTGCATCGAATGATGGGGTGGACGACGAATTCCTCGAGGCCGACATCACCGAGACATCTCGCAATGCCAAGAAGCGCGAGCGCGCGGCTTTGCGTGATCAAGATGGCTATGGATCGGACTCTTCCAACGACGAGGAGAGCGTGGTGCCGAGCCGCCGCCCCAATGCGAAGGAGGATGATGATGAGGACGTTGACATGTTTGGAGACGACGACGCCGACGAGCCCAAGGACAAGGGCAAGGGGAAGGAAAAGAAGAAGGATTTCATGGACTTGGGCGACGTTGAGGGTCAGGAAGATCTCGACCAGGGTGAGGCGAAGCGATTCGCCCGCGCCGACGCTGAGGACTCGGACTCTGAGGTTGAAGAGCAAGGAACGGGCTTGGATGGGCCCATGGGCGTCGAGATCACGCCATTCAACATGAAGAAGGAGTTCGAGGAGGGTCGTTTTACAGAGGGCGGCGAGACATATGTTGAGAACGAGAAGGATCCTCACGAGCAACACGACCATTGGCTGGACGGGGCCGACAAGGACGCCATTAAGAAGGCGCGCCGGGCGCACCGCGAGCGTGAGCGGATCGAGCGGGAACGCGAGGCGCGCGAGGCCGAGCTCGCTTCCGGGGAGGGCAGTGAGGAACGGGAGCACCGGCTTATGCGCGATGCCGTCGAGCTCATGGAGCGTGGTGAGACAGTGCTTGAGGCGCTGCAGCGGCTGGGAGCCGAAGCCGAGGCCAGGCGCCGCAAGGAGGAGGGAGGGCAGAAGAAGAAGTCGTGGGCGGAGCGCCAGCGCGAACGCAAGGCCTCGATGGCCATTGACACCTCGTACGTCCATATCTCGGGGCGTGCGTGCTGACAGCAGGGATCCGGAGCACGGCTCGCCATTTGGCCGCCTCACTGCAATCGTGTCCGGTCTTCAAGCCATCGGGCAGCTGGACGTGTACTCACTCTCACGAGAGGCCATCCAGCGCATGCTCCCACGTGACGAGACCGCGCCTGCCGCACCTGCAAGACCGCCTCCAGACAATCGTGCTTTTCAGTACCGCTTCTCACTTGCCTACCTGCGCACCCTGCCGGAGGAGCAGCGACCAGTCGAGCGCGAGGTGTTTGGTAGGCTTTGATATTCCGCATGAGCTTACTGCAGGCCCATTCAGCCAACTCCAGCTGCGCGGGTGGAAGGCTACTGGGTTCTTCGGGCCCAATTGCGAGAACATCGAGGTGCGCGTCGTCAACCCCTCCGAGGAGCAGCCATGGGGCACGTGGGACGCGGTCGTCGAGAAGAAGTAATCTATGCATAGCCTCTACTGATCCTTGCGAGTTTCGGTCGGCAGTGCGTCGTCTCCTCCGTCCGAGGGGATTGTCATGTCCGTGTTGGGCATGTTCTCCGGATTTGTTTGCACCGCCGTGATCATCATCACGAACCTGATGTCAGTCTATTCGTGTCAGGACCGCACCAGATCATTGCTGCCCACAAGATTGTCGAGGTAACCAGCAGGGCGAGTACGTGCTTATCCCAATTTGTGATGGCGGCCAGACCAAAGAGCGTAATGAGCAAGAGGAAGAAACAAACGTTCATCGCTGTCGTCAGCCAATCCAGGACACGCATCCTCTGTCTGCAAGAGCCTCACCGAGGACGACCGCCGCGTTAGTTCCTGGCTGCCCGTCAGCAACATAGACGCACGAGCAAGCTCACCTCGAAGACCGACTTCACGAGGAGATCGACGAAGCCTGGTGACTCGGGGACTTGTGGAACATTGCCCTCGGCTTCAGGCGCGTCAATATTCTCCTGCGAGGGACTTGACACCTTGTCGGCAGCGACCATCGTGATGTATGCGATGCATCCAAAAGTTGGTTGTCACTCCGCGTCATGGTCACCGCCTCGTCGGCGGTGATGATAAACACGGAGATCGCTGAACTCCGTCCACGTGGTGTCAAAAGTTCAATCGCGGGCGGTCCACCATCTGCATCTCTTGTGCTCTTGTCATCACAATCCCCCATCTCCCTCCTCCACAAAAGACGCCATGCCGTCCGCGCTCGCGAGCCAGCTCGCGAACATTGCGTCGCTCGACGCGGACCGCTTGACGTCGCGCACTGGCGCCCCCTCATCCAAGTCATATCTCTTCCCCGCTGCCGTCGCGGCTGAACACGACCTCGATGCCGTGCACGCTCTGGGCCTCTCGGGCTTCGAGGAGCTTCTCCAGCTCGATCCCGGGATGGACGAGTTCGAGGACGAGCTGTTCTCCGATACCGCCCGGCGGACGGACCGCATGATGCTGAGCGCCGAGGAAAATACGGCCTTGGATGCCATCCTCGAGCGCTGCCTTCGCCGCCTCGGCAAGTGGATCGGCATCATGGCGGGCGGCAAGTGCATTGAGTGGCTCGTCCGCCGCTTCCGCGTGCACGAGATGAACGCCGAAGCTCTCCTCCAGACCTTCCTCCCCTACCACGACTCTCAGAACTTTGCGCGCATGCTCGCCATCCTCACCTTTCCCCTGACCTCGCCATACCACGCTCCTTTTGCGCCGCTCGTCAAGAAGGCTCAGCCCGTTCCAAGGGAATACATCACCAACGCTGTCAGCTCAGCTCGCGATCCCAGCCTCCGTCTCCTTGGCAACCTCGTTGGCAGCGTCCAGACTGCCCTCGACGAGGGTGCCACTCACCGTGCCCTTCTCGCCTTTTGGAGCGCCACGCTCGTTGATTTTATCCAGCGCGCGCGTACCGGTGCCGGTGGGCGGATGCCCGAGGGCGTCGTCAAGCTGTTGGTAGAGGCTTTTGTCGGCCTTCTCTCAGCTCACAAGGCCGGGCCGGAGATTAATGCCGCAGTCTACGCTCCCCTTGTGCTCCTCACACGTACCGTCTACCTCGCAGACGCTCCGTTTGCCGCCATCGCAGACGCGCTTTTGACGCCCGCCACGGGTGCTGATCCTGGTCAGCAGTTGCTGACAATCATCGTTGTTCTTGACCAGCGCAAGTCATTCACCGGCTTCAGCGACGGCGCAGCCGCTCGCTTCATGTCTATCCCGCAGCTCAGCGGCCTCCTCATCGCCGCGATGGAGAAGTACGGCTTCGAGACGGCCATGCAAGCCATTGTTAGCGCGCTTGGTGACGACATTGCAGAGTCCAAGGACGTGCTCCGCACGCTGGTCGACTATACCGCTCTTCCGGTTAGCGTAGTCAATGTACTGGCTACCAAGCTTTTCGCCGCTCCTGCGAGTGAGCACGAGACCGCCCGCGCTCTCCTCAGCGTGTTGAAGCAGCGCCACCCTCAAATCATCGACAACGCTGTTCTTGAGGCCGGGGCGGTCGACTCTAACCTCGCGCAGTGGTCCAGTGCCGAGACCGCTTTCGTCGACGTCCACTCGGCCGACGTCCCCGACCGCGTCAGCGGTGTAAGGGAGATGTACGCCGTGGCGGAAGCCGCCAACCTCACCGTCTCGAACGCTGTTGCCCTCATCAATGACGACGAGGACCTGAAGTCGGCGCAGACCGCCATCGTAGCACGTCTCCGCGACACTGAGCCCGCTGTCCTCGAGGAGGTTTATGCCAAGCCTCACCTACTGCTCGCGCTCCTTGAAAGCCAGAGCTATGTCGACATCGTGGCACCTACGTTCACTGCCGCCAAGGTTGAGTTTGACGCCATCAACCTTCATCTCGCCTTCATCGCAGCGCACCTCTGCAAACCCGAGGAGGAGCGCAAGGTCTTTGAGCAGCTCCTCCTCCCTAACCTCCTCGCAACTGAGGAACGCCGCGCTTTCGGCCCCAAGCAGTGGCCCGCGGTCACCAAGACCTGTCGCCTGCTCGACCGCGTCAACGGCAGCATTCCGCTGGACGCTCCTAAGGATGTGCTTGTCAAGTTCAATCAGGATCTCATCAAGAATCTGGCCGCCGCGATCGCGTCCAGTGGCGACATCGGTGCGCGTGTTGACAGCCTCGTCGGAACACTCACATCGCCTCTCCGCAACGCCCGCTTCCTTGCTGCCCTTACGCTTGCGCAGCTCGTGGCTAGTGCTGGTGGCTACCAGCACGTTGTGGCTGCGCGCTCGCTTGCTGCTCTTGAGACTTTCCTCGCAGGCCAGGCTCTGCGTGAAGTCGAGGACATCGAGGCACCTCTCGCCGACAATCTAATGAAGGCTGTAGTCCAGAAGCCTTCGGCGGGCAAGACTCAGCAGCGCGTCTACCTCGCGCTCTTGACCTCGGCTGTTGCCGTACCGCCCGCTCTCAATGCAATGAACTCTTGGCTTGGCGACGTCGACGCCTCGTCGTCCGAAGGTCAGACCCGCACGGTTGCCCAGGCACTCTACCGTTGGGCAAACAGCGCAAACCTCGCCTCAGCTGTCGCGAAGCATCTCCTTCACTCGGTGTTCACGCAGCTGGGCGAAGACGTGCTAGTGTTCCTTGCGTCCGTGTGGACGAGTCCCGTGATGATCTCCACTCTCCGCCTCGCGGCTCTTCGTCACGCTGAGGCATTCGTCAAGGCTTGCAGCGGAGCCAAAGCCACCGACTTCCAGCTCATGATCCCTGCGACACTCATCGCGCTGCAGGACGAGGCGAAGCCGGTCCGCCAGGCGGCTGCCACCCTTTTCCGTGCCATCTCGACCAGCGCCCAGTCGCCAAACGCCGACATCTACGGCCTGGAGTCCATTTATGGCTCGCGCTCTGATCTCGTCCAGCTTCTCAAGCCGTCTGACCTCACCAAGTACTTCGAGACCATCACCAAGGCTCTCGACGAGATGATCGTCGATGCTGGCCGCCTCGCCCTCGTACACGGCCAGCAGCTTGACCTTCAGAGCAAGAACGGCAAGAAGGACACCCTCTACCGTCGCGACGTTGTGGATTGGCTCATGTCTCATGTACTTGGCTGGCGCGCCGACAGCGCCCGCCGCGCGCTGTTGTCAAGCCTTGACCGTGCCGTGAACATCTCGTGTCTCCAGGGCGCACTTCCCCTCCTTGAACCCTTGCTTGACTCCAGCAAGGACGAGGACAAATGGCTTGCGAGCCTCCCGGCGACCCACCGCACCGAGTATCTCGAGCTCCTGTTCAACTCGTTCAACTCGCGCAACGCTGCCGCTGTCACTGTTGAGGGCGGCGAGCCGTGGAAGTTCCTTCGCACCCTTGTGGACAAGACAACCGGTTCAGGCCTCCAGCTTCGTGCCCTTTCTCTTCAGCGCATGGCCGATGGGCTCTTCGCCGCCCTCCGACCGCCCCAGAAGGTGGAATACATTGTTAAGCTTCTCCACTCGCTGCACGCGCTCTCAATTAACGACAAGTTCGCAACTAAGGACACGCTCGCGCAGCTGCCTCTCAGTACAGTGGAGGTCAGCAGCACTATCCAGGCGCTTCTCGAACCACTCGAGACTGCGCATCCGCGCAGCAAGAAGGTCAAGCAGGACGAAGCTACCGATACGACCGAGCAGGCTATTGCCGACCTCACGGTGTTCGTCACTTCGCGTGACTGGAAGGTCCTCCCAGGCGACGCAAATCTCATTGCAGTGCTCATGGGCGTGCTTTCGGCTGTGCTGTCGAAACGACAGTCGATTAAGGAGGGAGTAGACTACCTCGAGCAAGAGGTACTCGGTGCGACGCTCGCCCAGCTCGAGAAGATCCAGGACGCTGCCGAGATCATGCGCGCACGTGTCGGCATCGAGACGATTGTGAAGGTCATTCGTGCCTCTTCCAACCCGCGTACAGCGCAGCGTGCGCTTCTCGTTGCATCGGAGCTCGCGCGTCTCATCCCAGACTCGGTGCTGCACAACGTCATGCCCATCTTCACCTTTATGGGCAGCTCTGAGTTGCAGCGTGATGACGCATACTCGTTTGGTGTTGTCGAGAAGACAGTTGAGCGCATTGTCCCCGTCATGACCGCCTCGCTCAAGGACAAGGCAACCTCCAAGCATGAGCTGTACACGCACAGTTTGGCCTTCCTGTCGATCTTCACCGACATGGCCACTCGCCTGCCCAAGCACCGCACGCTGCCCTTCTTTGTGCACTTGGTCAAGAGCCTCGGCATCGACGACTTCCTAGCTCCAGTGTGCATGCTCCTTGCGACTCGCGGCAAGAGTGCAGCCATCGAGTTGCCTCTGTCGCTTGCGGCTGCGTTCCCTCCGTCTGCGCGCACCGAGGCAATGCTTGAGATTGTGAATGAGGCTACCCGTGCCACCGAAGACGAGGAGGACGACGCGACATTCCTCCCTGCGGGTGAACAGACAGCCTCAACGCTCCTCCTCTTGGCGGGCAACATTGCTCGTGGCCTCCTCGGCAAGTCATGCCCTCAGGACTCGCTGGAGAAGATTGTGCGCGAGCTCATCGCTCTCGCACCCGAGCTCGACGACGATGAGGCCTCGGAGCACCTCGAGGCCGCGCTCGGCAACGCCATGCGCCTTCTCTCGGTTGACTCGTTCCTTGAGATCACAGCTCAGATCCTCGCTACCGACACCGTCGCCGATATCAGCCGCTCGCTCGACCTCTTCGGCCAGCGTCTTGCGCTCATCAAGCCCGAGCTCCGCCTGCGCTCCAAGTCGATGCAGACGATCATCTCCACGACCGCATCGCTCCTGGACGGTCCGAGCGCGCAGCACGCCCTGCATGCGCTTGAGCGTGTTGTCGCAACTGCCATCCCCTCGGAGGACTCTGCGCTTGCGGCCATCGTCAACCCCGTTGTCAAGGCGGCGCGGGCTGCCGACGCTGAAGGTGCTGCTGGTATCCTGACTCTTCTCTCGGCGCTCATTCGCCGCTTGGGCTCCCGCACCATCCCCTTCGTCCAGGCAATCCTCGACACGTGTCTCTCGCTCATCGGCTCTACCGAGCCTCTCACCGCCGCCGCTGCCTTTGGTGCGCTCGCTGCGCTTGTCGAGACCGTCCCGACCTTTATCTCGTCCAAGCAGCTCGTTTCACTTCTCGGGGCTGCTGCCGCCTACCGCGGCGCGGATGAGGCTGCGTCAGCGACCCTCATTGCGGCTGCTGCGAAGCGTGTTCCGACAAAGACGCTCATCCCTGTCGTTATGGACCTCTGGAAGACTATTAACGGCAGTGAAGCGGCGCCTACCGAGGCGTTCTTCGCCTTGCTCCGCCACACGCTTCGCAACGCGGACCGTAAGGCGCTGCCAGGTCTTACGAAACCCCTCTTCGCCTTTTTCCTCGACGTCTTTGACTTGCGCCACCGTTCCGCTGCCACGCTCGAGCCTGCGACCGTCGACCGCGTTGAGACAAGCGCGATTAACAGCTTCCTCGAGCTCGTCACGAAGCTTTCGGACGGGGCGTTCAAGCCGCTCTTCGTGCGCCTGTACGACTGGGCTGTCGTCGACCTTTCGGCTGGCGTCGCAGACTCTCACGTCATCTCGCGCCGCATCGTCCTCCTGCACGTTATGGACGGGCTGCTCGACCGCTTCCGTCACCTCCTCACGCCGTACATGGCCACGCTCCTCCCGCTCGTGGACGAGCTGCTGGCGGCGTACAAGGATGGGAACCTTGCCGATTCAGGTCTCTGGACGCTCCTCCTCTCCACTCTTGGAAAGAGTATGGATGTTGACGATGGCGCATACTGGACCGATGCGGGCTTGCTTAAGCTCCTTCCCGCACTCGTCGCGCAGCTTGCCCTCGACGACGAGGAGCTCGCAATTGCTGCAGTTGGCGCCGACTCGCCGCCTGCTCAGAGTCTCGCCTCCCTCGCGGCTGCCACGACCTCGGAGACGACACTTAAGAAGGTCAACAGCGCCGTGTGTCTCGCCACGCGTGCTGATAAACCCAAGGCGCGTATGGCTGCTCTCCGCGCCCTCGACGCCATGTGGGAGCGCCACTCGGACGAACTCATTCAGTTTGTGCCCGAGACCGTCGCCGAGTTCCTCGCCGAGCTGCTTGAGGACGAGAACCTCGAGGTCGAGGGCCTTGCCCGCAAGGTGCTGGCCCGGATTGAGGGCGTCACCGGTTCGCTCAAGGAATATCTCGAGTAATCGCGCAGAAGCCGAGCTGAATTTGAGCTCGCACAGGCGTCGCTGCCTGTTTGGACCCATCTGTAATACCATCTATTGCACAACAAATATGCATGTAACAGCGTACAACAGTATGAAAGCAGAAGTGAAACTAACTATGTCTACCAGCCACCACCTCCAACACCGAGACGGCGGTATTCTACGAGCTCAGCTTTCGTGCTTGCGTCTGGGTCATCCGTGCTGCGCGGCAAACGCAGGCGGTACCAGTCGCCCGAGTGAGTAACCACAACCAGCTGCCGCTCGCGGTGCGTGCGGCGCTGAACGACAGTCGAGTGAGAGTCGGTGCTAGCCTTGCGCCGGCGCATCGGCGGGACGGGGGAGGCGCGGCTCAGCCCCGCCTGGGGCGTGGAGGCACTCGACCGGCGGGTACTCCCGGTCGACGAGCGGCGCTCGAGGGCGAGGGCGCTGCTGACTGTCGCAACTGTTGGTGTGGCAGGGCGGCCTGCACGCGGCGTCGCCGTGCGGGTGCTGGTGCCCTCCGATCCGAAGGAGCGACGCTCCTCGCGAGAGCCCATGGTCAACGCGGGACGCTTGGGCCGGAAGGGCATCGGCGCGCCGCCACTTGCCGGAGGAGGCGTCTCATCCTCGTCATCCTCGACGTCGACCTCGATCCAGATCACGACGTAGCGTTCAGCCCACTCGCGTTCTTCGGGCTCCTTGTCGCCGTCCTCGTTGAGCTTCATGCTCGGCAGGCCGGCCGCATCGACCGCGCTTCCAATTGTGCTTGCAAAGGCGTGCGGGTTCTTGCGCGGGAGGTAGTACTGCGCTATGCTGGGCGCGGACGAGAAGTAATTAGGCAGTGTCTTTGATAGAGACAGCGCCTTGCCGACAACGCTGCCGATCGTTGGAGGCAACTTGGGCTTGGCGGGTGCATCGCCGCCAGCCCAGACGTGCACGGTTCCCTTGTCGCTCCAGCCGACAACCCGTCCACCTTTACGACGAAGCGCGTCGCGGCGGCGGTCACCCTCGAGCGGACGTGGGTCGATACCGTCCTCGAACTGCAGTCCCCAGATCTCGGCACGGTCGACGCCGCGGCGGAACTCGCCGTCCTGCGCGCCCCGCGCCGTATCCCACACCCGCACGAGCGTGCCCCGCTCACTCGCGGTGATAAGGTGCGCGCCGGTCGCCGAGCACGCCAGCGCCGATAGGGGATGGGTGTGCGCAAGCAGGAAGGGAGAACGGTATGAAGCCGGAGGCGCACTGGCCCCGGCACACGGGGGTAGGGTTATCAGCTGTACATGCCCCGCTTGGCGGCCCGGGAGCGCAAGAAGGGTGGCGCCGGGCGCGGTAGCGATCGCAACGAGGCCGGTCTCGTTCTCGGCTGTCTCCCACTCGCCGAGCTTGGAAAGCTTGAACCCGCCGCCTTGGGAGAACTCGTACGCGATTGCGCGCCGGAGCAGCACCACCACGACCGTACGATGCCGCACGGCCACGCCACGCACGCGCTCGCTGCGGTTAGTGGAATAGCGATGGCAAGCTCACCTGAACTCGAGGTCTGCGACGGGGACCCCGCGCGCGTCATGATACAGCACCACCTTGTTGGGCGGGAAGAGCGGGTCCGACCCGCCACCTTGGAGCACGAGCAGCGGCGAGCCGGGCAGCGGGACAGCGCGTGCAAGCATGCCCGGTAAAGCTAGAGTCAGCTCACGAGACCAGACAGATCCGTACATCTGCGCCGCAGCAGGCCGAGCGGAAACGTGCGCCAGACCTCATAGCCGGTCTCGGTGGCAACAGCGAACACCTTGCCGTCGTGCGCGAATGCGATGCCGAGGATGGGCGCGGGACGGAGCGTCGAGACAGAGTAGCGCCCGAGCTGCATGATGGGTGATCACGCTGAGGGAGCGTGGACCCGAGTGGTTGGAGAGAGGCGATGATGAGGAGTGGGCGAACGCCGAGTTGAGGACTTGGTGGCGCGATGTCACGGTAGTCACGGAAGGTGAAGATGCCCTTCCAGCACGGCCAAGTCCGGAGTGGGTGGGGCGTTTGCGGCGCGTACGGAACGCGAGGATGCAGTGATAGCGATGTGTGTGTACAAGTGATGTGGGGTCGGCCGGTCTTGCTGTTGCGCGGCGGGACCAGTTCCAAACACGCAGGAGTGTGGTAAGTTGACGGTGGCTGCCGCCGATCGATTTGCCACCCACTTAAGAAGAACCAAGAATCCCGCCATCACGCGCCTCTCCTTCCTGATCACGCTTCTGCACTTTCGTGTGGCTCGGAGCTTTCCGACCGCCACAGCCGACATCTCCCATCCACGTCGGTGGCCACGGAGCCGTGATCATGTTCTGGTATCTGGGTGCAGCCAGTTCAAAAATAATACTATCGCGAGGAGGTCTCGATCCTCCGACCTCGAGGTGTCATTTGGACGAATCCATATGAGCCTCGCGCTCTTCCACTAAGCTATCGCGATTAGATGTCGTTCTTGAAAGCGTCCTCACTCTCGATATGATCAGGGTGTGCAATTGGGTACGTCGCTCATTCGCGTGTTGTGGTGGCTCTGCGGCTCCAAGACGAGATTTCTGACATCAATAGTAGAGCACAAGCCCACGAGCAACATCTTTTACCTTCATTGTGTGGTGCTTCCTGAAGACATTGGCTTTCCGCAATCTTTTGCGGGCCCGGAATCGTGCTAGGAGTGAGGACCTTGTAGAACGTGGAGCTATGCAGTTCGGTAGCAACATGATACAAATGGCTAGGGGGGCGAGAGCGAGAGTGAGAGAGAGAGTCAACCCCGAAACAAAATGTTAGGCTGAGGAACTGAATCCTCTGTTGACGAGAGTGGGATTCGAACCCACGTCCGAAGACTGCGGAGGTATTAATGTGACCTGAACACAGCGCCTTAGACCACTCGGCCATCTCGCCTTGAGTTCTGTCTGGACTTGGCTTGTAGAGATCGGCGCGCCATTCCTGCTTTCGACCTCGCACCTTCATACTTGTCGTCAGCGCAGAGAGCATGTCATGTAGCAGAAACCGTACAACCCCCTAATGGGGATATGGACGACGGGCCTCAGTTTGAGTGTACGTCTACATCGAGCTGGTTAATCTACAACGGCGGCACAAGTACGTAATCAAGAAACGCTACCAAAGTCCACACAAGGCCGCACCTAGTTGTAGACTCGTAACCACCCGCTCACGCCAGCCCGGCACACGAGGCAGTGCGCCTCTGCTCTGTCGACTGCTCCAAGTACGACGCGTCCGTCACCTTCACGACTGCGCTTGAGACCCGCGTTCTCGCCTTGTAGAACGTCGCGTCCGCGAAGCTCGCCTCCGCGAAACCCCTCCGCGGGCGGGATGTACCCGCCGATGCTCAGCCGCCGTGCTCCTGGATATCCCTTGACTGCACGCGTGAGCGCTACGTTGAAGGGAATGCGGCCGAGCGTGCGCTCTTCCTCGTCTCCCCGCTCGCGCGCTGCCTGCTCCTCCTCCACGCGCTGGATTGCGCGGCTCTCGGTCGCGCCCTTGTGCATGAAGAGCGGGGCGCAAAGGTAACAGAGGTTGAGGTGACAACCTGGGGTCAGAGGAGTAAAGGTAATGCGTCAGACGCACAGGGAAGAAGCACAGCCGAAGGCGCCCTGGCGAAGCACAGGAGGCACAGCTGAGCTGGGGTGTCTGGTGGCGGGTCAAGTGACCGGTATGGGACAGATGGCGACGGCCGGCTGCTGAGCGACGAGGCTGGGGACACGGAGCTATCATCCGACGCCTGTATGGGAATAGGCTGAGCTTGCACCTCGCCGCGCCGTGTGCGCCGGATCGAGTCGAGTTCTTGTCCCAGGTCCGAGAGGTTCAGGCTCATGGTGGGTAATGAGGCTCGACTGTCCGGAGGGAGATGGGGTGGCGTAATGGAAGAAGCAAGCCGGTACCTGTAGACGCCGTAGGTAATAAACAAGGCCGCGGAGGGAGATACCCAGTGGCGAGACGATGAGAGCGAAGCAAAGACTCAGCAGGGTGGGCTCTACGTTCGCATGGAGCAGACAGCGCAGCGAAGGACATCAAGTGAGCCTCCACCGGCTACCCCGGGCGCGGGACCCCAGGGGGTGACATACCCGGGAGCCGGACTTGGCGGGCACACGTCCAATTGGACGTCTGATATTGAGAGGGGTATTTGGGCATTTACAGAGTGTTATTTCACGCATCCATCACTGAGAACGCGTGCGTCGAGAATTCAGACCATAAGAACCTCGAGACCCACGCGGATGTATCCCCACGTAGAACGACATGAGCATCATGCGTGTTGGGCAGCTGGGTCAGCAAACGGCGGCGAGCTATGCATTGATTGGTACATGGCGCCTAGTCGGTGCCAGACGCGCTGCGTTTCGCCTCGCCTCCCCATCTGGTTCGATTTCAATGAGGCGCCACGCCGAGCCACAACCTTGGCTGAGGACATGCATCTGGCATGCCATTCCGCTGTTCTGTCTCTCGTGCATTCCTCTGCACAGCCAGCGAGTTCCAGGCATGCATGCAGGGCATCCAGCCTCGTACGGCATAGCGTTGTACAATACGAGGCGCGAGATGCCGTCTGTTTGAGTCCCTTCATCCTCTCATGACGTCGGCCCAGATCGCTTTCCGCATGCTGTCCCACGCCCTGTGTGTTGTGGTTGTGTGCTCTCACAAGCAATGAGAACAGATAGGAGATCCCACGACTTGAAGAGGGATGCATGAAGCTCGTCGTGGTGTTGTCGGTTTTCCCGTTCTGCCTTCTCATCATGGTGGCTATAACGCGCTACCGCACCCGGCAAACTGGTCATCGTGAGAGTGGACGGAGTCGTACACGCGCTGACTGCAGATGCCCCGGAGCGTCGCATCGAAAAGTTGACAACGACTACGAAGCCCCAGCTCATCACTTCGGCGGTAGCAGTGGCAACCACTAAGAGTGCGACGACCCCAGGGACCATCGTCGTGTCCAGAGCTGTCACGCCCATCAAGTCGAACTCGAAGACGGGGGCGACCGTCTCAAGCAAGCCTGCGCCGGGCCGCACTACTCTCCCTACCCCGCGCACAAGCACCATCATCAAGTCTACAACTCTCCCCGACACCTTTGACACTTTAGCTAATCCGACTTCTTCTCTGCCGTCGGGCCCTACCTTCCCAGTGCTAGTTGACACGGCGACCTCTCCCCCACCACACCGCACCGACGGCTTCCCCTGGGGCCAATCCCGTACGCGCCCCGGCGTCATCGCCGGCGCGACAGTAGGCAGCGTCCTAGGCGCTGCCCTCATCGCCCTCGGTGCTCTGTGGTACGCGCGGCGCATGGCATGGTGTTTTGTCCGCGAGGGCTCCCGGGCCCACACGCCCATAGAGCACTTCGAGACCGTCGAGCTGCGCAGCCGGCCCGGCAGCGTGATACCGCACTACCCGCACTCGACCGAGGACTTGCGAGAGTCGTGTCGTGGGGATGACGGACACGGGGAGAGCTCAGGCCAGCCTCACACGTATCTCAATGTGCCGCGCCACTTGCATGTGAGCCCAAGTCCGCCGGGTACACCCGAGTCCCTCGCGGCGAATACCAACGGTCGCTTGGATCCATGGGCTATCCGTCCGCGCTCTGCTCCCCCTTCGCCGTCCGCGCCTCCGCGCTCTGCTTCTAATGACGACGACGCCATTAAGCCGTTCCGACTCGACAGCTCGGACGGCGCCGATAGCGTCCGCCCACCGAGTCCACACACCCCCACCATCCCGGGGCCTACCCATGGAGCAGCTCGACCCCAGTATGCCACGACCACACATCGTCTCGGCTCGCGCCCCGTGTCGCTCTTGGACAAGGCAGCTGAGATGGGCATAGAGAGTCCGGGATTGACTCAGTCAAACGCAAGCCCCAAGCAGTACTCTGTGCCGGGTACCCCACGCCAGGGTTCGTCAGCTCAGGCCACTGGGCACGACGACAGCTGGCATTGGTAGCTCAGTCGGTTAGTAGCTGATTGACTCAGTAGCGCGGCGGCTTAGTAGTTCATAGATGCGCGAGGTCGAAAGTTGATGCGGTATCCATTGTATATGTTCATTCTACGCCCTAGCCTGGGCGGAGTGCTCGCCACGGTGCGGGCTCCTGGCTCACAGCGTCTGTTATACGCGTCGCCGTTCAGCCTTACGCCACTCAGTGTTGGGGAAAGCTAAACACGTCGCCCCGCTGCGATCGAGGTCTAGAAGAGGAAGACCTGGTCCTCGAGCTTGGAAACGGCGCGAGGAGCAGGGTAGCCGATCTCCTTGAGGTGGTTCTTCATAGCAGTCATCATGGGCGGAGGACCGCAGAGAAGGACCTTCGAGCCCGATGCAACGCCGCCGTTGTGCATGTGGTTAGAGATGATCTCCCTGGTGATGAAACCCTCGCCACCGGCCCAGCTGGCGGGAACCTTGTTGAGGACATGGTAGACCTTGAGGCGGCCGTTGGAGCGGGCAACGAGGTCTTCGAGCTCCTCGCGAAGAACTGAAGTCAGCATACGTTTGGAGACGAACGAGCGCAGCTGGAGGCCAACTCGGCGCTAGTATATCCGCGGGCGCGAGCGGATTGCGAACTCTCAATGATTAAGGTCCCGGACGAATCGGCCCCAGTATACCCGTGCCGATCCGCTCTCCGCACTTGAACCCAAAACCAGGTTCAGGTCTGATGTCCTTGACGCCAGGCCGTATGCACTCACGGATATCCGTCTCCTCAACGTTGGCGTACACGAGGGCGAGCTGGGTGTTGTCGGTAGGGTCGGCAAGCGAGCTCTTGATGATCTGGAACATGGGGGTAATACCGGTACCGCCTGCAATCATGAGGAGGTGGGGGGAGAGGCCCTTGGCGTAGACGAACTTGCCCTTGGGGCCACGAACCTGGATCGAGTCGCCGATCTTGAGGCCATCGAGGTATTTGGAGATGTTGCCCTGGGGGTAGGTCTGTAGGTTTAGCCGGGGTCTGGCAGAGGGGTTCAGACAGAGCGTGTCGCCCAGTCTTGTGCTGCCCGGTTGCACGGACTACGGCACTCACCTTTACCACGAGCTCAAAGTAGCCCTTGTCGTTGTCGAGCGAGGTGGGGGTGTAGCTGCGCATGACATTCTTGCCGTTGATGTTGGCCTGGATCGAGATGTGCTGGCCGATCGGGAGGCCGAGGCAGTCAGTCTCCTTGGGGAGGCCGAAGCGGTAGCTGTAAGTCAGATGGGTTCGGAGGCAATTAGAGGGGTGGAAGTGGGGGCGCGCGACAGAAGGATAAAAGTGCAGATATGGGGCGTTACGCTCAGACGTCGACTCACCGAGCCGTGTTGTGAGTCAGCTGCGTCTTCTTGATCAGCTTGAACTGGCGCCACTCCGTGGGGTGGAGGACCGGCTCGGCCACCTTCTTGCCCCCTGGTGTCAGCGGCGCGTCCAGAATGCAAGGAGTAATATAGATTGCTGTCGGGAAGGCTGGGTGGACGTACCGAGGAAGAGGACGGCGAGAAGGATGACGAGGAGAGCGGCGCCAATCTCCTTGGCGTAGGGCTGAAGCTTGCTGACGATCTCGTCCATTTTGTGTGACGGTGACGGGCGGAGTAGCGATGGGCGTGACCGGGAGACCGAAAGATCAAGAGACGGATGTCAAGAAGGGGGAAAAGGTCACAAAAGTCAACAAAAGTCTCCAGGTCGGGTCGGATGATCCTCGTCTCTTGATACGGGACCTGACACGTCCGCCTGTGCCGACCTTCCTTTGTCCCAACGCGCCCAGTCGGCTCGGCCTGCACGTGCCCGGATTCCGTGGGGAGAAGAGTGGGGGATCGCGGACAGTTGCAAGGTCTCCGCGATTTTCCACGTGGGAGACATCGGATCATCAGGGCCATATGGCAGGGTCGGGATCGCGGCAACTAAAGATCTCGGGCAGGTCTCTGTCATCACTGGATCGCTCATTCATCAGTCTCTGTCTTCTCCGTGAGCTTTAGCGCTCAGCCGACCTCCCCCACATGTCGACAGCCCATGACCTAGGCTCATCATACGCGGGCATCTCAACCGCCTCCATACGGCCCACTGCATCACCCGCTCCCTCAGACAGCAAGAGCGGGAATGCTGAGGAACCCCGCGCGCAGTTGGCCATCATCTCATATCCCCCTGACGACGAGCTGTCCGACTACGATGCCGAGCGCGGTACACTCCTCCCGCCTGCGGACTTGGACCGACCGCCGTGGGCAAACGCCCTCGACCGCGTCCAGCACAAGCTTATGTCGCGCCCACGAGTTCGTCGTGTCGTTGATGCCATCAACTGGGTCTTGGGCCCGACCGAGCGAAGACCGCCCCCGCCTCCAACAGGGCTAGCTCTGACATGTGCATGTACGGGGGGGAGACGGCGGCTCGCCGCTCCGCTGGATCCGATTGCTGTACACGCGTCCAAACGCGGCAAGTTGCCACACTTCTACCTCCTCTACCTCGCGCTCTGGGCAGCAGGCTTCATCCTGCTCATACGCGCGGCATACTACCAACCAGGTAGTCCGCCGTCCGTAAGCTGCACTGCCGGGCCGTGGGATGACTGGCCGCCCGACACCTGCGGGCTAGACATGACCGAGTGCGCAGCCAAGCTCGAGGAAGGCACATACCGGTGTCCGGGAGGATGTCAGCTGGTCAAGTTGGGGAACCCCAGATGGGTAGGGGGTGAGAAGGTGAACAAGAGGCCATTAATTATCGGAGATGGTGTATATCGGTATGTCGTCTTACAATCGGGCCGTCAGAGCAGCTTCGGGCTAACCCAAGCGCCGACTCGTGGGTTTGCGCGGCCGGCCTACACTCGGGCATCATCAGCCACACCTACGGCGGGTGTCTGCGTGTCAAACCCATTCCCTACCCAACAGGCAGCTCAAACTTCACGGGATCCAGCGTAAACGGGCTCACCTCGGCAGCCTTTGGTCCCCATTTCCCCGGCGCGTTCACGGTGGAAGCCACTGGCTCGTGGAGCGACTGCATGGACTACCACTGGCCCATCTCAGCATACAACGTCGTCGCCCTGTTCGCGTTCACGGCGCTGTTTGCGCCCCGTCCCGGCGTCCTACTCACCACAATCCTTGTGATGGGATACGCGCACGTCGTGCTCGTGTCCAATCCGCCCACACGGCCGCCCCTCTGGAGTCGCGTATTTCAGGGCGTGCCGGCCACCCTCCTGGCGGGCTTCTGGGCATGGCACGTGTCCTTCCGCCGCTCCCTAACTGGCTTCTATACGGCGCAGCTGCCCGTCGAGGTCGCGCTGTGGCAAGGCGCCGGGCTCTGGATTGGGCTGGAGAGCAGCACGCTGTTCTCGCGCATCCCCATATCTCGCCTCGGGTACGGGAGTCTGGGTGCCGACGGTGTGATTGCCCTTGTTGCTATTATCCTAATTGTGGGAGCCGTGGTGCTTATTCAAGCCGCATTGTTCCGTCGCCTCGGACTGGTGCGGTACTACCTCGCCCGCTACCTTCCGCTGGTGCCCATCCTCGTCGTCCTCGCGAACCTGGGCCACAACTACTATCTCCGCCTGCATCACTATCTCCTAGCGCTGGCGGGGTTGCCTGTCATGTCGCTCCCCAACCGCATATCGTTGTTTGGAGCTGCTTTCTGCCTCGGCTTCTTCCTCGACGGCTCAGGACGCTGGGGGTGGGCCAGCATCGTCGAGGGCGGCTGGAGCTTGCTTGGCGATGCGGCGAGCGGTAGCGCCATGCCCAACGTCACCAGCGTAGCTGGGCCGAGCGGATATATATCCTGGCCAGCGATCAACGCCACTCTCGTGGCGCAGGGAATACGCAGCGTCGCGATCCTGTTTGACGACGTTCTCGTGCGGTCCAACTTTACCGGCACCAACTTCTCCATTGCGGATGGCACCAAAGACCGCTCTGTTGATCACTACTTCCGCATGGCGTATATCGCTAACGGCACAAGCCTCGACTACACCGATCCACTGACATGGCATGCGTCTAATGAGTCATGGTCGCGTGTCCAGTTCAGCTGAGCAAATTAGACACATCGCTTGATCTGTTGTATGATCCTCACAGACCACCTAGAAATGTACACCTCATGCAATATTACACATGTACAGTACAACACCATGCTACAGTCTAAGCGCATCGCTACGCTGCGACGAGTCAAATGCCACGGCTTCGTCGTCATCGCACACGAAACTGCCCAACTCGTACTCATTGTCGCTGCTTCGCGCATGCTCGTCATCGGAAAGTAGCACCGGCACGCGCGCCTTGGCCAAGAAGGCTGGCGAGCGATCGCGCGACGCGAAAGCTAGGCCGGCCTGGCCCGCCACCTGCGTCGACAGGCCGGCGCGGTATATCGCGCGCTGGTCATACCCACGCGGAGCCTGCGTGGCCTGGAAGTCACCCACAAAGCCGCGGTCGTATTCGTCCTCTTCGCCCGAGCCTTCGTCTAAGCTGCCGGAGCCTGACACACCCGCGTCTATGTCCACGAAGTGAGCAGCGATGGCGCGAGACTCGCGCGCCCGACGCGTACCCCGGTCTACGATCGGGCTTGTGTCCGGCGTGCCGTCAGGCGAGGACGGCGGACGGCGGCGCAGGCGCTGCAGTGGCCGAGGGGCTGGGCTGTCCGGCTCACTGGACGGCAAAACCACGCGCCGACCTTGGCGCCGAACGGGGAAGGGGGTGGGCTCAGTGCCGCCAGTGGATGGCGACGGTCTGGTCAGGCGGGACAGCGGGGTCTCGTGCACCACACTTGGGCGAGTGGGGGATGAGGGGACCGGCGGAGGGCCCATGTTCGAAAGGCGAGGGGCGCTGCGCGAGGAGAATGGGCGTGACGGCGACACAGTTGGCTTGACGAGCTCGAGTTCCTCGTCGCTGTCCATGCTCAGATCGACCTGGCTTAGGCCTGCAATTTCGGCGGGGGGCGCTGCCTCCTTGCCGTTGGCAACCGCGGTGCTGTATGCGTGTGGTGAGGATGGCGGGGTCGCACGCCTCGGTGATGAGCTCAGCTGGCGTGCGGGCCCTTGCGTGTTGAAGAAGTCGAGCGCTCTGCGGTTGAGATTCTCGCGCTTGCGCTCAAACTCTTCGGCTGCCTTCTCTCGTTCCTCCTGGCGGCTGAGCTTCTTGGGTTCTGATGAACTCTTGGGCTCCGAGGACCGCGGTTTCTTCGAACCCTTGGCGCGCGAAATCGATCTACTTGCCTTGCTGCCGGAGCGTGAGGAGGATGGGTCCACGTCATCTGGGTCAGAGCTCCCATCATCCTCGTCCGAGTCGCCCCGTTTTTTGCGCTTCCCAGCACCCTGCTTAAGCAACTGGGCAACAGTTTTAAAACCCTCGTGTCCAGGAGGCACCTCTGAGACACGCTTTCTCTTGGCAGGCGCAGGCTTTGACGACCCTCTTCCGGATGCCCGACCTTGAGATTGGGAGGCCGCTGGTAACATACGACCCTGCTCGGACGGGTCCCATGGATCGATTTCCATTTCCTTCTCAATACACTCCGGGAATTTGGCAGGCAGGAGACGCTCCACGTCCTCAAACAGCTCCAGATTCCGGCTGTGAAGGATCTCCTTCTGGATGTCACGGTGAGTTTGCTGTGCGGTTTCCCAGTTGAGGTCCTCGCGGCCTTCGGACATTAGAACGTGGACCTGTCCATCGCGTTTGCGCCCAGTACGGCCAATGCGTTGTAAAAGCTTGATTGACTGTTTCGGCATGTCGTAAATGACCACGAAATCCACCTCCCCGATGTCGAGACCCTCCTCCCCGATCGAGGTTGACACGAGAATGTTGTATTTGCCCTCCTTGAACTCCTCGATGGTCTGATGTGAGCCAAGAAATCATACGCGCTTACCTTCTTCTGGTCTTTCTGAGTGAAGCCATTGTCCTTCTCCTGCTTGCCTTGGGACTGGCCGACAAACTTGGTGGCCTTGAGCAAGTGAGGGTGCTCGTTAAGCATGTCCTGTGCCATCAGTGACGCGCTTCTACTGACGACCGTGCTCAACGTACCACAACCTCCAACACGCACTCCCGGAAGGAGCAAAACACCATTGCACGGGTATTATTGCGAACACCGTGCACCTGCTCATCTTCCTCTGCCTGAGCAAAATGTGCCAGAAGCTGAAATTAGACTCTCTGCAGGCGCATGAACTCACCAGTTCCAACGTTTTCTGCATCTTGGGGTGAGAGTCGGCTAGTGTCTTGCCTTCGCGATGCTTTCTAATGGCGGTCATTTCGTGCTCGACATCCATGAGGATTCGTTGAAACTCGACATTGCTGCGCATACTCATGGCGCCTCCTCTCGAGTTCCCCGCCTTACCCGCAGTTGTGGGATTACCAGCTATCTCCGTAGCAGAGGTGAGGAACATGCCCAAGGAGAACTCCAGCTACACCGTTAGCGCTGCGCGAGCCCAGACTCACGAGATAGGCCATGGCACGACACATCTTCTCCAAGTTACCCAGGGTTCCCATCGCCCACTTGAGCCCGGAAGTCCTGTCGCGAGCAATCTCCATCCGTCGGGCCGTGACGCGGAATGTCTTGAGGCGCTTTACATCGAGATCGCGCTCTGTCAAGACATGCCGCTCGACGAGCTTCTGAATGATCGGCTGCGAGATAAGCAGGGTTACGCCAGAGCACTGCACCTTCATCAAAGCTGCCCATCGGTCTCTGAGCTCTGTAATGATGGGTCCCATAGAGATCACATGCTTTTCGGTGTGCTGCATGTCAGCCTAGCCCGCGAGAGCGTGTCCTTACCTTATCGTTCATGTACTGGCGTACCTCAGGTGACTCAGCTTCCCGAATCTCAATGCGGCTGATGTGAAGCGCATCCACAACACCTTGCACTCTAGGAACGTCATTTCCTGGGGTGGCAGTAAGAGCCAGAACCCGGAAGTAAGGATTCTGCGCGGTGATCAGTGCGAGGATAGTCGTGTAGGCATAAGAGCCGGATGCCTTGTGCGCTTCGTCTACCGTCAGCGGCGTCGTACGATGAGCTCACCAAAGACCGCTAAGACGATGTCCCGCGGATCTACAGCACCACGTTGCAGATCATTGTCAAGTGTCTGCGGAGTGCAATAGAACACGCGACGCTCGTCCCACTTGTGTCAGAAAAGAACTCAGAGGAACTTACCATCTTGTCTCGCTTCTTTGCGGCCATGCTCTGACCTGTCATAACCGCGGCATCGTTGCTGGGAATACCGCAGGTAAGTTGGCACGCCTCAATCTGTTGATTGACAAGCGGTCGTGTGGGTGCGAGAAACACAATTTTGCCAGTGGGAAACCAGCGGTAGACTGCCTTGTAAGCCCTTTCAAAAGGCACAAACCTTACAGTTCAGCATTACGACACCTGCAACGAATGTCTTGCCCAGTCCTGTTGGGAGCGCAACGAGAGTGTTGTCCGTGAAGCACGAGCGGATGATGTCGTACTGGTAGGATCGCTTGGGGTGGTTGGTGGGGTAGAGATATGTACTTATCGTGGATTGAACGTAGTGATGTTTCTGCGGTTCATAAGGACGGGCTTGCGTCAGTGTAGCCCAGCGTACCCCGCTTACTGGTGTCAACCAGGGGAGCCGGATCGGGCGCGAGAGGTTCTTCTTGATCCTCGTCTTCATCATCTTCGTCGTCCCCGTCCCCATACGGCCGCGCCTTCGCCTTTCCTTTCTTGACCGACACCCTCCGCCCAGTTGCAGCGAATACGGTGCGATCCCACCGCTTGCCCTTGGTGTATGGGTTCTCACGGCGGAAGTTGAGATGAGTCTGAAGCATATTGCCGGACTTGGTGCGCGCAAATGCACGCTGCTGCGAGATGCCAGAGGAAGGGATGATGGTAGTGCCTTTCGCTCGGACTGCGTGATCGATCTGCTCAAGCGACTCGGGGGTGAGGCTCATTTCACCATAGTCATCGCTCGAGGGGTGCGGTGTCGGGCGAGGTAAGCGCACACCAAGGGCGGCAGCGCGGCGCGACGCCGCGCTTGGCGGAAGACGCGAGGGACCTGCTTGAGCATTTGAAGAGGAGGTAGATGCGTGTGCTTGCTCGGAAGCGGTGGCAATGGAACGAGCGCGCGCTGAGGTGGATGAGATGGCCTTTACCTCGATGTCATCCAGCTGAGCAAAGAACGAGTCGTCCACGGCAAAAGAGTCAGAGGCGAACTCGTCAAAGTCGGAGTCGGACATGATTAGGAACAAGATGAGATGGACATGCTCGAAGTGGGTGAGGCGCAATGACGCGAAGGAGAGGACGCAAGGTTTGCGAGAGTAATGTTGATGGCTCTTGATCTTCGTCGCATCGAGTGCTCGTGCTGGGTGAGGTGTGCGTACCACGTGGCCATCACAACAACCTCCACTCGCATGTTCCCCGTGGGGATGACACGGTCGGCCACCTCCGAACTTCTCCATGTCACCCATGCGTTCCATCTCGTCGTTGTCTCGGTTCCTCGGCCATTCCGCAGATTGTCTGACTCGCTATATCTTTATGGCGAGGTGACACGACTCGACTCAACTCAGCAACTCGACTGAACACTATATATTCTCCCGCGCGGCCGGAGCATGCTCACGGAACGACTCGACCAGTCCCAGTCTACGATCTATATCTCTCTGTGAGCTGACGAGCTGAACCCATCCTGACGCGCGAAGTACCATGCCCAGCTCAGAGACCGTCCAGACATTCCAGCGTAAGTGTCTGTGCAAGCATGACTGACGCTAGTGTTTGCTTACGGCACTCTGATGGTGCCCGCCATCCTGCTCCGCGTGCTGGGGCGGAAGGGCGAGGACCTCAAGTTTCAGGACGCGATCCTCCATGTACGTGTATGGTCTAGTGCTGTTCTGATTGCAGGGCTACACCCGCCACCACGTCAAGGACGCCGACTATCCAGGCCTTATCGGCAGCGAGAAGCTCGCGGAGCTCGGAGCTGACGCGGGCGACAATGCGACGCGCGGCACACTCGTGTCGGGGCTCACTCCGAACGACATGCGCCTCCTTGACGTGTTTGAGGGCGACGAGTACGAGCGCGTTACAGCCTCCGTGGCTGTCTTGTCTGAGGCGAAGGCTCTCTCCGACTTACCCGCAGAGCTAGTGAACGCGAGCCACCGCACGGCAAGCAAGGAGATCCGCAACGTTACTGCACTCACGTACGCGTGGGCTGCGCCAGTGTCGCGTCTCGAGAAGGCTCAGTGGAGCTTTGACGAGTTCCTCCGCGACAAGGCCGCAGTTTGGGCTGGCACGGAAAGCGAATTCGCCGAGGTAGAGGCGGCGCAGGATGAGATCGTTGGCGCCAAGGTCGACGGCTTCCCGGACTTTGGCCACAACATGAAACAGTACTGGCCTTTTGCGAAAAGCTGTGAGTGCAGGCAAATGGCTGAACCCGCAATCAATGCTGATCGGCAGATGTTAACATGAACCATGGTGAGTCACCGACAGTCACCGAGATTGTCGCTCTAAGCTGATGGCAGGCTCATACGGCTCGCCTCCCCTTTGCGTCATTGAGGCAAAAGAGAAACTATCGCGGCAGATGGACGCCCGCATCGACACTTGGATGCGTCGCCGTGTTGAACCGCTCTTTGACGCGATCCGCGAAGAGGTCGCCCCGTTGCTCGGCACGGTGGGGGACAACGTTGTGCTTGTGCAAAACACGACGCATGGTGTGAACACGATCGCGTACAACCTCAAGTATGAGCCGGGCGACATCATCGTCGTTTACGCTTCGACATACAACGCTGTCTCACAGATGATGAAGCACGTGTGTGACACGCACGAGGGTGTGCGCATCGAAGTCGTCAATACGACGTTCCCGTGCGCCCACTCCGACATCGTCGAGGCTACCGAAGCAGTGCTCAAGAAATACAATAAGCCAGTTAGCGCGCCGGGCGATGGACCTGTGGTGCCCCAAGGAGTGGAGAAGGACGAGCGCGTGCGGGTCGTAGTCGTCGACAGCATTGCGAGCCTTCCCGGCGTTGTGTACCCATGGGAAGACGTGACTCGCCTCTGCCACAAGTATGGCGCGCTGTCGCTCGTCGATGGGGCTCACTCCATCGGCCAGCACACCGTGGACGTTACGAAGGCTGATCCCGACTTCTTCGTTTCCAACCTACACAAGTGGCTCTTCACGTACGCCTTGATTGGGAAGTCTAGCAGCTAACATCAGCCACCGCGCCAGCGCCATCATGTATGTGGCGCCGCGTAACCAGGCCCTCATCCGCACCACGTTCCCTACGGGTCACTACTACGAGTCGGACAAGTACCCGACGACGGGCTATTCCCATCCGTGGGCCTTTGCGAAGCAGTTCGGCTGGTCCGGCACTGGCGACTTCACGCCATACCTCACTGTGCCTGTGGCGCTTAAGTTCCGCCGCGAGATCGGCGGCGAGGAGCGTATCATGGCGTACAACCACTCGATGGCTGTCGCGTGAGTGGGGACCTTGCATCCTATAAGGAATTGCTGCTTACACCACCAGCGGAGGCAAGCGTCTTGCGAAGCGCTGGTCGACCTCGATTATCGAGAACGAGCGCGGCGAGCTCACCGCCTGCATGGTGAGCGAAGGGGTGTGAGTTAGCTAATAACAGGCAAACGTTGAGCTACCGATTGCAGTGCCCAAGGATATTTCCGAGCAAATCGAGCTGCAGAGATACATGGAGGACACCATGCTGGAGGCGGACACCTTTGCCTCGACGGTGAGTCGTGGGACGGAGATGATGAGCCTCACGGCGCCGTTGGGAGGTGCGGCCTCAGCTAACATCAGTTTGTGCACAACGGCAAGTGGTTTGGCCGTTTCTCAGCGCAGGTGTGGACTGAGCTGTCCGACTTTGACTATGTCGGCGATGTGTATGACAAGATTGCCGAGGGAGTGCGCCGCGGTGAGCACCTCCAAGAGCGGTCGGAGCCGCTCAAGTTGCGCAACGATTAGGATATGTAGAGAATAGCGCAGAATGGGAGACATATACGCCGACATATGTCAGGCGATGCTACCTCAATAGCAAGACTTCCTCTGGCGATCACGTGCGGATACAGCTGACAATTGGGCCGTCATCAGAATCAGGACTGGTGTACTGATGTCCCAAGTCGGTGCCCTGGTGTGGGCTTGTGTCTGCCTCTCTTAGTATGTCGACATCTCACACTCGTTTCGCACACTGTTACAGCTCTAGCATTTCGTTACCTAAACCAGCACGATTACTTCGTGTGGCAGATGCGGAGAGGACCGTCAACATAAAGGTAGTTGTCGGCGTAGTTCTTTGGGGGAATGCGAGCCTTCTTGGGCTCTGAGATGTAGTAGTCCCACCCCTGGCGCTCGGCCTGGCGTCAGCGTGTGCTACAGAAACATACAACGGGTGTTTGAACGAAATGAAGTTGATAGGGAGCCAGGGGAAAATGGCAGGAGGTGTGACAGGACGAGTACTGCGAAGGAGGTTTCCATCAAATGCAGTGCACTCATACCGGCACACCACGCCGCGGGAGCTGACGAGGGCAGCCAGGAGGACCGGTGAGCTCGAGTGACCGGTCCCAATCTTGGACGGAGCTCTTCAATCAACGCAGCCAGTGGCTCCATCGTTCGAGCGGATTGATGCCTGTCCGATCCTCCGCCTCCACCAGCTCTCCGTTGGCAACACCTTCCCTCTCTCTCACTTGTCCCGTTTCGGCTCGCTCCAAAACTCACGAAGCGGACAGCGTCCTCGCGCGTGCGGAAGGCGAGTGTAGTGCCCTGCATGTAGTCGGCGGACGACTGCCAGCCCATAAGAGGGTTGGTCCAGCGGCCGGAGCCGGGGAGGACGTCCCAGTCGATGCGCCACACGCGCGTCTTGCCCTTGGCAGACTGCATCGTGTTCTTCGTCGGCTTGAAGATGCGGACCTGGCGGTGCTGGAGCTCGCGGGGCGCGTCCGAGACGGTCGCGACGAGCACCTCTTCAGGAGTGAGACGCTCCACGGGGGGGCCGGGCGCCTTGCCGGCGACCACGTCGGCTGGGTGCACCTGTGGGATGCGCTGCAGGGCGCGCACGCTGGTCGAGAAGGGACGAAGGGCGCGGAGGGACATGGCTGTGGGTGTTGTCGCTGTCTCAACGCCGAGATGAGCTCCGAGATGGGAGGACGGCCAGGCCCGGCTGGGTGGGAATGCCGTACGGTGGGCGGCGAAATCGGGATTAGGTTCCGTGGCGCCGGGCCACCAGTCATAACTCAGCCAATTCAGTAGTGAGGCCACAACGGGAATGTAACAACAATGCATAGGCTACAACATAATGCTGACACTAGCGCGCAAGACGCGTGCGCTTGGCTGGAGGTAGAGAGCCAGTGGCTGGGCGAAAGTTACTACTACTGGGCAGGCGGCCACCAGCGAGCGAGGGAGGTAATCTAGACTTAGCAGGTGTGGCAGATCTCATCGACATCAATCACTCACGAGCCCATCTTTGGGTCGCCGTTGTCTTCGTGTGTGACGCGACGATGCGGATAGTTGACGTTGGCGCCTTCGAAAACGCTCTCAAAGTTGCACCCACCCTCCTCTTGAAACCATGGATGAGAGAGTGCTTCGCGTGCCGTAATGCGCTGAGCGGGATCCCACTCGAACAGCTTCGTGAGCAAGTCGAAGCCGTGACTAGAGCCAGATCGGTTCGCATACCAAGTAGGTAGTGGCGAGGCGGTCGGGTAAGGCCCTTGAGCCAAGTATGTCTTCCACTCGGGCATATTGACCACACCTGGCCAATGCTCCGCTGAACGTTAGTGTCCCTGCATAAATCGTGAAAATCACGCTTGACTGCATCAAGAACGTCACAAATCTTGGCCATCTGGTCACGCTGAAAGGGCAGCGTCTTCTTGCTGTCCAGCTTCGCCTCCTCGCCCTTGAAAATGGGTCGGAGCGACAGTAGCTCGGCATAGATGCACCCCACGGCCCAGAGATCTGCGTAAGCTCCATGTCAATGAGCGCGATACAAAACTCACCAACAGCGGCAGTGTAGTGTTTGGAGCCGAGAATGAGCTCGGGAGCACGGTACCATATCGTTACAACCACCTTGTCTCCGCCATACAGACCGCCTTGGGCCAGTGGCTTGTGCCATAATCGCGCTAACCCCAAGTCTCCAATCTTGACGACACCCGAGTTGGTGACGAGGATGTTCGCCGGCTTCAGATCGCGGTGCATGACGAATTGCGAGTGCAGGAAGTGCAGACCTGCGAGCAGCTGGTGGAGCAAGCGCCGGAGGGTGGTGGGCGGGATCGCTGTGCGAAGTGTCTGTGAGTGATGATGAATGATTTGCTAGCCATCAGCCAACATCCTTCAAGACGTTGCAAACGCACCAAGAAGTCATGCTCGGCATACTCGAAGACCATGTAAATCGCCTTGTCTTCCAAAATGACTTCGCGCAAGGCGACGAGGTTGCGATGGTGCAGCTCGCGGTTAAGCTGCCATTAGCCTTCCCACATCTTTGACTCCTTGCGCGTGGGTTAGGAGGAGCTGCGCGGGCATCCCCAGCGCGGCTGCTCACCATGATCTCCCGCGCACCACTCTGTGAAATACCGGCGTAAGTCTGTTGGTCGCCCTCTTTGTCAGGCTTGAACTTCTTGATGGCGAAGACATCACCCTCTTTCGCGGGGAGATCTCCTGGGCGCATACAGAGCTCGGGGTTGTTCAAAGGGTCGTCAGAGATGAAGGGTGATGGTGACTTGGCAACTCCGAGAGCAGCTCGGGCGGAGCTCGGCAGAGCGCTTTTCCCGTTCAGCTTCGGAGGTGCGAGGAGCACTGCTTTGTACACTCGCCCATACGTCCCTGTGTTTAGCTCTACTCCGCACACACAAGACAAAAGAAAACAAAAGCCATGACACCGGATAGGATAGCTTACCTGAGGAGATAAATCCGAGAATCTTGTAGGCCTTGAGGACTCTGTGGTTAGGCGTCTCCTGCGGAACAGAGCTCACGTGCGGCGCTCGCGGTCTCGCTTAGCGCGGTATGCGTGCATGGGGTCAACCATAGCGCCTTGTGACCGCGAGGAGTCCATCTTGTAGGCGAGTTTAGAATGTAATGGTCTCTCACTCTGACAAGTGATTGGGATGTGCGAGTGGTGCGGCATGGGGGAGGGTGGAGGAAGGTCATGAACAGCCGTGCCTGGACGTGCTGATCTCGGCTGAATGCCACGCGAGGTGCGGCATCAAATGCCTCCCTCGATCCAAACAAACAAGTCATTCACGGTCATCTTCATTCCTCTCTTGTTTCCTCCCCACAACTTACAAGCTCTCGCCACACTCGACTCGAGGCGCGCCGAGATAACAGCCAACCTGAACACGGAGAGCTCTTTGTCCCCTCACTTCAAAGAGACATGTCCCGCGCTTCGGCTTCACCAGCACGCCGAAAGTCTGTCGGCTTATTTGACAGAGACATGAACCGCTTCGACAACAACAACCTCACCTTACCCGTCACCAAGGGCGGGCGCAAACCCAAGCGCGGCGTCTCCATGGGCGGAAGTGTTGACATGCTGAGCGAAACGCAACTGATGCGCCGACAGGCGGTAGGCACTGGTATGCATGCTCCCGCTGACTCCAGAAACCACGCAAGTCCATCCTCAAGTCGGCCCCTGGTAACATGGACGAGTGGGATGCTCAAACTTTCGACTATGGAGCTACCATCGACTTTGGACAGCTACATCATGCGCCTGCGGCGCCGGCTCCGGGCATGAATGTCAACTCGAGAATGAGCTTGGGTCCTCGGCGGCGAGTGAGCTTCGCGCCCAACACCCACGTCCGGTGAGTCTTAAACGGCAAACGCTAAACTGACCAAAGCATGTTCGACCAGCCGGAGAAGAAGCCACGGCGCAAGTCATCTATGCTCCCGCGACAGTTTGGCAGTGGCAGCAATGGGTCGTCTCAGTCGCCCTCCCGCCCCCGAATCTCTATCTCTGGCGCGTCTAGCACCCGATCCTCACTCTCAGGCCCAGGATCACGGACATCGAGTCCCCGAGCGCGCTTCCTCGGTGAAGGGGAAGAGATGAGTGAGGCGTCGATGGACATTGAGAGTGACCAGTCGTACTCGAGTGCAGATGATTCCGACGACATTCTTGCCCAGGTGCAGGCCATTCGACCGAAATCTCCCGTTCCACCACCCGCTCCGGACAGCTCTAGCGACGGGATTGACGCGGAAGGGGAGATGGATATGGACGAGACTATTATCGGGGGCGGTATCGTTGCCCAGCGCTGGGCGCGCGACGCGTCAGTATCAGACTCCGACTCAGAATCTGACATGAGTGTCGGGGGAGCTGCGGACGGCACGGACGATGAGATGACGATGGACTTTACTGTTGCTCTTGGCGGCCCAATGCCCCGCGTTCCGCCGCAAAACGCGCTTCGCGGCCGTGCTTCCATCGGGTATTCGGTCCCCTCCGCGCCAGGTCAACAGCCATTTCACCCTGGAGACGCCGTCTCGGACGGTGAGTCGATGGAGATTGAGGAAACCGTGGCATACGGATACGTGAACAACGACGAGTCCACTTCATCGTCCGACAATTCGAACCTTCACCGTATGGGTGATCACACAGCGACGTACAACCTGGACTTTACGTCCGTGGGAGGCGGCATCTACGAGGAGAGTGCCATGGACATATCCATGACTACAGTCCATGGTGGCATCCTCAGCAATGGGATGAACATGTCTTTCACCGGCGCACACGGCGGCATCAATAACAGCGCGCTAGACCTGACAACAACCCGCGCACATGGGTGGACTGAAAACGACACAAGCGCGCTGGACTTCACGTCTGCTGGCGGGGGCATCGCTTACAAGAGCACGAGCGTGTACGGGGCAGCCACAACGATGATGACAAACATCTTCGCCTCTCCTCAGAAACCAAACCCAAGCCCGATACCGGACCCGCCCGCCAAGAAAGCGACAAGCGTGAACATATTCGCACCTACACCAGGGTCTTCAAGCATTACTCGCCCGCGCTCGTCAATCAAGCCCGCGTTGACGCCCTTCGCACCTTTGTCAGCACCTCCGATCGCGCCATCGCCCGAGATCGATCCCGAGCTCGAGGAAGAGGGGCCCATCGTCCCTCCACCCCGGGTGCGCGGTGGCTCTGCGACCCCGGCCCGCCCGGCTCCGGGCACTCCCAGCCGCAAATCACGCGTTGTGCCGGTCGGTACGCCTTCGTTCGCGCGCCAGACGTCCTCATCGGCGCAGAAGTTGCGAGAGGCGCCTCCGTCAACGCAGAAGCGCGCGCCTGCCTCGGCTCAAAAGCAGAAGCGAAACGTCTTTGGAGCCTCCCCGGAACCTGAGGGCGAGTCGCTCCCTTCGTTGTCGCGCTCGAAGTCGCGCACTCCGAGTCAAACTGCTGCCAGTCATGGGACAGCTGCGAGTGTCGCTAAGAGGCTCGATTTCTCCAGCGCAGTCGTTCCGTCGACACCTACATCGGCTTCGTCGGCCGCCCCTGCCGGGCGGACGCCGAAAGCAACCCCGAGGCCCGTTGCGCCCGGTGGCTCCACCCTAACAACCACTTCCTCAACAACACCCAGAGCCACGCCAAAAAGGCCTGGGGCACGTGCGCCTTCGGTGCCACCCAGTTCACTTAAGCGTGGGCGCGAGGACGAGGGGAATGCCGAGCAGACAGACAAGGACATTCACCGCGATAAGCGCCGCAGATCCAGCATCGTCACGCCCTCATCCCAGTCGAACAGCGAGGCGACGGGTGAGGACACCATGTCCATCGAGGAATCCAATGAGATATCAGAGCGCATGCCTGTCAACGAGCAGCGGGAAGATGAGCAATCTCCATCACAGGAGAAGCACGCATCGGTGGAAGCCGAGAGGAACGAGGAGCGTCACCTTACTCCTGAGCCAATGGAGGATCGCCCGCTACCTTCTTACACACCCATCCGTCGCGGGACGGAGGGGCGAGGTACACCTCGTCGCACGCCTCGGAGGTCTCTCGGTCCTCCTCGGCGATCTATCACGATCGAGCAAGACCTAGAGGTCATGGAGCGTCGACCGTATTCTGAGGCCGAGCCTGTCGACCTCATGACGCACCTCCCCTCGCAACCTGGTGTGGAGGTCCAGAACGTGCCGCTTTCCGCATTCCTCGAGATGGTGGGGATCAGCTGGCAAGACGACCTCATCGGGCGCAAGAGTCTGGCTGCGCGGACCGATAGCCTCAAGTCGCAGTTCCCGAAGGGACACGACTTCCCGCTGCCGGAGTATGTCGTGGCCAATCTCGAGTCTATCTACCTTTCCATGCTCAGCTGGGCGGACAGCGAGATTACGCAGCGTACACAACAGGGCAGGGAAATCCTCACGACCATCGATCGCGTGTGCTCGGAAAACAACCCGCCTGTCGTACATGATTACCTCGCCGCCGATGAGGAAGACCGGGGCATGTTCGAGAGCGTGCTTCTTCAGATCAAGAGTGTGACTTATCTTCGAGCGCGTGCGCGATGGTATGACTGGAAGCAGTCGATCCTGAGCGAGAAGGTGGAGCCGGACGTCCGCGGCATTCGCGACGATATGCTCGCCGACGCTGAGAGGCATGCCGCGGAGCGCCAGACAATCGACCGTGTGCTCCCTAGTCTCCGAAAGCGGCGAGACGAGCTCGAGGCTGAGCTGGCCGCACACCGCGCTCAAGTCGAGGCCGTACTCGCATGCGATCCTGAAGAAATTGCAGCACTTCGCGAAGGCATCGAGGAGCAAGACACCGAATTGGACCGCTTCCGTATCGAACTCAGTGGCAAAAACGAAAGGAACGCTGAAGTCGAGCAGGAGTTGGCGGCTTTGATGTCGCAAGGTGACCAGCACACGCTGGCTATCAACGCTGCGCGCAGCATGTGCGATCAGGCGACGGTGGGCGATGTCATGCGCCTCGATGCCGAGCTTGAGGCTCTCCAAGCGCTCCACGGGTGGAAAGTGTTACGCGCCGGCCCGCGCGTGGAAATGCTACTCGGCGAACTCGAGCTTGCGGTTCCTGTGGATGCGCTTGAACGTGCAACTCTCAGCCACAAGTCACCTCGGGGCCCCGATGCCGGCCTTCTGGCGCTCGCGCAGGCCGCCCTGGTCGCTTCCAAATGCACCTCTCTCCGCGACGTGGTGGACACAACCACGCAGCTCTGGGGAGCCGCCCGGAGCGCTCGTGACGAGCTCCGCCGCCTCGCCCTCTACTTCCCCGTCAGCTACGAGGTGGGACATGACACACTGCTCGTAAGCGCCACCCTCGTCTTGCCCAAGGCGCAGGCTCGGGCGGCTCTCAACTTGACCCTCGGGCCAGATGCGCTTACGAGCTGGCCGGAGGCGGCGCGCGCACTGCCTGTCGCGGTCAAGTTGGCCTACGGGCACGTGGACGCGATCGGACTGCGGGAGCGCGCCAAGGAAACGCTCTTGAGCGCTGACCTCAGCCTCGCCGGTGTGCTTTTCCAGGCCTGTGCGGAAGCTGCTGCGTTGTATGCTTAGACCGAATTGTAAACTTGAGATATCATGCTTGCTTAGGAATGTATTGCCTCCCCCTGTGTCATGCTCTTGTCACCTCAGCGTACCTATGATGACAATCTATCTGAAAGCGGGACTGGCCTTGCTCTGATTATACTGACGACGTACTCGCAATCTCGACCGTAGTCGTGTGACGTTCCATTGCTTCTAAGCGATCGGCGCCTGATGGAGCGCATGCCAAGGCAGGCGAGGGCCTTCATTGAATGAGATCCACGTCTATTACAGCAGCTTTTGAACCCTAAGGGCCCGAACGATCTAAACATTCACTCAGGTGAGGCCAGATAAGCACGCCAAGATCCAGAACAGGCAGTCAACGAAGCCGTAACGGCGGCACTGAACGCTCTCGGCCACCGTGAGCGTCAAGCTTGGTTTACGGCTCTGATGATCGACACGGGCTTCTCCGAAACCTCGACCATCCGGTCATGTTGATCGATCCGACGTCATCATGACTTCTGACACCTCAGGTCGTTCGCTCATATAAGCAAGTGGCCTGGTCTCGTGCACGACTGTCGAGGAACACGATCTCCACCAGTCCGCCGAGTTGTTCCTATTCTGGCAACTGGTGCGCGTCATCTGCGTCGATGTCGCGGCAAGCTTACTGGTAAAGCAAGCTGTTATGACGGCATGCGAGGGACGTTCCCCCAAATCGTATCTGTGACCATGGAGCCTCGATAGTGGACGGTCAATGCAAGGCCGCCCACGGGGCCGCGGTCTGACAAAAATGTGCGGCGACGGGTGGCGACATTACCGCAAGGCGCCGGCTGGCCGCAGTTCCGCTGGAGTGTCACATCCTTAATGCTTCTCGTAGTCAGGATGGCATGGTCTGCTTGGCCTGGCGTGGCGCCTTGAGCCTACCTTCTTCCGGCCGGCCACATAACCACCATCCCACACCCCACTGCCCTTCGCCACCATCATCGCTGCAGTGCGGCAGCCCGTCCAATCGTCCGCGCAATGAACCAAATCGGCAGCTTCTGCCGAAGCAAATAAGGCCCGCGTACTAGGGTGCGGGTCGCACCGTTTCCCTTCGGATTCAACGCCTTGTCAATTGAGAGCACACTCTACATGCTCCGCCGACCATGTCGCATCACCTCAAAGCGGCGAGCGAGGCGTCCCCTCTCATTCTTGCATCGATCGGTGCGTAGTCGAAGTTCTCTACCCTTCCGGTCGAGTTTTGGCATCAATCTGACGTCAGGCACTGTTCTCATCGACATCTTCGAGCCAACCTCGCCAACGGCATCCTTATGGGGCCGCTCAGCAGCGTCCAGCAGAGGGACAAGTGCGTCTCAAGGAGCGCTCTCACGGCCGTCGCCAGGTGCGTCCACCCGTCCTTCTACACCGAGCGTGCCTGCCGTGACTCCGCCACTCGTTTCCTTGCCCTTGCCGACAAGACAATCGGCCGCCACTTCACCTGGCTCAGCATCGGCCTCACCCTCCTCTCGGGGAGCACAAACACCACAAATCGAGGCTTTTGGTGAAATTTCAAGAGACAGCAAGATAGTGATCGGCGGCGGCGCGATGTACGCTTTGATCGGCGCACGGGTGTGGCTCGCGCCACAATCGTTGCGCACGGTAATCGATCGCTCACCTGGTACTACAAGGAGGGACCCCGAAGATGGGAGAGGAACATCGGGAAAATTTCTGGAAAGAGAAATGAAGAGACAAGGACAAGTGACCAAGGAGGTTGAGGCGGTTGAATCGCTGATAGACGACCCTTTACACCCGCCACCAGTCGCAGATACAGAGTTCCCTGGGGATGACGAGTTTGACGACCTCCCACTCAAGCTCGAGAAGCAGCTCCACTCGTATGGTCCGGAAATGTGGGTATTCAATCGCGTCCCGGGGGCGCGGGTTCCGACGGCGAGAATCCGGTATGACGACGCCGTGAGAAGGTGGGTGGCACGGGGAACGGGCAATCCGGATTCTCACGTACAACATATGTCTGTAGAGTCCGACAGGGCAGGGGCACTGGCTTTCGTTTGGCAAAGCTTCTTCTGACTCTAGTTACGCGCACATCGTTAAGCCAGCAGTGCGCAGCGGCAGAGAGCTGGCGTCTGGCCCTCTCGCCGGCGCCGAGTGGCTGCATGTCCCTCCGCCGTACTCTAGCACAGCCCTGCTCGGTCTCATCTCCGAACTAAGCCTCACCTCCTGGCATCCCCGAATAGTATTCGAGCCAGCGCCGACCTCGTGCCATCCGGGAGAACTCACTGCCTTCGAAAAAGCGGCAGCACTCGTAGATGTGCTATCGTGAGCTCCTATTGCCACTGAAAATTCTGGGAGCTGACCCTAGACCGAACCACGAAGAGCTGTTGTCGCTGTATGCTCGTCCAATTCCTGACGACCGGCAAGAGATTATCGAAGCCGTGGAGAAGGTTATGCGGCACTTGCTGGCTCTGGGCGTGGGCAGCCGCGGAAAGGGCATTCTCGCTATCAGATGCAGCTCCCTCGGTGCATGCATTGGAACAGCCGAAGGCGGGATCTGCTGGATTCCCTCGTTTTTTCAAGGCGAGCAGCACAGAGTTCAAGATGTCACCGGAGGTGAGTAGAACCTGGGAGCGTGCGCATGACCTTTCTCAAGAGTTCAAAATGGGGCGGACGTGGTTGCACCGAACCTTAGCCAACGCTGATAACAGCGGGTAACGCGTTCATCGGCGGATACATCGCCGGGCTTTACCTTACGGGCGACCCGTATGAGGCCGCGCTGCATGGGACGGTGTCAGCGTCTTTTGTAATCGAGCAACTTGGACCGCCGATTTTGCATTTCACGCCCGAGGGGGAGCGATGGAATGGTGACTCGGCGGAGAGTCGCCTGGCGACGCTGTCTGGGCAGGCGAAACAGGCTGTAATCGCTTCGCCAAAGAACGCCAGTCTATTGTATTAACATCTCCATATACGAATCTATTCAACAAAATGTGCATGTCCCGGTGCGCCAAGAGATATCCTCCAATTTTCCCAGATGCTTCTAGTCGATCAGCGAGCCCTTCTTCTTGAGCTCAATGTCATCGAAGACGCGTGACTTGGAGCGTGACTTCTTGTGCGGCACAGTACTCGAGATGCTCATGCCGCGTCCCCGACGCGTGCCGCGGAAGCCAGGCCCCTCGTACGAAAGGATCTCGTGGGGCGGGTTCAGGCGCGGCCAAGCGACATACGAAGTGCCCTGTTGTCAGCCTTAATAAGGTGCTCACTCACGTTGCCCCAAATGTACGAGCCGGCGACGAAAGCAAGCGCTAGCCAGAGGAGGAGGAAGGAATAAATGGACCACTCTGTATGTCAGCGAAGCCTGCCGGCTGACGCACCAGATGTACGCGGCAGAGTAAGGGCCGCGAGGATCATCGTGAGTGCAAACACCAGTATATAGGGCATTGAGCGGAGGAGGACCGGACGAGTGTCGCTGAGCGGCGGGATCCCCCCGCGGCGGACCACATACGATCCCGTGATGAGATCGTACGAATCTTGGCGGTCGCCGTCAAAGAAGTTGTTCTTGACGTAGCGCATAACGGAGTTAATGCCGTCTTGCAAAAGACCCTCTTTGGAGCGCTTGCCCGTGCGAGTAAAGTCGGTCTTGAGCGCACCAGTGCCGGCGTATGCTTTGGAGACACCATCGGCGTGGTCGGCCCACACGTTGCGGAAGATGAGCATGAACTCGGGGTGATCCTCGACGCCTTCCTTGACGCTGAGGATGCCAACCTGGCGGAGCTGCTGGTTCAATGCCCATTTAGCAAACGCGGCCTGAGTAACATTGGTACGATCCAGACAGTCCATGCAGTTGGAGCGGATGACACCCTTCTGCACGCTGAGAACCCTTGCTCCAGCGCTCGAGTTGCCTACGCCAGACGGAGCAGGAGCGACCGTATGATACCACCCATCGGCGAGGAGCTGCTCTTGCAAGTCGCCGACGAGGTTCTCAATGCGATCGAAGCGCATACCCTTGCACTGGGCGTGGAAGTCCCAATAAATGTATCGGGTCTGCTCCGCCAGCTGGCGGTCGCTGTTGTTGGTGACATTGACGACGGTCTCGAAGGCATCCTTGACTGGCTTCTCGTAGCCCTTTTGGTTGACAAGGTTGAGCGAGTACACCGAGCCGTACTTGTCGACCAGTTGGTGCATGTGCTGGCGGTACGAGCCAACCGTCTCGGGAATATCCATGATTTGAAGGTCGGGCTTATACCGCAGGTTGTTGATTTCCGCCCAGAACACTGGGACACTTCCACGAATCTGAACAAACGACAAGCGCTCTCGGCCATCAACGCGACCGCGCATCGACTTGGTGTCATCGATCGGGTCAAGAAGCACGATTTGCTCTGTCTCGTTGAAGTTGGCGACGTTGCCGTTGTTGTCAATTCCGCGTGTGAAGTAGCGGGTGCCAACGCGGTGGCGCGAGCGGCGCGCGATGAGGCAAAAGAGGAAATCACGGTTGTTGATGACAGCGGAGCGCAGCTCGAGCACTGAAGTCAGTGGCCGCGCAAGGCAGATTCATAGACTCACATCCGAACATGGCAGGAAGAATGAAGCGGCTCAGCTATCTGTCAGTGAAGCACTCGTTGCCGACATTACGGCACTCACGTCAGTACCACTCTCGGTGAGGGTAATGAAACGGTCCTGAAGGAACCGATTCCAGAAGAAACGCTCGTCTGCACGCTTCCAAAGCGGTGCGCGTCCCGGGCCCATACCGGCGTCCTCGAGAGCCTTCTGGCGCTGAAGAGTGTTGGTGAGGTCCCAGCCGTAGGAGAACCACATCGGGCCGGCCTTAAGACCCTGCTCCACAAGCGACACGAGCTCATTCTCGATGGGGTTGCCCAGGATAGCCTGGGACGACGAAGCCGGGTTAAGAGGAAGGAGGCGGAAATCGGTGGCGAGATAGATCTGGTGCGTGAGGAGACGGCAGCTCGGCGTGCGCTGCGTAATAATGACGATATAGTCGGCTGCCGTTAATCAACTAATACGGGCATCTTGACCCACTGGTGGCGAGGGTAATCATGCCCAGAATTCCGTAGCAAGTGATGACCTTGTCACGGCCCACGGGTATTGAGGAGGACACTGATCGTCAGCTGGGCAAGAAACGCAGAAGCTAACCGTCAAGCGAGATCCGTCCGGAGCGGCGGTCAACGACGAGGTTCTCGCGCACATCCTTCTCGTTGGTCAAGCGCGACGAATCAGTACCGAGAGCAGGAACAGTAGAGCTGGAAGGCTCAAAGACGTAAGAGCTGGGTGAAACGTAGACATTGTACGTCTCGTACAGCTGAGTTTGTCAGCGTGTGCAATGTCCTTGGCCTTACCGGCTGGCAGTTGAGCGCTGCCATGGTGCAGGATTAAAGAGCTCTTGATAAGGTGAAGGGCTGCCTTGATTGCTTGCTACGGGCGACTGATGTAACAAGAGGAGATGAGAACGAAGACGATTTGCTAACAAGCGTGAGATGGAGATTATCGAACGTGTTGCCGCGCGGGCCTGCGCACTTTCAGGCGGCGAGTGTCGACGCGTCAGATCCGGGTGGAGGCCGACATCATTCCACGCGCAAAACACGTGGTAACAAAATGACGTGGAAAATGTACTAAATGGGTGACGGTACGCGTCAACCAGTCTGATGAGCGGCGCGACGCGTCCTCCCTGGGAGCCTGAAGACAACATTTGTCGTTTCCTCCAGTCTCCATCATCCACCACCTCCGTCGGCTCTCTCATCACCCCCTCCTCTCCTCATCTCATCTCACCGTCCGCCCCCTCAATTCACTCTCAACATGCTCGAGGCACGCGTTAAGCAAGCGTCTGTCCTCAAGAAGCTCCTTGATGGTGAGTCACGCGTGTCCCATGTGCCAGCCAGTGACCGTTCTCACTCATCTCCGACGCGTACTAACGCCATCCAGCCATTAAGGAGCTCGTCACTGACGGGAACCTCGACTGCTCGGATGAGGGTATCGTGAGTGGCGACTAACGAGTGTGCACTGACAGCGAAGCAACTGCAGGCGATGGACAACTCCCACGTCGCGCTCGTGTCGCTGAAGCTCGAGGCCGACCAGTTCGAGTCGTACCGGTGCGACCGCAACATTCCCCTGGGTGTTAACGTTGGTTGTGGATGGTTACAACGCAACTGACCGCAGCTCACTTCGCTCACCAAGATTCTCAAGTGCGCGAAGGACAACGACATTGTTACGCTCAAAGCTGCCGACGACGCAGACTCGCTTGGTCTCGTCTTTGAGTCCCCCAGTGAGTGTCCGAGCCCGAAGACGCTGACAGGCAGAGGAGGACCGGGTCGGCGAATACGAGATGAAGCTCATGGACATTGACCAGGAGCACCTCGGCATTCCTGACACGCAATATGACGCGACGATCACCATGTCGTCAGCTGAGTTCCAGCGCATCTGCCGCGACCTCGGGGCTCTGGGTGAGAGCGTTAAGATTGAGGCGTCGAAGGAGGGTGTGCGCTTCTCCTCTGAAGGCGAGGTTGGGACGGGCTCGGTCCTGCTCAAGCAGACCGCAGGATCGGACCGCCGCCCCAACCGGGCAGCCAAGCAGGACCCGGACGAGGACGAGGATGACGAAGAGGACAAGAAGCCCGACCTGGATGACGAGGGCGAGGAGGAGATGGACGACGAAGAGCGCCCAAAGAAGCGCAAGGCCAACGGTGGTGCTAAGGCATCCAAGAAGGCCAAGGCCGGCGCTGGTGACGACGACGTCGGTGTCTCCATCATCCTCGAGAAGCAGGTCAGCCTCACATTCTCGTTGAAGTACCTGTCCAACTTTGCCAAGAGCGCGCCGCTGGCCCGCGAGGTGAGCCTCAACATGAGCAACGATGTGCCGCTCCTCGTCCAGTTCGACTTTGAGCAGGGCACTCTCCAGTTCTTCCTCGCTCCAAAGATCTCGGACGAGTAAGCGTAGTGTGAGAAGGTGACTTGTGGCTAGTAGCTGAGTCGTATTGTACCACGTCATATGTGTCATGGATCTAGCGTGCAGTTATTTTCAGGTCCGCCGGCGATGGGGATCAAGGTACATGTAATCTTGGCCAGTCGAGGAATTCGAGGAATTCGAGGGATTCGAGGACGATCGATGTCGAAAAAGTCCCCATGGAAATATGGAGTTCTGGAGTGAGATCAGACGGAATGAGGATATGAGGACATGCGCGGCTCGCGTCGAATCTGTAGCACGCGTACCTTTATGCACGATTGCATCGCGTCTCTACATGCACGTTTCGAGGTGAATAGCGCCCTGGTGGCATTGACAGTGGCTGAGTTTCGTTTCAATTGAACAACCTGCCCTGCAATCTGGCACTCGCAGGGAGTGAGACTCGCCATGCGTAGTCAATGACACTGAGGCCATACCTCACGCTCCCTCACTGAACCCCCGCTTCCCAAGATCAAGATCGCAGCCGCGGCCCATTTTAGCCCTATATTGGAGGCTTGCTATTCAAAGCACCCCTTGTGTCCTCAGAAATACCTTTGCCGCGGCTTCATGTCCTGACGCTGTCCAAATATACCGTGGATCCAGATCCGGAGGCACAGGTCCACATTCTGTGATCTGTGGATCTGTGGATCTGCGTGCCGCGGCGCGATTGACATCCAAGGCGACACAGACGTCTGCGCCGACATCCGCCGGCGCGTTGACATGTTTGGGATATCTATATCTACTGCAACACCCCACGGCAGCGTTCAGAACATTAGTCATGTGGACTCGCGTGCTGCGCGTGCGTGCCGAACCGGCAGCGTGGTTTCGGCCGGATTGGCGTCCAGTAGCTCGTCTAATCACCTGGCCTGGTCGGCCGACGATGCCGGACATGCCGCACAACGGCGAGCAGGAGGCGGGCAGGCAATGAGCGGGGCCGCGATCGGCGCGTCTGTCGGATGTGCGGAGGCGTCGATCAGGCCGAGTACGCCTCGAGGTAGCGTGTGAACTCGGTGGTGAACTCGGTGGCAGCATTGATTAGGTCACAGGTGTCGATAAGGGCACATGTAATCAGGTGAGTGATACAGAGTGTCGGCGGCGGACGCCGCATTGCGTGAGCGTGAGCTATGTACGATGAGGCCGCGGGAGTATCGTAGTGGCATCTCCTCCTGCGCATGCCTTGCACGTGTCCGAAGCGCGCACCTCATATGGTCTTACGGTGCAGGCATGCGTCGATTGCCCCGCGTCTGTCTCAGACGTACCTCCAAGGGTGCGCAACAGCCTGATGAATGGATGTCTCAGACCTAAACTGGGCCAGAAACCTGCCAGAAACCTACCAGAAACCTGCGAAATCTCAGTTTTCTAGTTTTCAAGCCCTGCGGCGCGCCGAGACACGGCGCGCTACTCTGCATCGCGATTGCAGGCAGCGTAAACGGACGACAAAGTCGAGAATGAAGGCGGTGACGGTCACGCTGGCGGAATGGTTGATGCGTAAGGGGAATGAGCGATGAGGTCATCGTTTGCGCGAGTGTCTTTTCTCTCTCGGCCCGCGGAGGGGGGCAGGGTGAGCTGAAACGCCACGGTACCCGTAACGGCGGTGCTGCTGTAGAACTCTGCTGCAAGCTGCTGGCGAAGACTAAACCGTATGATTACGCTCTGCCCCCCCTATTACGCGACAAGGTTCCCACAGTACGATGCCAGCCTCACCGTCATCGCCGCCGCTGTCGTCACTGCTGCCCACTCGTTCCACCTCAGATGTCTACGTTCACAGCCTCTACATGGTGCGAGCGCGCGAGCCAGCTTGCCGATAGTAACGTGCCGGCCTGCCGGCATCAGTTACGCCTGTCTCATGTCGAGCAGCATCCCTGCGGTCGCTTGGGTATTGACAAGACGGGAAACGGCAGCGAGATGAAACCCTCGGGTGTTGTTGCAGCGCTGAAACGATGGCCTGCTCGTCCGTCGGACATGGTACCAGGCGTCGGCGACGGCGCATCTGGCATGCCCGATAAGCCCGGTGACTGCTCGGCGTCACGACGCACGCTCATTTACTAGGGCTCGGGCGTTACGTCTCGCGAGATCATCAGAAGTGTTCCCAGCACGCGTGCTTCGGGGGGCGTCGACTCGGGGCGCTCGGATGTATCTGATGAACGGCAAGCGTCGCATGTCGATCTCCGTGGGCAGAAAACTGCGTGACGGGCTGCGCTGGCTGCGATATTCACTGCTGCGTAACGGTGATAACGCGGCATGCTTCGAGCATGGCGAGCATTCTGGGTAGGTGGTCCTGGAGCCGGCATGGTAGGTGGTCAGGTGGCGCTGATGGCGTGGGTTGCGGCGGCGAAAACGTTATGCCATGACCGCATACACGACACACGACGCTCTCATGACCTGGACCGAGTCTGGCCGTGATCGGCGAGCTGCGACCCGCGTCGTCTGCTGTATCGCCGTGACCGCATGACAGCATGACAACATGATAGTATGCCAGAATGACCGCATGACTGCACATGCCGCGAGGCCGGACTCGGCGCATCACGATGTGTAATGGTAGCTATGGCATGCGGGTCCAAAGAAAACACAACAGTAGTTGAGCGCTGCTGGTATGGGTGCCTGCCAGCTGCTTTCCCGTGGCATGTTCAGCACAAACACATCGCAAGACGCCGCCTGCGCTGGTCACATCGGGGTGCCTTTCAACAGATGTTGGTCACTTGTGACCGAGTCAGTTCGGCGGGGCGGCATATGTATCCGCCTCGCACAAGTCACGTTGCAGAAGAAATCAGCTGGGTATTCACACAATGACAAAGGTCACGGTGGACGGTGAGATTCGATCGCGGTGCTTGATGTTCGGCAGCGCAGCGAGCTCGTCCTTCAGCCCACAATGCGATACATTTTCACTGCCTTACCCCCCGATACAGCCCTCATCTCGCCTAATTTGGTGAGCTTGTGCAATATTGCCCCCCCCCCCCCCCCCCCCCCCCTTGGCGCCGCCGCCGCACGCGCCGCGGAAATCGAATGGGTGATGCGCACGGCCGTGCACAACTATCGCACGAACCCACTCGCGCCACACTCGCACGCGGCAGGAGTGTTTAGGTCTGAGCACCTCCACTTTGGCGCTCGCGTTATGCTCGCCTCACCGGCCACCGGTTGCACGGGCGTGGATGTGAGTTGGCACCAAAGTGGCACTGGCTGAACGCTTTGAGCGTTTGGAATGCGATCCGAAATTGGAAAAGGCTAAGCAATTAGGCCAATTAGGCAAAAGTTGGAGTGGGGCACGTGGGGGGGG